GCAGACGATATCCCTATATCTGAGTGGAGAGTGTGGAAAAGGACTCTGTGCCCTAAAATGAATTCCTTTTTTGAAAAAAATCGTGCTATATGGGATATATGAAAATATTCGATATACACTGCGCGTACTTGTGGGGGGGGGGGGGGGGTATCGTTAACTACTCGTATTTTCCTGACATTTGTAAAAGGAACCACTACTGCACACCATACAAATACGCGCTAAGTCCATAATTTAGTATGGTATCTATTCCTTTTAAAAACGTCAGGAAGATATGAGTAGAGAGAGCGTACCGTACATGCACAAATCTTTAGCGTCGTGAAACCTGACATGAAGTAGGTTTAGAGAAGAGATGTTGACTTCTCCCATTATGCACATACGATGTCGCTTTGTTTCCACGCGCGTGTTGCATAGGTGCCGCATCACACCCACTTACCCTAAAATTTGCGGGGTTGCTCTTGGCGCTAGAGTCGGGAAGCCGAGTTATTACAACGGGAACATCCAACCAATTAGTTCAGGCGTGCAGACATGACATCAGTGGAGGAAGGTAGGGAGGAATGAATTGCACTTGTAGGTACTTTGGAGAATTGCACTCCAGATGCAGAAGGCGCCGTCCGGCAATGCAGGACGGACATCTCTTGGATAAAAGTGAACTTGAGAGGATCACTGGATGGTATAGAAAAGGGGGGCTAAACACACACGTTTAGTGGTTGATAAAGTTGAGGAAAGTCCTCAACGTATAAGTAGAGTACATAATTTTTGGGCGACATGACATATATATATAAAAACGCATGTCAGAACCACTTATGGCTACGTAAAATAATGGAGGACACGACATGGACCAAGCGTAGGCCACCAGTTCCATTCAAGTCATCAGGACAGCTACGGGACTACAGCGCAGCTTTTTGTTGATAATATTCTAATACATGTACTCGTAATTTCATAGCGTTTCCGAACACGACCAATATTGCATGACATACAAAAAGGTGGATTTGGCGCTTTTTTATATGGTATGCAATAGCAGTTGTGTTCGGAAACGTCATGAATTTACGATATTTGGTAGGTAAGATGCTCTACCATCATGATCCTTTACCCCTGTAAGTCTTTCTTGTGGAGTAAAGTGGGTAGACTATATACATGTTTTACTCTGTAGAGTACCTACCACATATCCCCCGAAAGGTGTGAACCCTCCTCAAAATGACCCCCTGACTCTCGCTTTCATCCGAATGATCGTGTCACTTGCTTTTGTTTCTGCAGATGCAACATCTCCCAGCTAGGTCGGATCGACGATGTGAATCAGGGACAGATGATCAGGGCACGTGCTGAAATAGCTCATTGTAAACAATGGAACCATCAACTCCTATAGGTAATTTCACAACCCAAACCACAAGAACTCAAGAAGATTCTTCTCTAGTTGAGAGGTGTCTACATGGATGTATCACTGGATTGAGGAACCATGAACGCTTCCCCGCAATTACACCAGGATCCCCTCTTTGCGCTCTTTGCGCGGCGCTCCATGTAGGCACATATACTTGTATGTTTCTATTTACCAACAACAGCCGTAAATGATGTACATGTATATTTGTAGATTTAGGCATTGCTATGCCGTGGAAATAGGATCGACATTCCGCAACATAAGCTTTCGCAAATTATGTGGAGAAATGCTGCGGAGATGATTCCCCTCTTGTGGTCGCTCCGCTAGCGGACATCTTATTGATGCAGTTAGACAGCCCCGGATATATCTTGAGTCTTCCCAAGCTCAGCTTGTGATAACACACACAACAACTATTGCCAAAAGGAACTTAGATTAGGGACACTAGCATGGGGCAGCAGCGATCTTCTGGGCACGGGAGCATGAACACAGATCCTTTTGCTGAATGGAAGATGTCGAGTATTTATATGATGGAGGGCTTCCGTCCGTCTTTGAGAATGTCCTAAGCACCAAGTCAACCACGGATACCCTCTTTTTGTCCCATCCCCCCACCACGTGCCAGTCATTATGCGATTCCAAAAGGCCCTCCTACCCGCTATACTTGCTGGCGGCTTCGCGGTGGAAGCTGCGGCTTTGAATATACCTCTCCACAAGAAGCAGTCTGATATTAACAAAGCCGAGGCTATCAAAGAGGCATTCACACACTCGTGGGAGGGATATGTGAAGTATGCTTATGGGAAGGATGAGCTTCGGCCTGTGTCAAACACAGGGTCCAATTCTAGGTATTTAATCATTGGCATATTGCGCGTTGAAAGGGTTTTTCCTTACCAGGGTGTTTCGGCAGGAATGGTTGGGGGGCTTCGGTGGTTGACGCTTTGACCACGGCGATCATGATGGGGATGGATGATGTGGTTCTTCAGCAGCTGGAGTATATCGCAACAATTGATTTCACAACTACTTCCAGTACTGTCAGTTTGTTTGAGACCACGGTGCGTAGTTCGATCTAACCGATTCCCTTTGGAAGAAGCATACTGATTTTGCTTTTTAGATCCGCTACCTTGGTGGCTTGATCTCAGGATATGATCTCCTCACCGGCCCCTATGCTGGGCTGCTGGCAACTGTAAGAATATCATCTTTATTCTAAACATCTTGAGAACGCGCCAACTAATCATGCTATATATCTAGACTGAGGTCAACGACCAGCTTGTCAAAAATCTCATTACCCAAGCCGTAACTCTCGCAGACCGTATGTCCTTCGCCTTCAACACCACCAGTGGTGTTCCTGCCAACAACATCAACTTCTCCACCAACAGCTCCACGGACACTTCCAATGGGATTGCCACAATTGGCACCCTTGTCCTCGAATGGACACGCCTCTCCGATCTCACTGGGGACCCTAAGTACGCTACGCTCGCACAGAAAGGAGAATCCTACCTCCTCAACCCCAAACCCGCCTCCTCCGAGCCCTTCCCCGGCCTCATTGGCTCAAACGTCAACATAGCCAATGGCCAATTTCTTGACGCCTCCGGTGGCTGGTCAGGCGGCACAGACAGTTTTTATGAATATCTCATAAAGATGTATGTCTACGACCCTACCCGCTTCAGCACCTACAAAGATCGATGGATTCTGGCTGCTCAGAGCACAATGACATACCTGCAATCGCACCCAACCACCCGTCCAGACATCACCTTCGTCGCCGAGTACAACGGGCAGTCATTGTCGCTGAACGAGGGCCATCTCACATGTTTCATTGGTGGAAACTTCATCCTCGGCGGACAGACCCTAGGGGTCGAGGATTTCACGCAATTCGGACTGAACCTCACATCCGGCTGTCACGACACCTATAATGCCACAGTGACTAAAATAGGCCCAGAGCGTTTCTCGTGGAACCCGAGCAACGTACCGGCGACTCAGCTGCTGTTCTTCCAGCAGAACGGCTTCTATGTGACTGGCAGCGACTACATCCTCCGCCCCGAGGTCATCGAGAGCTACTACCATGCGTATGTGAACACGAAAGATGAGAAGTACAGGGAATGGGCGTGGACAGCGTTCCAAGGAATCAACAAATATTGTAGAACCGATACTGGATACTCATCAATAACTAACGTCAACGCCGTGGGTGGTGGCTCGAAGAGTGATGTTCAGGAGAGCTTCTGGTTTGCGGAGGTGCTCAAGTACCTCTACCTGATCTTCGACGACAGCAAAGAAGGTGGCTTCGTGCAAGGAACTCAGGGATGGGTGTTCAACACAGAGGCACATCCGTTCAAGGTTGCGGCGAAGTAGAAGGATGTGGTCGGCTTTGTATAGAATAGATGTATGGGTTTATGTATTATTGGTATCACATGGCACGAGTGAGAACCTGTGATGAGACTTTCTTTCTTTTGGGCTCGGCTTATTTGTATGTATTTTTTGTACGTTTAACAACCACAATCCCAGGGCACCTACTTAGTCAGGACTTGAGACTTAATATAGAGTTGGCTTAAGAGTTGCCAACCATAACATATACTAAGCATATATCCTATGTCAATTCGTGCTCAGATTCGTTCAAGTTGTAAAGCCCGGCGAGCAAAAGACCCTACCTACGTCGAGATAGTCATAGTCACCGGCATAATGCAGTGTGATATCTACTACTTGAGACCCCGAGACAGCTCAAGGCGCGAGAGTTTAGAGAGCATACTCAAGATTTATGTAATTGTTCTTTATGCAACTTTAAGCGTGACTTTCACCTTCCCTATCTGGTTCAGAGAGAGTCCCGGGCGAGGAAAAGTCTGAATTAGCTCACCATTTTGGTCATGGTGTTGGTACGGTGTCCAGCTTTACTAACATCTCGACTTTTGTTCTATCTTGGGGCGTTCAATCTACACTCTACAATGGGGATAGAAGAATTCTGTATTTATTTCAAATTTACTTTGCCATAGGTAGTAATCACCCATAATTAAATGAAGAAGCACTACACCTGCCTTCCTCCTCACAGGCAGACCAAGGACATACTTGTTTCAACAATATTAACTTTCTCACCTCTCGGTACCAGTAGTATAATGGCATGTTCTGTCGTGGGCTGAACCTCTTCTTAAAGCAAAGATATGTTGATTTTCACGAGTTCTTGCCGGCGCCCCCGTTTGAGCGATGTCACCCTTTGGCTTGGCGGTCAGCGAGTGATAGACCATGACCATATTGCAGTGATTGATTGATTACTTCATTAATATGACCATATTGCAGGCATGTATGTACGTTACACCACTCCTCTGATAAATGATCGAGAGATTCATTTCTCGGAATATATGCACTAAGTTTTGGCTTGTAAACTACCAAACGGTTGGTGCGGGAAGGAGGTGTGGAACTGACTGAAAAAACAGAACAAGGTGGAAACAAGCATCATAATGCAGCCCTGTTTTCACATTTTCCTCCAAGTAAACACTCCACACTCTCTCACTAACGACGACTCCACAGTCATCCAGAACTCGATATATCTATACAACAGAAGTAAATTCACAAAACTACAACTAAAAGAACTATATAACAAGAAAATCTCCCATCCCGCACGCAGGACATCTAATAATTACAACCCCACCTATCTGCTCCCCCTTCTCCTCCCCCTCGCGCCCCTATGGCCAACCCCCTTCATGCTAACACGCTCCTCAAAACTTGGCACACATATCGCCAAGCCGTTTTCAAACGTGATGCACTGCAAGCCCTCCGCACACGTCCCATCGTCCGCACAGCCCGCCCACACATCTGCGCCCGCCGTAGGAGTGGCAACAATCGTCTGCGTAGCCAGCGTGGTGGAGACCGTCACGATGTTTGTGAATGTTCGCGTTTGCGTCTCGATGGCTGTTGTGCCGGCGCCAGCGGAGCGGGTGATGGTGGTGGTGCCGGCTGCGCGGGAGCGGGAGAGCGTGCGGGTGGCAGTGGCAGTGGCGGTCTCGGTGGCGGTCACGATGTTGTCGAAGCTGCGGGTGGGGAGCTCGGTGAATGTCTCGGTGACCTTTGAGGTTGCGGCGGCTTTTGAGGATGTAGGATCTGCATCAGCGGTAGATGTGGCAGATGTGGCAATCTCAGTGGGGATATCGGTGGCCGTGACAATGTTCCCGAATGAGCGGGTGGGAAGCTCGGTCAGTGTTACTGCTACGGAGGTCTCTGCGGCGTCGGTGGAAGATGAAGCAGCGGCTTTAGAAGACGAGGTATCGGCAGATGTAGTAGGGGCGACTTCGGAGTCAGTTGCGGTCACGATGTTTCCGAATGACCGGGTAGGGAGCTCTGTCAATGTCACCGCTACAGATGTCTCTGCTGCGTCTGTAGAGGATGAAGCAGCGACTTTCGAGGACGACGCGGCAGCCTTGGAAGACTTAGCAGCTGTGGATGTTGCAGTAGCGACCTCTGAGTCAGTCGCAGTCACGATGTTTCCAAATGACCTTGTGGGAAGCTCTGTCAGGGTCACTGCTGCAGAGGTTGCAGCCTCAGTAGAAGAAGCTGCTTCCTGAGTACTGGTAGTACCAGCATCCTCAGTCGAAGTCACAGTCTCAATTGATGCTGAAGAAGCTGTTACGGTGGTGGTGACCTCGCTGCCATCCATGGTGGCAATGTTCCCGAATGTCCTTGACGGAAGCTCGACCGTTGATCCAACATCGGTTTCTGAAGGCGCTGTAGCCTCCGCGGTGCTACTGACAGTCTCGGCAGCTGAAGAGGAAGAAGCTGTGGCCGCAATATCTCCAAAAGTGCGAGTAACGGTCGTAGCAGCAGTAGTCTCATCCTGCGCTGATACGGGGGACGACGTCGCAACTACACTCGAAGTCGCCGCAGCACTTGTCGAAGACGATACTGCATCCCCGCTCCCACTTAAAGAAACACATGCAAACGACATCTCCTTCACATACGTCCCATTCGCCTTTGGCGCACTCAGGTCCCACACCATATCCACATACGGCCAACACACCTTCTCCCCCATCGTCACCATATCCCCCGCAACATACACATCCTCACCGATCAGCACCTTCTCACCCACCTTCTCACCCTTACTCCCCACCACCTGCGCCCACGTGCCATTGAACGTCCCCGTGCAACTCAACGGTACCGGCTGACAGTCCGGGTTTGCCAGCTCCTCCCAAGTCACCACCGCATTCCCGCTATCCAGTGTCGCAACATGCACATTCTGGTGGTCCGTGGTGTCAGACTCGGTGATCCAGGTGACCTGGGTGTCGCCTTCAGCGGCACCAACTACGGAGCTGGCTTGCTCGCCGAGGAGCTTGTCTTTGGACGTAGTGAGGGAGACGGCGACGTTGTGGTTGAGCCAGCGCGGGGAGCAGGTCGTGAAGCCGGTGCCCAGCCAGGAGTTTTCTTGTAGGTTGAGGGCACCGCGGGACTGCCAAGCGAAGATGTAAGAGGTGGTGTCGGGGAAGAGGGCGAGGTTGCTGTATGACCCGCTCATTCCGCCCACTGGAGATTGTTAGCAATTGGTATTCAAGGGAAAGAGAGAGGGAGGGTGTACTTGGCTCGCCGCTGACGCCGTTGGTGGTATTTTCGTTGGCTATTTTGATACCGTCCATGGTCTGCGTGTCGGTGTTGAGCCAGATTGCGCTGTGTTTTATATCATTAGTTTTCTATTCTCCCTAGACCCTTAAGCATGGATAGTATCGCTAACCCTTGATCCTCAGCACAAACACTAGCAAACGGCGCCGCATCAGCAGCTTCAAGACCAATACCGGTATTGTGACTACACCCCCAAGTGCTACTAGCACCCGCAATAGTCTGTAGAGCTCCAGCATCATCCACATACTGAATCGAGTCCCCGAAATGGCCCGACGCAGCACCGGTGTAGGCCGTGACTACGACATAAGCTGCGTAGAGTCCTGCAGCCTCAGAATAGACAAGGTCACCATTCATATCTGGTGATGCCGAGAGCTATATTCCACCAGTAAGTTGTCTGCTTATAATTGACATGGTATAAGGATATAATTGGAATATACCCCATCAGCTTCGTGCACGCCCGGCCCATTGACCGGCGTTCTCCACGCCTGAGCGCCGTCCTTGTAGCGGACTATCTCGGCGATTGGATAGCCGTTTGGCGGGGCATCCGTGGTGCCGGCGTCGGGAATGAAGTTTGCCAGCAGCGCGAATCCATCATTCTGGGCGACGAGACCACCAGCTTTATCATAGTATTAGCAACTATAACGCATATATAAGGGAGAGAGATTCTATGTATATACCTTCCCGGGCACCCTCAACCTGAACGGCATCACCAACGGCTGCGAAGGTGGTCGTATCAACCTGCTGGACATAGACGGCGTTATACGTCGTGTCCAGATACGCAAGATATGCGGACTTGCCATCCGGTGATACCTGTATGAGGGTCAATATCTAGTTATTTTAAAAGCTGGAGCTTGAGTTGGAGAGCTTACCGAAAAGGGCGTCCGTCTATGGTGTGGGAGGCCGGTCCAGTAGGCGGCAATGATCGGGTCGAAGGACGCCGGTAGCGAGAGCGTGTTTGCGAACTTTGTCACAGAAAGCTGCTGGCACAGCGCAGCTGCGGGGAGCAGGAGGGGGAGGAGGAAGCTCAGTGACTTCATACTGAGTCTAGCAGTAAAATGAAAATAAAATAAATAATGAATGAATGAAAGTGGTAGTAGAGGTTAGTAAACGAGCGAATGCAATGAACGTGTAAAAACCGCACTCTTAACCAGGAGGCGTAACGAGAAAAAAAATTCCAACAATCGGCGTTACAAGTTCGCTCCCATCAGAAGTAGAAGGGGCGTGAAGAGGTGAAGGGGGGAACAAGCAGCAGTATTTGTACTAAACTACATGTACCTGTATCTCCCTGTAAAGCAAAGTACCTCCAGTGGTTTATGATACGAGTTTCAGATAGAAGTCCTCGATAGTGGGCTCGGCAAATCATACCTGGGGCGATTGGGATTGGCTGTGATATAGAATGATATTATCTAGACTAGGGATGGAGTAGTGTTTGAGGTTCCTGGTGGGCGGTAGGGTTGCGTGCGCTAGTGGTACTGGGTACTGAATAGACGCTTGGCGGAAAATAGTAACAAGGGAGAGGCGAATCAGAGGGCGTGTTTAATTCTCCGGTTGTGTAGAACACCTATTTTGTACCTGCATCTATCTTCATGTAGGTACTTGAGGAGAGTTTAACACGAGTATCATACGTACTCTATCGCGATAATAGCAGCTACGTACGTGGCTGTTCCAGAAGTACTCTCCCGCAGAGCTTAATTCAGAGCCGCAGCTGTTTCTGCCTGTTTCTGTTTCGCTTCTGCGACTTTATCGTCTCGTCTCCAGTCTCCAGTCTATTTCTATTTAAATATTAAGCCCTACTCTAGACCACATGTAGCAAGCAATCATCAGTAATAGTAAGAGTAGAATAGTAGCCTGTTTGTCAGAGAGCCATTGTTTCTGCACGCGCACCTCTCTCTCCACGCGCTCTCTCCCTAACCAGCCCAACCCGACAATACGCAGCCCTACCCTGCGCCGTCATCAGACATCACTCACCCCTGCACCCAAACATCTCACTCTATTACGTACCAAACAATATCTGGTACCTGACAGACCTCACCCAACACCTCCCTTATCCAGTCAGGCATCCCCAAGACAACCCCGCCAAAACCTCCCCCGTGGTTCCCAGCCCAAAAATCCGACCCGTGTGTCCCACCGGGCCAAGCTAACCCCGTCGCGGTGGAAAATCTCCGAAGCTCCGGGCCGTCTCCGGGGTCGGCGATTCGACGTGTGTGGGTCGACGGTCGTGGGCCGTGCTGGCTGGCTGATTCGGGAAGCTAGTAAAGTAAGGTAAAGTGGGCAGAACTTTAAATTTGTCGGGTCTGAATGGTGGGGCTTGGCGTCGGCGGGGGGCTTGGTTTAATATGGGCGGTCGGAGTGGGAAATGGGGGTGAGGCTAGGGGGAGAATGAGGGTGGGGGAGGTGTGCTCCGGGTTGCTTAGTAGGGGGATGGACACCCGGGGGGTCAATTGACAAAGTGTAGAGAGTAGATTAGCTATAGGTTTGTCGTCCGACTCTAGCTCTCCGGCCGAAAGGATGGAAAAAGCAGCTGTACAGTAACGGCAGCCCAAACGTCAAGTCAAGTCAAGTCAAGTCGTCAACGTCCAGCCAGCGCGGCGACTATCACACACCACTGACACCACAACCACCGCCAGAGAACCGCCATGAACTGACACCACCGCCACCATGATGAACTGATACTGACACCACCGGTCGAACTCCAGACCACTCGCAACCTCCGACCCCAAACCCTCCGCCCAAAGCTTAAGAAGCTGTCTCAGACACCTTCTTTTCTTCTTTTCTTCTTTTCCTTCCATAGAGGACAAAGACCAGAGACAGAGACAGTAGAAACGAGGTACCGAGCATGCGATGCGCAGCTATTTAAGGCATGCACTGCACAGGTGGGGATCTGCAGAAGAAGGTTAAACTTGACTGTGGACTAAGTACGTGAGACTGACTTACGGGATGAACCGGACGGGCGGGGTCTGGAGCTGGGTCTGGGACTGTATGCGGATATAGAGATGGGATGAATTGATGGATTTCTGATTTGTAGTCTTTTGTGCCTGGTTGCTGGTTACGTCGTATATTGCATCGGTTTGGTGGGATCTGTGGGAGGTAGTGTTTAGTAAATATCACGATAAACTCCCTAACAACGAAACAGTAGAAGAGAAGAATATTAGTATTATGGTTACCAGTGAAAAATTACAAGAGAAGATAATTATTGTAACTAAACTACTCTATTATATAATTATCCAACTATGGACTCTAAAAATACCAAAAAATATATATGCTTTTTTTTTCGTGACTGTCATGACCCACGTAGCCTGCCCTATCCAATATATTGTTCCCCCAGTAACCCCCCAAAACCAATCATTACCCAGCCCGCAAAAATCAAAATTCCAATCATTGTAACAAGCCAAACAAAAAACACCACCAAAAAAAAAAAAAACCGAAAAGCGCCGTCCCAAATTTTCCCCTAATAAAGCGAACCCAATCAACAGTAACAAAGAGATAAAGATCATCCCTCAATCTCCTTCTCCCTACCCTCCCAATACCTCCCCGCCTTTGCTCTCGCCCTCAGTGTCCGCGGTACAATTGTGCCAACCAGGCTACTCTCGTGCCCGATCGGCTCGTACTCGACGCGGTATTTGCACCCGTCGGGGTACTGGAGGAGATAATTACAGATCTCCTCTGCGAGGAAGAAGCCGCGGCGCAGGTATGCCCGGGGGATAAAGTTGATGAGCCAGTGCTGTGGGGGGTTTTGGAAGTGGTGGTTCCACGAGACAAGGGATGTGCGGAGATACTTGTTGTTGGGGAAGAGGTGCTTTAGCGAGTCGAGGGGCGTGAGCTCTTCTAGTCCCGATGGTAATTTTGTTCTGAAACCATATAAAAATAATTGTTAGTCAAAATGCAAATTGTGACAAGTATCGTAGGTGAAGACCGGGGGAAGAGAGACATACACTAGATAGACACAGTTCCCAGTCTTGTTATTCTTGATCCTCAATATCTGCTCCGTGGGCCTTTCCACCACCGTTGTTGTCCTCGAACTAGCCATGACGCCCTCCACCCTCTCGACCCACCCTTTCGCAGTCTTCTTGATCTCGTCTACACATCTCCCGCCCGTACTCATCCCCAGACACCCTGTCGCACCGCTGATGCTCCTTCCGCCGCTGGGCCCCGGAGCAACCACGGGGCCTTCGCATATCGAGTGATCCCCGAACCCCCCGGTGCTGACCGTCTGTATCAATGGCGGTGCCGCAGGCGTGGCCGCATACTGAAATGGTCGAGGGAGCTCTCTGATCTTCTGGTAGCTGTCACGTGAGCGCTCGCGGAGGGAGCGAAGGAGGTTGTCGGGTGCTATGAGGGAGCGACGGTTCGAGGAGGTAGTCGTGACGGCTCCAGAAGGACTGACGTCGAATTTGATGCCGGAGTGCGGCTCGAGTTCGAGGGTTGTGTTGTGGTAATAATCCATTTTGCTTTTTGTGGGGTGTTTATTTCGATACGATCTGGCGACTTTGGCCAGTTTGCTGGTTAAATGCTGGAGTTGAGAATGAAGGATTCTCTCTGCTTTGCTCTCTATAAGAAGGCAGATAAGGATTAAGTGCAATCTACGATCAACACGCTGATCCAAAATGCGGGGAGGAAGAGGGGGGAGAGGGTTAATTAAGTGTAGATGGGCAGTAATAAGCTCATAAGGGTGCCGAGGAGCATATGAGGAGCAGCAAAAAGGTGTGTTCACAAAAAATTGGGCTGACTGAACGTAGGTACAACTGGCAACTGAGGCAAAATAGATACCTACATATGTAGGTCCGAGAATCCGAAGGTTAGGCTTAGTGAGTTTTTTCTGTTGATGCAGCTCCTCTCACGATGGGACATCCCGGGGCGCTTGCGGGGATTGGGGACGATACATCATAACGATATGAGGAAATGATCGGCATTCCGTATGTCTCAGAATGCAAGTCTTAGAGCACGCATCACCGCCGGTTACGCATGGCAATCAGGGGTTCAAGAGTTCTTCGCGTACCGAAAATGGAAACGGAGAGAGTCGATCCGGCTCCCGTAAATTTGTTCACGACCATGCCTATCTGGTTCCATTGGATCATCATCCAGCAGTAATAAGAGTTGGTTGTATGATATTTATTAGAATTGTAAATGCGGGCCAATGATACGGACGTGAACAAGTTCTATTGTATCCTAGATTTTGTGATACCATTTCAGCCGAACAACGAAATCGGCGCCGCGGGAATTGAGTACATGTAGGTAGGTAAACTAGGCCACACTTATTTGTTGAATTATATTCTTTAACAAATCATCAATCCGTCGACTCCCGGATTAGGGTATGGCATCTTACTAGACCGACGAATGTGCATCACAATATCGGCCAAGGCCTGCGCAGTAGTTAGAAGCGGCTGCTTCCTAATAATCATTCATGAGTCCGGGTTCTCATAGATTCCAAAGATACGATTTGGAATAAATAATTCCTTACTCATAGGCCTGGTCATCAAACGTGATCCAGAAGTGGGCCAAAGATCTCTTGTTCGTTAATGTGGTCCAGGGATCCTGGATTCATGACTTCTAATAAAGACACATAACCAATTGGGAGACCGCATCCGAATACATTGATTAATCGCTGTTGATCTATTGACTTCAACCCCCCGATAAGTCAAAGAGGTTAGTATATAGAACTTGAGGAAAGTATTTGTGCGTCGTTGTTAGGAAAACTGTGGTTTGATTGGCCAGACCTCGCCGCGTATTAATTCTTGGCAAGGACACACAACCAAGTTAGTGCTAGCCCCAGTACCCAGATTGGCTCCCATCATATCAACAAGCCTCTAACGCATTCAATGACATATCCAACGACAGGGACGACATGTAACACACAGATACGCCTGCGAATCATGAAGTTGGTTCGAGGAGGTGTTTATTTTCAGCTGTATGAAGCGACCAAAGAAGCGGGTCTGATCTAGGCGTATTAGGATCCCTATCTGAAAACCTCAGCAGGAGGGAGAAGCGAATGTTTCGAGGGCATAATAGAGGAGAGGGTGCGCGCATTCGTTTGGTTTAGGCATTGAATGGGATAAACTATCATGGCTAGAGGCGTATATTTACCTCCGGTAAGTACTCACCGTTCGGCGCTGCAAAAAAAAAAAAAGAAACAAGTAAACATACCGATAGCCACCCCGGGGTGGCAATAATCCACAATCTCGCGATAGAATCTGAAAACAGCTCATGCCGCTTATCGCACGGCCAGTGCGCGCTAGAGCAATTTCCGTGGACGGTTTGTCTCTAATGCTGCACAGATATCCATTCCGGCCGCTTTTCGCCTCAGATTTACCGAATCTAATCGTGGCTTGAAGGGGTCTATGCACCCCCGCCCGACGATCAAACTTGAAAGAAGATTCCGCCTCCATGGGAAACGTGGATAGGTAAGTACTTAAAGATTCCACACATGTGGATGGCCGTGCTATCATATGCCTACGCTATAGTTCTCGGCAATGGGTTCGTTAATTGAATTGAAGCCGCCTGAACGAATCTCCGTATGTATGTAACTCCCCGTTCATAGTAAACAATTTAAGAGTAGTCGTGACATCGATACAAAGGTTTACAGTGGTCACCTACCCTGCCACCTCGTGCATCGCGAAGTGGTTAGCTGCACTGCGCAAGTAAAATAAAGGACGTGGGGTCGAACCTAATCTGTCTATCAAAAGCACAGGTCCTACCTTATGATAACGCACGGAATAGAAGTATGCTTGACTGAGGCGAGGACTTAGGTGATATCTGACAAACGCTAGAACAATTGAGCTTAACTCAATATATGTAGATGGATCCCTTTTGAGCTTGAGTTTCAATAGTATGTCTTGCATAGTATGGTAATCTACGAATCGATCTATATTGTCTATCCTAAGCACAGATACTTAGAACGCCCTGCGATAAGGCGCGGGCTAGAATATCATAACAAAAGCCTCTGTGATTGAGGCGAAGAGTCATGGTTGAGGCGAAGATCTAGAGTGGTTAGCATAACTGACAAACTTCGATCTATGAACACTTTGGCCTACTTGTTCGAGTTTGGATCTCCCAAAAACCATAGCTCCCAATTGAAGACCTCCTTCCAATAGTTACAGCCAGTGCACCGGCGACGAGACAGTGTACCGTGGCTCTTCCTGTCTCATATGCAACGGGCCGTGGGTCTTGACCGGTTTTGGTCACGAGCTTTCACTCAATTGTTTCTAAAGGTTGAATACGATGTTTCGCTACATCGGCAAAGGTTCAGACAAGATCTAGTGTAGAACGGAACGACTAAGAGTGGTGTTAAGATGAATTAATAGGGTTACTACAAATTCATTAGGCTGTGAACGAGCTCAGAATCCTATATGATGCCAGGCTACTCCAATTGATTACAATCATGAATTTTTTTTGAAATTATAGAAGAATGATGGCTTTTGATTACCTGCTTGTCGTCATTTCCCCTCTCGATCTTTGACTCGAGCCAAAAGTTTAGGGCGAGAATCGGTATCAAACGATACATTTGTTCTGAATTGAAACGGAAAGGTACATGTATGCACTTCATAAGCTTTGTTAAACCCTAGTAAGTTAATAAGTTGTTAGTCCTTACAGCCCCAAGTGATTTGCTGAAGCATGATTTTAAGTGGGATCAATGTTAACCCGCCTAGACCACCAGTGCGTACGTAGGTGTGGTACGCGAGTCGTGGGGCCTCAGGGTCTCGCGAAGAAGCCCGAAGTTCAAGCACGTCCCTGCGAAACCGATACACTGCCTCCTCGTCTCGAAGTGCCTTGATCTTCTTTTGGCCGTATAATCTTGGTGGACCCAGTTCTGTTAAACATGTTTAGCACATTAACAATCTGCAATACAAATAAGTTCAGGATCGACTGAGACAGCCCAAGGTCTTAATACATTACTGTCGAGGGAGAATACAATTGGTAGGCCTAACCTGCCTTGAAGGTCCTATACAGCGTTCAACATGTGCCTTGGCCTTCCACCCACCGCCTTACCTGAAGCCCATGAGTTTAGTAGCCTGAAATAACGGTATATAGAATAATACGAAATGTATGGAAAATGCATGTGCATATATTTGGTAGAAGTATCAGCAGATGCACTTCTTTCAGTTGATTTCTTTTATCATTTTGTGCCTTTTTCTCATAATTTTGTATAAGCAATATGTATTGCAAAAGAAAACAAAGAGAAACTGAAGGAAAACGGACCGATACTTGCGAAAGAACTGATGATCTAGTAGATATGTGGGTATCCGCCGGAACCCCCGGCACCGGCGCTGGGTCGGTGTGCAGTGCCTTCCGGGGCCTCAATTTAATAGGTTGAAAAGGATGTTGGCTCCTTAAAGTTTTCACTTATTAGCGATCGGGAAGTATCGTAGCCGGCTTCTGGACGACTTTCTCAGGGCGTTGCACGCACTCCAGGATATCCCACAGTGTTTGAGGCGTTATATTCGTGAAGAGCTTTGAGTGGCGTTCCTCTCCACCTCGCGATTATCGAGAACCGGTTCACAGGATTCGGGAGCGATGAATGTAGTGCTTTTTTACGTACATGTGATAGTCCTGGCATTACTGAAGACGCTAGTATACTAAAAAAAAAAAAAAAAAAAAAAAAAAAAGAATACGACGTAGATTGTAGCAGGCCCTTACATGTAATTATCCATCCTCTCTGATTTTTTCTACACACGGTGTTCTGAGCTTATAACTAGCGGCTGAGTTGGCCACAATACATGTATTAATGCTACGATGATTATTTTCTAATACATTATATCGTTTACTGATCATTCATATTTCTTGCATGCTGCGGCATGTCAGCAGTACAGCCTATATAATCCTCCCGTGATCAGAGACTGATCCCATGATGATCGAGGAGAATCGGCGATTATCTCCAAATCCTCCAAATCCCCAAAACTTCCCACCCTCCCTTCTTTCCAGAGCTTCCAACCTTTTCTACCTGCCATCTTATGCCTTCCTTGCCGTACCTTCCAGATCTCAACCGCTCGGCAACAGCTTCCGGCTTATTCTGTGCACATAGCAGAATATATGCTACTCCGCGATCCCTGCTCAGTACCCTTTCCAAAGAGTCCAAAAGTCGGTCCGTTGTGAGCATCCCATCAGGTCCCCCGGCGTAAGTTAGCTCCAGCAAATCCAGCTTACGCCCTCTCTCTGTATCCTCCTCGCCCGGAAGAATTGGTAGCTTAGATGTTGGCACATATGGGGGATTAAAAACAAGCATGTCCACAGTCCCATCTCTTAAGGGCGACACTAGGTTTGCAGTCAGAGAGTCGAGGTAGTGTCCCTGCGGCTTGTTCCTGGAGATAGTCTCATTCGTGGCTTTATTTGCAGGCGTCGAGACGTCAATTCCTAAAGTAAGGACAGAGTCATGCCCAAAGATTGTCGATGAGTTTGTTGTGAGGAAACTAAGCACTACACCTGAGCCCGTGCCAACTTCAAGAACAATAGGTACGGCATTTTGGGCGGGGAAGCGCTCCCCGAGAAACGAGATTTCAGAGTCACTACTTAGTGTGTCTAACAACAAGTAAGAATCTTCACTGGGCTCGTAAATTTGGTCATAATCGACGTGAGAAGTATCGGGTGTTGGGAGAAGTGGCATGGCGGTACGTTGTTGTTTTAAGGTTTCAATAACCTAAAGTGGGAAACTTATAAACGCTGTGGAGGGTAACCCTTGGGGTTAGGGTTGCGAATAGGTCAGGGAGCTATCAATTGAGTAGCTTGAAACCGTCGAATCGATAGCTGTGCAGGTTGTAAAAAACAATTAGAAACACTATATATTGAATACATATATATTAAAAGCATATAGTACAGAGACGCTCAACTAAACTAATTTATTGAGAAACACATCATAGTGTATATATATAAGAACATAGTATCAGATAATACATGCAATGTTGCACCAATTTCGCACACTTACACGCAGCAAAGCGGCCACGGCCACCCGAGCCACGCAGCAAATCTGCCCGCCAGGCTGGCCTGATGGAATAAATGTAGCCATCTACATAGTATATATTAAGAAGTTTCAAATTAGGAGTCAAGACTAGAGCCAGCTAGATAATAACTGATAGAATGCTGGAATGAGATCCATATATGTACTTACATGCAGCTTAAGCTTAGAAGTAAATATCCGAGTTTTCAACCCACTCAGAAACTTTAATAACCAAATGAATCTTGACTAAGTACCTTGGACATAGGTGAGCCGACAGGAGCTCTACTAGGGTGCCAAGAAATATTCGTGCAGAAGCAAAACCTAAGTAGTGGTGAACTTCTCTTCCTTCTTGTTTCCTCTCTCCTTCTACATATATTCATCATCTCGTCAAGGCATTAATTGCACATCTTTCCTTTACAATTCCATCAAATCTAATCTATATACACATCGACAACCGTATTCATTAGAAATGACTCGCCCACTCACAAACTCTGAAAACACACAGCCAATTGGTCGTGCTGTTCTGTCTGATGATCCACTTATCCATCATAGAGGTAATACAATTTATTTCTAATCTAGTTTTTTTTCTCTTTTCTTTTCTTTTTTGTTTCTTTTTCTGACATCATAACTAGACATCATGCATCCTGAGAATCCAATGGAGCTCAGTGAACAGAATCTAACTACGTTAAATACGCTGGATTACAATCTTAATCACTCATCCTTTCCTCTAGGAAATAAAGAAAATAAACCCGATCAGAATACAGTGCTTCCAGCTATGGAAGAATTACCAATTGCTGAAGGGACCTCTGGGGGGCCAGCTGAGGCATCAATGTCCAGCGTCCAAGTTGATGACAGTCTCGACGAGATCAAATGGAAGAACCGAATTCCATTAACTATTGACATCCCCAGGGTTGTCAGGCTAATGTTACAAGCCCCAGAGGGATCCTGGTTTAGTTTGTGTGATTTCTGCGTGCGCACAGACAACATCCATAACCCTGGAGCCATCATTACACTCAGATCTAAGACAATCTCCGCGTGCTACAAGCTCTTTAAAGATTGCAAGGAGGTTCTCGACATTCCAGATAACTGGAGAATTTTTGTCAACCAAGAAAATAGTTATTATAAAAGATGCGAATCTTGCAATAAAGATCTTGATCGATCAATGACTGTTAAAGTCTTTATTCACCACTACAGAGAAGGTGAAGTCGAGAATGGTAGTATGTAACCACTCAAAAACTTCTAGTCCAGTAATACCTTTCTGTTTTTTCTTTCCTTTGGAGCCAGTACTGACAATAGCTAAATGGATATATAAAACAGATCTGTTAGTTGATAACATCTCACTGCAAAACATCGAGCCAGTTCTCAGATGCCATACTGAGGACAGCGAGACTTATGTTAAGTTTACAGTTATCGTCTCTATGTCCGTGAAGACTAAGACAGTATCCGCGAATTTTGTTGTCACCTCAAGCATCAAGTCATACAAGCCTATCAACACTGGGATCGATGGGTCGTCCAAGCATAAGAGGATGTTTAAAAAACGCGATTTCAAGAGCATAGACAAAGCAACTGAGCTCACCGATGCGTCGAGATTAAACAAAAGCCGATACTAAAGTCATGCATCTGCCCCTTTACTGTAAGGTTCTCCCAAGAAATCTTAATCTCCTAATTTTAACCCAATTTTTTTGGTAGGGCAACGGCCGGTCGTTTAGTCACGACACTAGACATAATTGGGAGATATATGATTGCCGTTTGTTTTCAAACAGATAGCATGGAAATCGGAGGAAGGACGGCGGAAAAAAACTTAAAAGTTAGCATGATTGAATCTTAGGACAGTCGGCATATCGGCAGGAAGGATACAATGGAAATTGCGGGTAGAAGGTCAGGGACACTTATGAAACACATTAATCACTGTTAAACGCTCATACGCGGTAGTAATCACTACATAAACTCTAATCATAATGTATGATCAATCGCAAGCACATGTATGAAAATTATCAAATTGAACCCTATAATAGGCTTTGTATGTGCATGCACTTTTAATTCCCGAGAATTTAAAGGTTTTAAGCTCTGGAGACCATGACAAAGGTATTGAGAGGCCTAAATGAATTCTATGCGGCCTCAGTGGGTCATACACTTGTGGACCTAGGAATCTAGCCCCATGCATACATGTATATAGGGTATACTAAGGAGAATCAAATATACATGTAGATGTACATGTATGTATGTATGCAATTACCATGATTGGGTTAGAAACTGCTTCTAGAAGGTACATATGAACATAAAAAGCTAAGAGATTGAACATCACTTCACGACTTCCAAGAATTACACCGTGATAAACTACCTAACTTTATAGTTTCCATATAAGCCCTTCCTCGCCTAGTTAACCTAACGACTATAATCCTAAAGGGATAGAAGGGAGTCATATATATGTGAAATTTGACCCTTTGTATCTTTGCCATCAAAATAGCATCCCAGACGCTTTCAAAGTATTATGTATTTTCTTTCAACAGCATCAAGCCCTCTACAATCTTTACCGAGGGCAGAATAGGCTTATTAAGTCACAGAATATTTCCATGGTTCGAGTGATATATTGTGACTCCATCTCCCACTAAGAAACCGATGTTATCTATATGTCCTGAATCCACCACAATGGAGATATACGTAATATCTAAGACAAATCTTTTCATGGCTTACAGTATCAAAAAATACTTTAGTAAAAATCGTATTTATTGTAATGACAGTTGCAGAGATGTTGATTCCCAACGGTTTGAGTATATCGAGGCATATTTTACGCGTATTGCGTATGTATGCTCGAGAAAACAAACTTTTAGAGATTTTTAACTATCAACAGCTGGATGGAAGGATTCAGTTATTAGTTCCAGCCATCATCAACGGTAGCATCACCACCTGCGCCCTCACCCCAACCTGCACCGCTGCCTTTGCCAGGTTTCCCCCATTCATCATTTCCGACAGTATCCTCTGCGACTTCTGTACCCGCGGCCAATTCCTCTTCGTCGGTATCTGGTTCTTCATCAAAGTTGACCTCGCCACCAGCCGGACGGTACTCGTCGAGAAAGGATGGAACTATCTGTTCCGATTCCAGGAGAACCTTAACGAGATCTGGTGCGATTTCAGGATTACGATCGTTGAAGAAGGAAGTAGCGATTCCCGCATTTCCGATGCGAGCAGTACGACCTAAAATGGATCCTATATTAACATAAGAAAATTCATGAATGAAGTGGTCCTACCGATGCGATGGATATATTCGTCAATATTTTGCACAAGATCATAGTTGATAACATGCATCACACCCTTAATATCGAGTCCACGAGCAGCTACTCCAGTGGCAATCATGATAGGACATTTCCCGGAACGGAAAGAAAGCCTGCCTGCGGTTAGAAATTACCAATATCAATTATGATAGAAATACCTACAGAGCATCCTCACGTTCACGCTGAGTACGGTCACCATGGATTGATGTTGTTGGAAGGTTAACTAATATAATAAGAACAATTAGATAAAAAGCACATACGAGAAGGAAAGAGCAAACAGGGACATACGGTTGTACAAATAGTCATCCAAAGAATCGGCAGTACGTTTATGATTAACGAAGATTAAGGTACGAGCAGGCGGGGCAGTACACAAGAGGTCATAGACGGCCTCCTTTTTCTTATTTTCATCAACCCAAAGCACCTAAATGAACGGAGACTAATAAATTAGTACTTTTTAAAGTCTAAAAGAGAGTTTAAGAAAATCAAAACTTGCCCTTTGGGTGATGTTTCCGTGAGTACTACCAACACGTCCAACCTTTATCTGGACATAGGCATCTGCCAGGAAATCCTTTGCAAGCTTACGGATTGGCTTTTGAAATGTGGCACTGAACATAAGTACTTGCTGGTCATCATCTTCATTTGCATCTGTGCCTTGAAGGATCTTGCGAATCTGCGGTTCAAAACCCATGTCCAACATCTCATCTGCCTCGTCAATCACCACAAACCTGTCAAGTATTTATATCAGCATGATGTATATATATCCGAAAGAATATTGTGGGTAAACTATACTTAAGGCGCTTTAGTGTCAAAATCTTGCCACGCTCCAAAAAATCGGTTAGACGGCCAGGAGTAGCCACAAGGATATCACAACCCCTTTCGAGTTCCATCTTCTGAGTAATTGCGTCCGCTCCTCCATATATGACGCAGGGTCTCAGCATGCTTCGATAACAGAAGCGACGACACTCGTCAAAAATCTGAGTTGCTAGTTCACGTGTTGGGGCAACGATAAGAACGAGAGGTTCAGCGACGTAGCCACGCTGCCCATCGTATGGACGAGCAGCAGCAATGCGCTTTGCCTTGCCCATCAACTTTGACAAGATAGGAATCAGAAATGCAGCAGTTTTTCCAGAACCTAATCGAGTAATCTTAGTGAAGATATTCCTCAAAAAAAAGTTACTTGAAGATAATTTAAAACATACCAGTTTGTGCACAAGAAAGAATATCATGCCCTTCAAGAATAGCTGGAATACAGTATCTCTGAATAGGAGTGGGTACTTTATACCTAGAAAATACGGGTTAGAATTTTTCAAGAACGGTAAGGGGAAAGGAAAAGGAAAAAATCTACCCTGCCAGTCTGATGTTTTCCAACATCACTGGATGAAGTTTAGCCCCATCGAACTATTTAAATCCCAAGTCAATTCTTGTTCAAAAGAGGAATTAACTTTAGAAGCCCAGAGAGACTGGATTCTTAAGGGATTCGTCAAATAATGATGAAATATAGCCAAATGTCGAGACTTACAGATGAGATAGGAACAAGCTGCTCGTTACCCTCAGTAGAGACATTCAGTTGAAAAAGCCTATTCATACGACACCTCTTTAGTAAACGCATTAAATTTCTCGCTGGTAGTTTAGATGAGCCATCTTGGTAAGAATATTCACGAACCTTTCAAATTGGATACCGCTACTAGTAGTTTGTGGGGTGTCTTCGACTTCCCCAAAAAGCATCAACTCCAGCGCCTCATCCCTTGGAGCAACATCTCCATATTCCTCTTTCCATTCATAACGACGGCCAGAAGCGGCCCATTGACCAGTTGGTTCTCCTCGAGGGGCCTCTGGGTCACGATCAGGAGTTGCGTAAGTCTCATAATCGTAAGGTTTACGCTCAACCCAGCCATCAACAACTGGACCTTCGACCCCATCACCAGGTGGCAAGACAGGGTCAGAAAGAGAGATTGAATCAACCTTAAGCTCAATATCAGAGATACTACCAGAAGATCCAGCAGCAGCCTGGGTAATGCCTGAGCCGCTGCGTGAACCAACTATGGGGCCGTCAGCGGGTTTACTACTTCCCCGAGCATCTTTGTTATTGGAAGTAGCGGTACTCCCCCAAGCATCTTTGTTATTGGAAGTAACGGTGCTCCCCCAAGCGTCATCATTGTTGGAGGTATCGTTCATGGTATCCCAGCCGCCAGACATGATGATGATGTATTATTGTTTATTTTAAAAGATGAATGATGGATGGAAATGGGATGGGGTAGAGATGAGATGAGATGAGGTGAGATCGTGGGGGGGATTTTTAGAGGGAAAGGTGGGATGTGGAAGAAGCAGAAGGACTAAGGTACTTGTGGTGGGAGGTAGCGGCGGAAAGGATGTGGTAGCCAGAGCACAGGCGGAAAAATTGCACCGAAATCTTTCACAGGGTGACGCACTCTCAGGTCACTAGCGGCAAGGAATATAAAGCTCTGTCGAAGACCCCCTCTAATTTTTTTTGCCGCATACATGTACCTGTGATGCAGCCACTTTGTCGAGTGATATCTTATGATCACAGTGACATATACCCGAATCTCATTCAAAGCGGCTTAAATATACATATAGACGGCACATATTATAAGCTCTGTATCGAGATTTCTTTTTACTGCATACCTGTTCTACGATTTTAATCGGGTGTAGTTCTACACTACACCGTAGAGTATGTACATGTACTCTATGATCAAACATTGTTGGTGTGTTTACGAGTCTAGGTTTTGTCTTGGCGCCACTGAGTAAAAACAACAAGCGCAGGGTCAATTTGAAAAACAAATCTGCGAACACCTAAACATTCAAATAAAAAAAGATTTCATATGAGAATTTGCCCGTATCATTAAATTCGAATCCCCCTCCTTAATCCACAGGTATTTCTTAAAGAAAACTACGCCCAAAGTACATGTAAGCATCGCCCAGCCTTCCTCTCTGCATGTGGGATCCGCTAACGCCTCTCTTACAAGGTCCTAGACATTTGCATAGCTACTACCAGATAATGTCAGCCAATACGCCCCTGAAACCGCGTTCAATGAATGCCAATTCTCCTACCCCAAAATCTTCCCGTCAAAAAACACACTCAAAAATTCCTTCGTCACCCGCACTTTTAAAAATGAGCAAAACTCCAGCAACTCCCTTGAAATCACCCTTGAGAACACCGTACTCGGCCGGCATGTCAAAACTTTCACAAAGCTCGGCAGCATCATCACCGTTCTTCTCATCACCGTCAGGAAGAGGAGGGTCCCCAAGCAAGTTGAGCGATTTCGAGCTGATTGGCGTTGATGATGAAGAGTTCGATGAAATTCTTACTGGGACTGGCAATGGCAATACCAGCAAGGCCGAGGCCGGTGATGTCCAACCGGGCACTGATGTCGGTGATGATACAGTGTGTTCCAACTTCTCCGACGTGACAGCCACCCAATATGGAGCAGGCAAAACAGCAGCACAAGAGTCCCCAATTCCAACAGAGACTTCAACAGCAAAAGAGTCCCCGATTCCCAAAGGGACTCCAACAACGCGAAAGCGAGCACCAACTCTCTCAAAGATTTCGCAAGATGCCTCTTCTCCCACCGCTGTACGAGAATCTACATCCTACAAAAAACCGCGCCTCGAATCACGCCTCGAATCACGCCCCACAACACCCAGCCGCACACCCGTGGGAACCCCGCGCAAACATAATACTCGCTCATCCTCCAAAGGCAGCAGTAGTCCTCTCTTCACTCCCCAAAACTCACACTCTAAACTCCCCATTGGAACCCCCAACCTCCTAGATTTCACTACCCAATTGTCCAACACCTCCGGAAAACCTTCCAACCAGACCCCCTCGCACAGCCGCACGCGTTCCGCTTCACCTTACAAGACCGAGTCGCCAAAGAAGCTACCACTTCCGCCAAGCACGCCAGCAGAAAACCGCTTCTTCAGTCTCCTCGACTTTGATTCAGGCCCTCTTGCAACTCCCCGCAGCATACCGTCAGTAACACCCCGCGAAGTCGAGACACTAAAAGCCACCTTCAATACCCAGATTGCACAACTAAAGGCTGAGATATCCGGGCGTGAGACCGAGGTCACAGACCTCCGCTCCTCAATTGCAGAAAGCGAGTCTACCCGCGCTGAGCTGACAAACAATTTGAAAGAAGTCGAAGCCCGCATTGAGGAAGAACGCGAAAACTGGCGCAGCGTCAAAAAGGAGCTCGGCGAACTTTTTGAGGCCGAAAAAACAGAGAAAGAGACATTGCAATTGGACGCTGAGAAGCGCGAGATTGAAGTAACGAAATTACGGGAGCAGTTAGAAGAGATGGCAAGAGAACTCGCAGATTCCAAGCTGCGCATTAGTGAAGCTAAGGAAGAAGCTGCAGCTGCAAAGGAAGAGGCATCAAAAGCTAGGAAGGAGGCCGACGAAGCTATAGCTGCATCTTCTGCGGAAGGGAAAGTGCTCAACGTTCCCGTTGCTACTACTGGCAACGTACAGGCTGAAGTCGAAAAGGTCGCCCGAGAGCTTCATACGCTCTACAAAGCTAAACATGAAACTAAAGTCGCGGCACTAAAGAAGTCCTACGAATCCCGCTGGGAGAAGAAGGTTATTCAGCTCACAACCGACCTTGAGGCCGAGAAACGAAAAAATGAAGAACTTGCAGCTGGGATTGTAGAAAAAGGCGCTGGTGACATGACTAATGAATTTAAATTCTCTGACGCTGCCGAGAAGGAACTTAGGGATGAGCTTGCGAAGTTGAAAAGGGAGCTTAACATGGCGATGAACGACCTGGATATGGAGCGAAGAGAGAAGGGCGAATTAGTCGGCGCTGTGGAAGAACTACTCGCCATCCAGACGGGAATCAACATTAATGAGGACCAGGCAGCTGCCGAAACAGAAGTAGTGAAGAAGAAGGTCGCAAGGGTGAGTGGTGCCGGATTACCATCATCAACTCCACCACCTCCTCCGCCAGCAGCAGTAGTAGCTCGGCCCAACGGTGCGGCTACAGGATTCGGGCTCAAAAGTGGTATTGCAAGAATGGGCGGCGGAGGAGGGATCAAAAGGAGTGCTGATGAACAGAGCTAGGAATAAGTGCTTTTTTTTTTTTGTGAGAAAATGGGTATGGAGTTGTATTTTGATTTAGAGGCCAGGAGGGTGAAGGATGGGTTTCTTTTTCCTTTCGTTATTTCATGAGTGCTGAATTGTTTTGGTGTATTCGTCAATACATTATTGACGGAAAATACATGTAGTTCTAACGATACCACGGGTACTTGGTATACTCATTAATGCGTCTCCTATGTAGCCGCTTACTCGGCAGCTACATTACCTGCTACCTGATCCCCCTCTGTCTCCATTTTCCCATGTCCCAAAACGCGCGAACCCTACAGATCGTCTCCAGTGTCAAGTCCATACACTGGAGATCACTGGTTCAGCGCAACATAAACGCCCGAGCTACCTTTTTCTCTCTGCTTTCTTACCCCTATTCTCATAGCGGGCAGGAAGGCGGGGGAAGAAGGGGGGGCACCGATTTTCAGACTCGAACTCATAAGTTGTGGGGTTCGGACTAAATGTTGGTGCACATCTGAGTTTGTAGAGATAAACAACAGTGACAGTCTATGAAGCTGTAATACCCTTTCGGAGTAGGGTTGCAGGGATATATTCTGCTCTAAATATAGAAATGAAACCTATTTGAATCTCCGTCATCAGATATCACGACGGCCCAAGTGCTGACTAGTTGACCACCGTGCGTGTACGTGACTTTGACGTCAAGCCGCTTACTCTGCTCGGAGTCTGCTAACCGATAATCCCAGCCTTCCAAAGAATTGATAGCCGCCTCACCCTGACCGCGCGATTAGTAGAGTAGTGCCTGTTATACTGTAGGTACTATTATCGTCCTAGGGTCAACGTCGGAGGTTGAGAAGTTTCAGTGGAACCAAAATGTTTCACCACCACCCCACAAAAGAAAGTTGCGGCTCGATAGTTATCGAACATGGTTTCATGGCGCCTGGAGGTTTGACATGATTTGCGCTGGTGTGACGTGCGTTTCCCTCTCGTTTGCAGGTTGATACTACATGTACGTATGTAGAGTACTCTATGTATCTACTACTCTATTCTACATGTACTCTACCGCAAGCTCCCTCCCGGTGCAGATATTGACTTGAGGTTGACTCTGGAGTAGAGTACCTACATACATGAGTTGCCTACTAGAGTAGATGTATGTACCTATAAGGTACTCTAAATACCCGAAGACGGGCCTCATCTAGATTATCCGTCCGTCTAGTATATCCGCATTAAGCAGAACAATTTGTGCCTGTGGAAAGGAGGCTTTTTCAAAAGATACTCTGGCCGGAGTAGTATGTAGATATTAGAGTGAGTGCCTACTTCCCATATCAAATATCAAGTCCCCTTCGCTCCTTGCCGATAATATATATCTTCTCTACCCTTCCTTCCTTCGTTCCTTCCTTGCTTCCATCTCATTGTCCATCTAGAAGAACACAGCAGAGATACATCGCATACGTACCCTAGACATCCACTTATCATCTCAAGGGAAGGGAGAATCCTCCCAGTGGGCAGCAAAAGCAAAAATAAAAGGCTTGTCCCATCCGTGCGCTCTCATTCGGCGAACCAGACTACCGGGATTTTCTGATCTGCTGGCCTGGACAACGCATAATTCTGTCTTGTCTGCTTCCCACCAGCCTTTTTAAGGGAAAAGCGCAAATACCTAGGCAGATATAGGAGACTGGAGAGGTTCGGGTTTCCTTATTCACGCCTGTCCATCCAGGCGTTTCTAAAGACATTTCTCCCTCTCTCTCTCGTTTGTCATTTGCTTTCCAATTGGTTTTCGAGGGTTCCACAACGGGCGAACCAGCCGAGCTTTCACACGCGGCCCATCCCCGATAAGTGACCAGTGAGCGTCCAGGAATAGATTCCAATACTCAATTGGACTGGGCTTTATCCACAAGAGTGGCAGGCTAGGAAAGTCAGCGGTATCCATCTAAGGATCCATCTGACATATTTCTTTTCGTTGTGGGGAAGGAAAGAAGGCGGGCATATCAGGCTTGTCCAGTGATTCCAGAACAACACTGGCTACAACATCATCGCTGCTCACTGCCAGCATCATCATCAGTCAGGTTTTCCTCCCAGCAACCTACGTGTTGCTGGAGAAAGTTAGTAGATAGAGGATAGAGGTGGGTTCTCTCTCGATAGTTATGGCTCTTTGCCATCCTGTCCATCGATCCATCCCACACCTCCCCCCTCTACCCCAACCCAGCCCCCCGAATTAACATCACCCTATCGTTCGTACACATATTGACACACTACTACTCCCAACCTCCTTATCCTCCCCCCGTACCCTCGCTCTTTCTTCGAAAAGAAAAAAAAAATAGTGAATTAATTCATTGTACGCTGTGGATACTGATGTTGTTGCTGGACAGGAAGTTTAGAGACAAGCTCAGCACTAATACACAACGCGCCAAACTGTCCCCATTTGCTGCCATTCCCTTTACTAGTTTCTCTTCCCTTCCATCACCTCCCTCCTCCCAGCCCCCTTTGAAGTAATTCACCCATTCACGTCGCCAACTTGTTCTCCTCCTCCTCCTCTCCGTCCTCGTCGTCACCGACACCGACGAGAGGCGAATTTATCAGAGGCTCTGAATACGCTGCCCGTCGAAGATCTACTACAGACTCGCCCACTCTTCCCGAAATTGAATCTGCACGTCGAGTTTCCCGACACACACTTTCGGCCATCCACTTTGCCCTAGAAGAAGCAATTCGCACCCCATATCCGTTTACTCCAGATAGTGAAGAAGAGAACGCGTCCATGTCAGCGATGATGGCGGCAGGTACATCTGGACCAACACCAGTGACCCAGTTCGCATCCGTTCCCAGTGCGCCTCAGCAACGCGGTCACTCACGTCAACCCAGTTCAACCGCGAGGTCACCTGGCCAACCGCCGCAACAACATCAACAACAGCAACAGCAATATCAACAACCACAGCAACAGCCCGCTCAGTCCCAGGGCGGCGAATCATCAACACGACGAGAAGGCGGCGGCAGGGCGCGGAGTAATAGCCAAGCCCCACCGCAAAATGGGGCAGGAGGTAGCAGTAGTGCCCAGCAGGAAGCTTATGCAAGAGTCGCTTCGCAGCAACCAAAGATGCCCGCAGGATCGGCGAACCAGCGAGTGCACGCACCAAGGCCCCCACCGATAGCAACTTCGGCTACTGGTGGCGCACCCGGTCCGGGAGCATCGGCGTCATCTAGAACACGCCAGGCCGAGCCATCGAGACAACCGGAACAAGCACGTGCGCAGGCCCAATCCGGGGCGCAAGCTCAACCCCAATCTCAACGTCATGCCCAGTCTCAGCAGCAAGGCCAACAGGCAGGTTCGTCGAGTCGTCCTGCGACCAGTGCTGCGCCAGGCCTGGCAACTGCTCCTGGAGCCCCTTCAAGTTCCACGAGTCGTCAGCCAGGCCAAACCGTAACAAGTAGTTTCCCCCATGCTTTTGAGCGATGGGAGAGACTATCTTCTCGATGGGAGGGATTGACCGGCTACTGGATCTCACGTCTTGAACACAATCGCGAGGAGTTGAAGAACCTGCCGCTTGAGCAAGAAATGGCGCGTCAGATTAGCGATTTGTCAACCGCAGGTGCCAACCTTTTCCAGGCTGTTGTAGAACTTCAGCGTCTTCGCGCTTCATCGGAACGTAAGTTCCAGCGCTGGTTCTTTGATACAAAGTCTGATCAAGAACGGGCAAAGGAAATGAGCAGTGAGCTTGAGCGCTCTCTGCGAGTCGAGCGACAAAAGCGGGCAGATGCAGTTACTAACATTCAAAAACTGGAGAAGGAAAAGGCGACAGCTGAGAAGCTTGTTGAAGAGATGCGTCGGGAACTGCAAATTTCAAGAGAGGAATGTAGACGTGCCTGGGAAGAACTTGGTAGGCGGGAACAAGAAGAACGGGAAAGAACCAATAGTTTGAGAGAAGGACACCCGACTCTCGTTGGTGGCGTTCAGGTGCTTCCAATGCCCATGCCGGGAATGCCAATGCCTACTCGTAGCGGAAGCGGTGCGAGACCCAGAACCTCTTCGAGTTCCCATGCAGGTGGATCTGCACAACCAGATGCTCAGCCCTATCAAGAGCATTACGATTACTATGGTAGTAGCCCTGTACAGAGTGACCTTGGTCGAAGTGATCTTGGCCGGAGTGATCTTGGCCGGAGTGATGTTGGTAGGAGTGATGTTAGTGCTGGGTTACACCATGAGCCTGCTTCGCCCGCACATGCCCAACACACATCAACAGCGGCAGCTACTGCTCCCTCGTCTGGTGTTGCCGGTACCCCCTCCCCAGCCTATCCCCCTCCCCAGACCCCTCAAGGTCAAAATTCGAAGAGACAACAAGCTAAGTTTTATCAACAAGACCAACTCAACATTCATCCTGACCCAACACGTACCTTCTCGCCCGAGTCCGGCTCATACGTGACCAACGGTTCCGGCGTTCGATCACGCCACTCTGGCTCGGTAACCATCTCCGATACCTCTGACGTTGGCTTTAACGACACCAGCGGGGCGTGGGAGTTAGACGCGCAAGGCCAAGTCCTCCTTGATGAAACAGGCAATCCTGTGCGGCAGTATGAGCGTCGTGAGCCCTCGCGCGCCGAATTGGAAGATGAAGATGAGGAAGAACTATCGTGGAACAGAATGCCAAACTATGATGGCGCGGCATATTCTGACAATGGTGGTGGAGGAGTTCCGGTAGGATATGGCCCAGGATGGGAGACAATTCCACGGGCACCACATCACCACCCGACGAGATTGAGTGATGTGCCAGAGGAGGAGGAGGAAAGAAGGACACTGATGGGAAGTGAAGGGGGGAGAATGAGTCGGTGAGTTTTGTGAGGATGGCATGGATATGCAAGGGCGATGAGAGAGCAAAAGGAAGAGGAATGTACGAGAAAGGAAGAGGGAGTATTAATGCTGTGTGAAGTCCTTAAGTGGACGAACCCCTCCTCTCTCTTTAGTTACTACACGTATTGTTCATTAACATGTTATCTGTTCGCGAAATATCTTGTCCTGTCTTGGTTTGATAGTTAGTATACGGTGGGGTTTGTTTTTGCTGTTATGTGTTATGGGAGTTTTCCTTCTTCTTTTCGTTTGACATATCTTTGTTTTTCCCTGTACTGGCTGCTTTTATCTTGTCTACCCGGTACTTCCTTTTTCCTTTTGTGAAGGACATTTAAAAAAAAGACAGATTTCCTGCTTGTCTCGCTCTCATTAATACATCTTTGCTTGCTGGGTGTTTTGATATTTATGCTGTGTACTGATTTTTCTTATTTCTTTGCTGTTCTATTGTGATGTCCTTTATGCGGTGGGTGGTTGTTGGGATGCGGGATGCGGGATGGAGGAAAAACTGTTTTATAGACCGCTTCAGCTGGTACGATCGTGATTGAAAAAAGATGTTGTGGTGTGGTGAATGATATTATTTTAACCAGATCTTGTGTATGAACTTTTTAATGGGCAGTGTGGGGAGGTACCGAGGTCCGCTCTCAATATATATATCCTTTGAGATGTTCTATGACGGTTTATGATCCAACCTCGGAGCTGTGATAACATCGATAACATCATCATGAGCTGTTGTTGCCTTTCCTATTTGGGAATAGATCCCGAGTGATTTGTTGTGATTCTGGGGTTTTTTTTTCTTTTCTTTAATTCATTAATTGTGATGCTGGGGTTTGGAGTGCTGGGAGGTTTTTTTCGAACACAACTTTTGAATTGTGACCCCAAAACTGGCGCTACCTCTAGGTCTGTTTCTGCCTACCCCTAGTTAGCCTCGCAGTACGTCCATGTCTTGAGTTGTACACCCCCCGGTCCCATCGTAAAGCTGATTTGGGTATACGTACTACATGTATGTAGTTCCTCTCTATAATCATTTCGTAAGCCAGGTGGCCATGTTTATAGTCAGCGCTCTCGATCCCTGGACGAGTGGCATTTTTTCTGCAGCTGAAGATCGGCGCATCTTCGGCGGATTCTTCGCCACGAAGACATAGTCGTGGCAAACATTTAGGCGCCTTTTGATTCTTTTCCGTCAGTGTTTTGAGTTGAGTATCAATGAGGAGGAGGGGCGGGGGGGTTGACTAGTTAGTGGTTGTGCACTGTTATGTACTTCCAGCGACGTTGACCAACTGCAACACAGCTGGACACCTGCCTACGGTCATCCAACAGCAAACTCAGCAACACTACTCTCTGTCAAATTTGGCACTGCCTCTCCAAAGCAACAGGAGGCCCCAGCTTTTCCAGACCCCCAACCTGTCCAACAGAGACAGGGCTTAAAACCACTCCATGGCCGCCCCACTCAGTCGCCATCCATATCGTTCTCCTATTCGCGCATTCACTCCTCAGCTACCCATCTCCAAAAGGAACATTGGCCTGCTCACAGGTAAGACATGGGAGAAAAGAGTTTCGAGTTACCGCTAATGTGATGATCATAATCAAGCATTTTGGGTCCGCGAGGCCTTGTTCATTGAGACTTGTGTAGTCCCCCCCCCCTCCCCCCATATATTGCACATGAGCACCTCGCTCTCCCTAATACTACATGATATCAGCTGAACCAATTTACTTTTAGAAGAAGCCCTGCATGTGTTTATATGGAGAATTTACCGTGACTTTGAGACTTTCTGTAAACCGGAACTCCAAAGTAGGCTAAATCGCCAATTACTAGCACAAGGAAACCCCCTTGATTACTCATGGAAGCTCTGGTGATAGAAAAGAGCGACCACTATCTCTACCAGTACGATCAGCAAAATTATATGCATGGTAATGTACTCTTATAGTTATATCTTTTGATGTTCTTCACAGCGAAACACCAAGGGTACTAATTACCCGTATTGTCTACGGGGTAGAGGTGTCTTATATCTCAAAAATTTCGAGATATAACTATGGTTTAGCTGGCTAGTCAGACGCTATAAACCCCCCTCGGCTTGAGCCAACTTGTAGTTGATTCAATCTCAGAACCACCCTTCTTCTCACCCAAGCTTTTGCGCCTCCTGCTGTCCTCACGACAAAAGGATTATTGGGTTCCGAATCACTATTACCTACACTTTTGTGCACGGACAGGCCGTATATCACGCCTCAATCCAGTATTCGAATTCAGCAATCTGCAGCAAAATATCTCATTTTAGAATAAATTTGTCGGGAACACACCGCCCCAACACCGGCAGAACTCTCTGTACCTAAACTTTGAGGCCCCACTGGGCGATTTACTAGATATCCCTGGGGTACAGAGAACACGGTTATGGTAGTAATTCTGCAATATCATTAGAGCAGGCAAACGTTACTCCCTGGTGGGACATTGTGATCATATTACCCAAAGTACGGCGGAAATAAAGGTACATATGTCTAACTCAGGCCACCAATCTCGAGTGATGGGTGGTGATCATCATATATCAAAGTACCAAACTTGATCCGATTTCTACAGCTGCAATAGCAACGCGGGTTGGTCAAAACTTATTGCAAGCCTTTATAAAAAAAAGGAAACCTTGGCTCTTTGGGAAGAAGTCTCCGGCAAGGTCACACCATCGTCCCGTGTACGCACATACATGTGTTAATGTGCACAAGGGGTACATGTAGGCAAGTGCTTTACTTTACATCAAAGTCTAGATTTAAGTTTCCCGTACTCAACGGGATGTGCAAGGATGTTACTTAACGTCCGGCCAAGTCCGTATATATGTGTCTGAATTGAGGCGATGGTTACTCGGAGAATATGATATCCAAACACAACCCCAGGCCCCTGAGCATGAGCCAGAGGTCAGGTCCCATTTATCCGGTTAACGAATCCCGGCTAGAAATTCAACTTTGTACAACTATGGCAATCATTAAAAACCTGCCTGTAGTCCTTTAAATAGGCCCATACCTGTACCCAAATACGACAGGGAAACCCAGAGATCAACCAGCCAAGTAGCTAGTTAGCTGCCGGCTCTAATTAACTTTATCTACTGCGGTCGCTGTGACTAGCTAAAAATATAGCCCCTGTGAAATCGTTATTCCTTCCCATTGAGCTTAAACGACAGGAGCGGACTCCAATTCCTGATCAGCGGGTATATCATTATTAGGATGTACTTTAGTGCACATGGAATACACAACTGCGATCTCCCGTGTGGTGAATGAATTTTGCCTTCCAGGCCCCGCTTAAAGGGTAGGAACCCAGTATGGGTGTCACAAAGTTGCTTAATTCACCCCAAGATGTACATGGGAGTAAATTACTTACCTGCAGTGTTATGTACTGCAAATATCTATATGAGGTAGAGCTTGCCTAGATATATGTATGTACTTCAATATCAGGATATCTTTCCCTGTCCACACAGCTGAGTATCGAGGGCTAAAATTCGGGTTCTAAAATCGTGCAGAAAATGACATATGGTTTTCTATTTACCTGCCCCAATTGGTTGTTGGAATTGTGTTATGATAACGATGGTGTTCAAGGCGGAAGAATAGAAGAAAAAGCCTGTGCTTCTAGATCAACCGCTTGACCTGTTCAAACCATTTCGGGCCTGGTTTTTTCTTTATAAAAGGCCTTATCCCGCCGGTCCCGGCCACGGAAGGGTACCCCGCTCTCACCCTCATCTCCCAAAACACCCTTACAATCTCAATGTTTTCTCTCCTATGTTCCCTTCTTCTCCTTGTAACCGGCGTGACTGCAGTCTGCCCTATCCCCGCCATCTACATTGAACCTACAATCACCCGGCCGTTCGCGATCCAAGTCCAAAATGCCTCCTACCCAGTGGTCCACAACCGCCTCATGAACCTTTGGCAAGCAGGCGGTGGGGATCAGCATCTCTATCTCAGCCCTGCTGGAACACCCACTAGCAACCTCACTCTTGTGGATGGGGTTATCACGCGGCTACCTATCAGGGCGGTCATCAATGGCGAGGTAAACTACATAAGATGAATAAGGCTACGTAGGCGGCTGATTAGAATGATGGGTGAATAGTACACGGCGACAGACAACACTACAAAACTGTTCATGACACAGCGCGGCGATCCCAGGGCGTTTTTCGATGTCGGATATGGGTGCAACCAGACTGATGATACATTGCAGACTGAGCTGCATTTTAGGGGTCGGGGGACACTACCAGGGGGGCACATCTGTGTTAGGTTGGCGTCGGGGAATAGGTATGAGTTTAGGTACTCGCCGCCTGGGAATACTGGTTAGTGGATTCTGTCCTGATGTGTGAAGAGCGGGATGCAATGGGTGCTAACGTATAGATGAAGGTATAGCGAGTGAGAGGTTGTGCATCAAAGTTGCGTTAGCTATCATGTTCCAGGAAACTGCGGTGGTAGAGGAGACTCCGGAGTTGGACGGGTAGTCAGAGGTGTTGTGGACTTGGTTGAGTATCTTCGAGTTATGACTTACAGTAGCCGGTCGATTATTTGATGTCTCTGTTCCACTTGATGTATACATATACTACTGGGCAGCAACCTAGCGAAAAGGCGGAGCATGGGGAGCGAATAAAGATAACAGGGATAACATAAAGACTTCTATATGAATTTATGTAGCTCAACTAACGTATCATACTGTGGCACTGCTTTAGATCCTCTAATAATTTTACGAGGGCTTTCCTGGCAATTTACTGAAAAATATAGACGCCGTTTGAGGGCGAGTGATTTTTTGTGATCAAACCTAGCCTGATATGTGCATATGTATGTAGGCACATGACTACATGAGCTAAAACATATATACTCAGGTTTATTGTTTGTTTCAAAGATTGGAGCCAACACTCACCTAAATGTTGATAGAGACAGAAGTTACATATACCTACATCGTAGACATTTTGACGGGACTGCCACCCACGCGCGCGGCCTTGCAATTGCACGAGTACGTACGGACATGTATCTGAAGGCATCGCGTGTTGGGTATATTATACTTCCTTTATTTAAATCTGGATTTTTCTCTTTCCCTTGGATCTGTATTTCTCTTGATGTGGGGGGTTGTTGATAAACAACGCGTGGCACTAGATGTTTGAAATCTCGCTTCGTCTCAAGTTCTTAGCGGTGGTAAATTATTAGGGGGTGCTAGCAGTCTTGGTAGGGTTTAGCGACTAATAAGCTTGGACTAATATGGCCGGCGCTAAGCCACTTTTAGCGAGTAATTCTAGAGCAAACCTCAACTGGCGAGCTAGGAAGGTGAGTAGGAAAAGTACGATGAAGGAGGGAAAAAATCGGGTAGAGTTGTAGGTACCTAATTGTATGCATGTATGTCGATAAATAGAGGTTCATCTTCGGGGATTTAAAAAGTCTGTAACGTCGACTGGATAGGATGTTTAAAGAGATGATGCCTGACGCAAGTGCCATGTACATACTCTAAAGCATGCAGAATTCCTCCTCCCGCGGAGTCCCGCCCCCAATCCCAGTCCTACTCCCACTCCAGCTGAAACCATCAGGCTTGAGACATGGCTTCACTGAACAGTGGTAGTAGCTAGGGTTGACTGAGGTGGGGAAGCGAATGGCATGGCTACCGTCACCTCACCTGTTGCGTTGAACGCACAAACCAATTTGGAGGGAAACGCCGTTATGTACCAAGGGTTATGAGACTTATGAGTGTTGGTCTTTACCACTTCAACTCTGGCGATATCCGTTTGAAGGTTCCTAAACCGATCCACGCCAGTGAGCGAGCTCCTAATAAAGAATAACTGACTCTCTAGACTCGTCGCGAAATTCTGTATGGTAGATCCTTGAGCAGTACGGTGCGACAGGACCCTGTCCCAGCAAATTTGATTGTCCCAATTGTATTTTAGAGAGGAAAAAAAAAAGTCGGGGAGGAAGCCCTGGCCAATTTCAAGGTGGAGGGAAACGAAACGATGATTTCCCAGCTTTCCTTCCCTCTATCTCCCTCCCCTTCCCCCTCCCTCTTCGAACCATTTTTTTGCCCGATCGCCCCCATACTTCCTTCCCACCACCTCCGTACCTACCTATTCTCCCCTTCTCCTTCCTCCCTCTCTCTGACTGATCCGTCATCAATCGCCGCTGGTCGTTCGCTGTTGTTTGCTCGGAATCTTCCTGTCCCTGACGTGTTTGTCAATACGTTACGTTGCTCTAAGACACACACCCTTCGATAAACAATCGGCCAAAAGAAAAAAAAGAATAGTATTCGAACCTCGAGTAATAATTCGTTTTTTGTACGAATATATATATATTGAGCTATTCTTTTTTTTTCTTGTTGCTCTCGTCACTTGTCACGCCAACTGAGACTCATCTGGTTTTACCGGTCGTCGCGCTTCACTAGTAAATACAGCTACTGCAAGGTAGCTACTGAAGCGAGAGCTTGAACCTCACTACAACCTGCAAGGGGCTGCATCACCACCCGCTGCCAAAGCTCTTATCGCGAACAGACTTTCTATCTCTACATACCGAGAGCGAGAGCAAGAGAGATCTTGGGTTTTTATATGAACACGTGAGAGAAAACGGTCAAACAAAACAGTACGTAAGATTTCCAATTTATCATTTAATTTCATTTTAAGCTATTCCGCCCTTGCCCAACCACACAAAGGACTACCACCGCTGACCATGTCAAATAGATACAATACAATATATCCCTCACACCTCAATTAATTCTCTAAGATCCATCAGTACAATGGCCTCCGTCAACGGCTCTTCGTCAACGCTACAAAAGCGGCCTCCAACCCCCAAATCTTCCTCATCGGCCCCTAAAACTAACGGTGGTCCCCCTCCTCCTATCCCCGATTCCAAGAAAGACGTTCATCCTCCGCGGCGCTCCTCGCTCAATTTCCTCCGTCGTACAAAGTCAGGTGATCCAGTCCGTAAGGTCCCAGTCGTCGCCGCGGAGGCGCCAAAGCTACCCACTATCTTCAACGGCGCGGCAAATAACGCTGCTATGCAGGCGCCACCGTCGCGAAATGGGTTTGGGAGGGAAATTAGAGACTCAGTCGCGATTATAAGCGGAAAGTTTGGTGCGGACGAGGAGTACGGCAACGGTGTAGGAAAGGCCAACCCGCTGGGTGGGTATGTGCCTGGAAGGAAGTCAACCGATAGTGTAGTGGGGAGAGAGAATACGTATGTGACCACTAGCACTGTGCCATTTACAGAGGATCCGTATGCAAAGGAAGGAAGTATGGCACATAGAGGGAGGTATTCGTACGCGAGTAATACCAGTAGCAGTACTTATATCAATTCCCCAAGAAGGGTCAGGAGGAGGAAAGATCCAACGCCATTCAAGTAAGCTTCTCTCTGATCTTTTTATGTTGAACCAATTGCTAACTCCTCCCAATAGTGTTCTCGTTATTGGCGCTAAAGGTTCTGGTAAAACATCATTTCTACGCTTCCTCCGTCAGTCACTCGCCCTGAAGCCTAAACGCGGGCAAGTGATCACCGCGGACGAGAGCCCTGAAGCTCCCGCACAGGCCGCTGACTTGACCGCCACATTCAATTCCTCATACCTCGAAACTGACATTGACGGCGAGCGCATCGGACTCACCCTCTGGGACTCGGCTGGCTTGGAGAAAAACCTTATCGACTTGCAGATTCGCCAGACCGTCGCTTTCCTAGAATCGAAATTCGAAGAAACATTCACCGAGGAAACTAAGGTCGTCCGTGCCCCCGGAGTAAGGGATACCCATATCCATTGTGTATTCCTGCTCCTTGACCCTGCGCGCCTAACACCGAATAACCATTACCATGGTAAAAGCGGGAGCAAGGAAGATGTTGGTGGTCTTGACAACGATCTCGATATCGCCGTTCTTAAGGCTCTACAGGGAAAGACTGTCGTTATCCCTGTCGTTAGTAAGGCGGATAACTGCACCCTCGCACATATGGAATCTTTGAAGAAGCTCGTCCGCAAGGGTCTAAGCCGTGCCGGAGTCGACCCTCTAGATGCGCTCGATCTCGAGATTCCAGAGACCGACAGCACTGGCAAAGGCAACAGGGGCTCCCTCGCCGAAGTTGATGAGGAAGACAACGACGATCTACCGGCAGCCCATAACTCTATCTCCTCTGCCGGATCCGATAACGGAAGACACGAGGAGGATGAAGGAAATTTGTCGCTGTTACCATTGTCGGTGATTTCCCCGGATTCGTATGAACCAGGTGAGCCTGTGGGTAGAAAGTTTCCTTGGGGATTTGCGGATCCGTACGATGAGGGCCACTGCGACTTTGTCAAGTTGAAGGAGGCTGTTTTTGTGGCTTGGAGAGGCGACTTGAGGGAGAAGAGCAGAGACGTGTGGTATGAGAACTGGAGGAGTGATAGGTTGGGGGCCAACCGGAAGAAGTGAGTCCTCGGAGGTGTGTGAAGGCGTTCGTTTACGTGAGAGGAGGCTTGGTTCCCTCAAGTATTTTATTTGTGGTATTTTTTTTTTTTTATATTTCCTTCCATTTCATACTTATTCTCATATTGAAGCAGCCAGAAAGTCATTCTGGGAGTTATCAAGCGGTCATTTACCCTTTTTCTTTTCCATTCCATTTTCTTTCATTTTTTTTTCATTTTCTTCGGGCTTCTGGATGGAGTTCTTTTTTTTTCGGTTCTGTCGGAGTGATGTGGGGACTGCCGGTTATCTTTTCTTGTATGTCTTTTTTTTTTATCAATACTGTAGCTTAGCTTAACATAACTTTTATGTCCTATTTTCTTTTCTCTTCTCTTCTTGATACCCTCTTCGTCGACTATGTTGACTACATATGTCTGTAGTTAGTGGTCTTGACCCCTTAATCCTGGATATTGATATCCGGATATCTTTTCATTTTTGACAGCCACATTAAGCGGCTTATAACTATACCTATCCTTTTTAGTACGTCGAACTAGGATAAAATTATGGCCTGCAATGGTGATAGGCGGTGATAGGGGACGAAGAGAGGTTGTTGTGTTGGGGTTTGGGATTGATCAACAGTGCATTTAAGCTTATCCTTATCGCCATCTCATCTTATCTTATCATTATCATGAGTGGGGGGGGAATGGGAGCTCCCAATTACAACCCCACTCATCAATTCCAATTGATTTCGATTGATATCTCGCCTTACCACGTAACCTGCAATTAAAGATTAATAAACCTCTCATAAATCTAAATGACATCCCCAACTCACCACGGTGGTCCTCTAGACCTCACACCCGAAACTGCCCCGCCCCAGTCCCTCTCTGAGGCCGGTATCCATGTGGAGCTTACCCACTCCCCGCTCGACATCACCACTGCACTCGCTCGTGTTCGCAGCCCTAAGGCTGGCGCTCTTGTTCTCTTCGCTGGTTGATATCCCCTTATTACTATATTGTGGGTTAGTAGTAGCTAATTAACACCGCGCAGGCACAACGCGAGACAACTTTGACTCGAAGCCGGTCGAGCACCTCTCCTACACTTCGTATCCTCCGCTGGCGCTGCAGACGCTGCTCAAGATCTGCCGTGAAATGAAGGAGAAGCACAGTTTGATTGGGATCTCGATCATCCACAGGCTGGGAACGTGTCCTGTGGGCGAGGAGAGTATATTGGTAGCTGTGAGTGCGCCGCACAGAAAGGCGGCGTGGAGCGCGGGCGAGGAGTGCCTGGAGATCGTGAAGGAGAAGGCGGAGATATGGAAGCTGGAGACGTTTGTGGGCGGGGAAGGGGTATGGAGGGCGAACAAGGATGGGGTGCAGGATGGTAGTACCACTGCGCAGGTTTAATGCAGTGCAGCCAAGGGGTGGAGCGGTAATGATTGTGGTGCGGGTTTTTGGTGTAAATAGAATTTTAGTGGGTGCAATTACGGGTAAAAAGTAGTGTGGAGTCGCGGGCTCTTTGGACAAAAGGTAAATACATAATTTTAAAGCACACAGTCAAAAGCTTTTCCTACATCTCCCATATATATATAAAAAGAAAGAAAAAATCATCGATTGAAGCCATATTACTCAAGCGTATTGAGGTTCGACTGTGAGAATATAATGTGCCTCAAACCCTCGAGCTCTTCCTCGCCCTCCATCATCACCTCATTATCTGGCCATGGGGGGATCCCATTCTCACGGCGCATCTGCTCCAAAATATTTGGGCCTCCATCTGCTAAGCAGGCGCCCTCGCCGTGCTTACAGCATGCGCCGGTGTGATTTTGATGCTCGATGAACCAGGCAGGGAGTTCATTCTGATACTGCTCGGCTGACCAGGCAGCTGCAGGGAGTGCGTTCTGATTTCTCCACTGCTCAAGCTCGTGGGGTTCAAGCTCGACCAACTTATCCATGGGCACCACGCCCGAGTAGCGTGTGATCATGTTCCGGCCAAATGTGCACAGGTGGGGTGTGCTCTTGCTCGTGCCTTCTGGGGTCCAGCTCATGATCCATGATCTCTGCCCAATCGTGAAAATATCGCCGACTTTATTTTCAACCTGGCTACGATCCGCAGTGTCTGTACAATATGTAGGAATGGCAATTAGCATATTAGAGTGAATTGTAGTCGGAAGAGGGGAGACGGGGAGGGGGGGGGGAGAAGGGGAAGAAGGGGAAGGAGAAACTCACCCCACTTGAAACTTTTGGCAACCTTGTAGTGCGGGAAGAATACCAGGCAGGTGGCATTCACGAATCCAATCTCGGCAGTGTTTAAGGAAAACACTTGAACTCTGAGATCTCTTTTTGCATATAAGGTCTCCTGGCCTTTCGAGGTATCCTCAAAGAGGAACTGATCATCCATAGAATGTTGGATAATGTCTTCTCCCAGGGGAGGTACTCCCAAGGGAGGTACTCCGTCAGGGTACTTCTTGTGACTGCAAATTGCGATGGCATGGGCAAAGATGTGCTGGCCTTCGGGTTTATCTGTGACCATATAGTAATGGTCGAGATTAACTTTTTGTGCTTCCCATGGCAGGCGCTTTTTGCCCATCTTGCCAGAGCTAGAGGCTCCGGGGGGTTGATACTCTAGTCCGATGACTTCGTTCACGGGCCCAAGAGCTAGCAAGGAGACAGGGACAAAAACATGTCTCCCTTCGGAATTGACCAGAAGCTGAGTATCTACTTTGAAGTCTGATCTCTCCATATGGCGGCTGCTTGTAGGTTTAGCAAGCTAGCTGTTATAATATGGAGCTGGTGGTAAGCTTCCGTTATTTATGATATTGTCACATTCATAGCCAGGCCTAAACCCCCCCTCCCCCCGGGGGCCCCTCAGGAGCGTGCACGTCCCTTCTCCACAATTCATTGATATTCCCCCATAGCTCCCATCTCTGATAAACGGCGGCTAGAGATCGCCACTAGCCAGATTGAGTGGAATATTGGGTTGGTTATTGTCTGTCCTTGATCGTCCGAGTGTGATATGAGTATCGTTCGTCCTGTCTTGCCGTCTTGTGATATGTCATTATTATATGGAGCTTCCCACGTAGAAATAATAATCAAAAATTGCATCCACCATTCGATCACTAGCCTAACAACTCGCATGTGAGTTTCAGCTTAATTGTCCAACCAGATTAGAGCCAGTATAATTGCCCCCCCCCCTCCCCACCCAACGACCTGTCACGGATGTTTGAGCCAGTCTGAATCCATATAGATGAGCCCGGCCGGGAGGATCGGATCGATAACGCCTAACGGGGCATTATGATTAGCGGTCTTCTTGCATAAAGCTAGCCCTACAGTTACATATACTCACTTCTTCTATATATCTAATATGTATTATATATATATATATATAATCCAACTTGCAGTCTCGAGACGTCTCATATCTGTCACTGCGCGGGTCGGCGGGTGGAGGTGGGTGGAAGTTGTAGGAAGACTCAATAGATAATAGGATGGATGATAATATTTCCATCACGAAGGAGGTATTACAGAGGTGGGCAATTGCAAGAAAGGGTAACGGCATCCCACGAACGTACTAGCTAAAGTCGTTAGGCATCCCACGAACTACATGTAGCTACAGTCGTTATGCATCCAACGAACAAGGATTACAGTCATGGCAAAGAAACAGCCAAGATAGGTTTTTTTTTTTTTCTCTTCTTATATTATATTTCTATTGGCCCAAACCTCCCCTGTATGTCTTCAACTGGCAGTATTCGCAGATCAGGGACTACATGTAGCTGTGCAGCCTGTGCTCGCATACCACTAGCATAAAAGCCACTCGTACTCCATATGCATACCGACAGACAATCCTTGACTTTGTTGACACTCGTGTTTTCTGGTTCTTATTGCTGGTAGGCGAGTTAGTTTGCGAGATGTTGCAAAAGAGATTTAAAAATTTAATCATGATCAATACTAAAATGTTTTAGCTCTAGCTCTCATATTTCGGCTATATCTCGGCCATACGTACTGCTGGCCATATTGGCAGAGGCTACATATATGCGCCACATTATTTTGCGTGGAGGAAATATGACTATAGCTATTTTACGGGGAAGAAATATGACTATATATTTTACGTGGAAGAGATAATATGGATTGCAGGGGTTCACTAATACACTACGTCTAGCTATACTACTCGGGCGTCCATTAAATGGTCGGATATCGTTGCAATCAAATCCCTACTAAGAATTCCGGCCATTTAATGAACGCATGAGTAGTTGATATTGATATTTATATTTGATATCGGCTGGTACATACATACATGTAGCTACTTACATAGCTACATCATGTAGTCTACTATTACTCTATGGGCGGATTGTACATGTACGTACATGTACGTACCTACAGGACTAATTACGCTTATACGTTAGCTGTTTATTAATACCAGCTACGCGGACAAAGGAGCTAGATCGAGACAAAGAAAAAGAAAAAGAAAAAGAAAAAGAAAAAAAAGGCCGAGCCAACACCATCCACGCATCACGCATTCTCACTCGCCCCACTCTTCCCACTCGTCCCACTCGTCCTCTTACCCCCCTTCCGCCCCACTCCCCACTACCCTACTTGGGTATAGGAATAAGAACCAGAACATAGCATGCAAGTGACGATATATACAGGGATTGTTTGTATGGAGTGCACTGGCTGCCGCTCTGCTAAGCTAGGGAAGGGATTTAAAACTACACGTAGCTTGTGCGCCGTGAATAGCAAAAATGTTTTAGCTCTCATATTTCCGGCTACATCTCGGCCATACCACTACATGTAGCTATAGCACTGCCGCCAGAAGCTACCTACCTAAATGCGCTTTGCGTGGAGGAAATATGACTATAGCTATTTTATTTTACGGGGAAGAGATATGACTCTATATATATTTTACGTGGAAGAAATAGTGTGGTCCATGCTCGGAGCCTCGCGAGCCCATGATGGCCAGCTCGAGCTTTGGGCTCGAGCCTTTGTCTCGTTGGGAGCAAGCCTTACTTTAACTTCTCCATGGAGCCGAGCTGGCTCAAGCCTTTTTCCGTAAATACACGAGAGCCAAAAAATTACCATGTTTTTTTTAACTAGATATTTGGATTGCCATAACTGTAAGGTTGCACATGCAATTAATGAATTAAACGAAAAAAAAGAAAAAAAAAGAAAAAGAAAAAACTAGATATTTGAGAGATGAGAACTGGAAACTGACGTTAATTTACAATGATTCTTTATATGCGATGCATGTGGGGAATTATGGGTAATGCTACTACATGTATTGAAACCTCTCGCTGTTTTTTCCATGTCCCCCCCCCACCTTTTGCAGGGAAAAAAATTCTTGCAACTCCGGTCATTGACCACAAGCTCGAGGTTCTGTGAGCCCCTAGTACCTCTCATCGAGCCGGGCCGACTCGAGCTTTTAGTCCGGCTCGTGGACCACGCTAGGAAGAAATATGACTATATATTCTACGTGGAAGAGATATTGCGGATTGCAGGGGCCCACTAATACACTACTATATATGTAGCTGTAGTTGATATTGATATTGGTATTGGTTGGTACATACAGTACCAAAAAACGGGTGGGGGTTAGTACGGTAGTACTACGCCATCCCATAAAATCGGGTAGCACTCCGGTTGTCGAGCGAGTAAAGCCGCCTTGCAGCAAATGCTCTATCAATGCCGTATCAATACTGTATTATATAATCTATATATTCCCTGGATTCCGCAGTGTGGGTGGTATATTTATACTGCCCTAGTACTTCCGCATTTCCTAAAATACGGCATTCTTGTGGTATTTAGGACAATGCCATTCCCCTAACCCTGGAATATCATATTTGGTGATGAAGCATTTCAGAATCAAAGATCACCAGATATTGTTTCATCCACCGATCCATCAATTCTTATCATCCTAGGATGGGGTTTAAACAATTGGGATATACTTTTGAAAAATAAATTTTGGGCTCTTAGGCATACATATACACATCATTTTAATTAGAAGTTGCGCCTACTATTCGATTATGATACGCTCATGTTGGTGGTGATGATGATGATGATGATGATGATGATGATGATGATGATGATGATTATTATAATGATGAAGTCGTATAGGTGTGGTCTAGTCTTGTAACATAGTGTCGACGAGCCTACATGTAGGTGTGGTCCTGGTCATGGACCTGGCGTACTGGCACGCTAGACCTGGTGCTGGCACACTGGACATGGTGCTGGCGCGCTGGACCTGGTGCTGGTCACAACGCTAAAATGTGTCTATATTGCTGTGGTAGTGCTACGGTATTGCTATGGTATTGCTACGGCATTCTATGAAAAATATACTCCTTGAAATGCCGAAATGATGCAGCAGTCCCGAAAATACCGCATTGTAGCAAGACTACCGTAGCACTACCATACTAATCCCTGCACCATTTTTGGTATTGTAGCTACATGTAGTATACTATTACTCTATGGATAGTTGTACGTACGTACCTACAGGACTAATTACGCTGCGCTAGCTAGCTGTTTATTAATACACGTACCTACACGGACAAAGGAGATCGAGCTAGACAAGCGCACAAAAAAATAAAAAAGTGGCCAAAAAAGACGAGCCAAACACCATACCCCCCTCCGCATCACGCATTCTCACTCGTCCTCTACCCCCCCCCCCCCCTTTCTTCTCCCACAGGAACAAGAGACAGACCATGCAAGTGACAATACAGGGATTATCAGCACAGAGTAGCACCGCTCGCCATACAACCAACCCCACTGCATGTCCTAGTTCTTACCCCCGCACAACCCACACCACCCTAACACCACCCCAACCTCGCCGCAACCCCCTCCAACCGCCCCGCCCCCTTCACCCTCCTCTCCACCTCCCTATACCGTCTCCCCGCCCTGCCCACCACCACCACCCGTCCCACACCCCCATCCTCACCCACACACACCCACCCCCCCACGCCACACCCCCAGCGCACCACCACCACACTCACCCCCTCGTCCCACTCCACATCCAAAACACGGTTCTCCCAGCCCTCCGTCACATCGCCGACGCGCCCGGCGGACAGCGCGGCGTCCCGCAGCGCCGTGGCGGCCGCCACGCGCCGCGCGTGCAGCGTCAGTTGCCGCCGGAGGGTGCGCGCGAGCGTGGGCAGCGCGGGGAGCGGCGTGGGCAGCGCGATGAAGGGTGGGAGGGTGTGGCGGTGGATGGTGTAGGGGGCGGCTTTGGGGTCGTGGTCGGGGGGGGCGAGGGAGATGTGCAGGTAGTGGGGGGGGTGGAATTGCCCTGTGTTTGTGTTAGTTTTTGTAGACTAGTGGGGGAGGTTTGAAAGGGGGGGGGGGGGGAGGAAGGGGAGGTGGGGAACGTACGGTTACAGAACACCTCGATCCTGACGCCGAGCAGCGTGTTGTGCGGCGGGGAGGGGTCGCGGACTGTAAATGTGGTGATGCCGGCGATGCGGTGGAGGCGCGCGATCGATGCTGCGGCGGAGGCCGTGGAGGAGGCGAAGACGGCGGCGAGGTGGTCGGCATCCGTCAGTGGCTCCTGTGTCTTTTGCGTACTTGTAGTGGTTGTGGTGGAGGAGGTAGTGGTGGAGGTGGTGGAGGCGGGGGAGGAGGAAGAGGGCGGGGCAGGCGGGGCCGAGGCGCTCGAGAGGGGGTGCGTGGCGCGGAGGGAGAGCAGTTGCGCGGTCAGGGAGGCCTTTTGGCGCTCGAGGGTGAGTAGCTGGTCGTGGAGGGTTGTGAGCGCGAGGGGCGGGGGCGGGGGCGGTGGCGGGGGCGGGAGCGGCGGGGTGGCCATGGCTCGTTGGTGGGTGCTGTGCTGTGTTTGCGGGCGTCGCGATATTTAGATAATGGGATGGTTGATTGTGGTTAGGGTTTGTGTTTGGGGGGGTGTTTGGGGGGGTGTTTGGGATGGCGGTGGTTGGTTACACAGGCAGCAGCTATCGATCGATACCCGGATGGATGGATGGATGGATGGACAGACAGAGGCTCTGCTGTGCTAGATTCTACGCAACGGGCGATTCAGCAGGGTCGGGGGCACGGGGGGAGCGTGGGTGGACCGTGGTGGCTTGCAGGACGTGAGCGAGCGGAGTGTTTGTGAGCGCGGCAGGGGAGAGATGCAGATGGGGAAACACTCGAGTCTTGGAACTAGAGCCAAGGGAAGGGGCAAACCACAGTACATGCACACTAGAGGTGTGCCAACTCGCGACCGCGAGTTGTACGTTGAATTATGGGTATCAAATAAAATTTAATTCTCCCTCTACAATCATGAGGGGCCTTCAGCCCCATCCTCCTCCTCTCGTGAGTGCTCAGTACTTTGATGTGTCGTGCTGACTAATCAACATCCCTGCACTCAGCAGCCAATCAGACCGTTCCAATATTCGAAAAATTAGCGATAGTACATTATAGATACATACCTACCTTTTCTTTATTTAGAAGCTGGGTTGGGCTGGGCAGGGGGGCGTGAGTGAGGCACAGAGAAGTTACATAGGTGGTCACTGCTGGGGAGTAGGGATAGCAGCCGTGGATATTGCACACACTCGACACGGAGCTTTGGCAGACTAGAGTACTCTACTTGGCGGTGATTGTGGATGGGTGTGTACGGGGAGGTTGAGCACGGGGAGATTGGAGGGGGTAGAGTGCTAGAGTGCTCGAGAGTACAGCCTCAAGGTTCAGTTCACGATGAGTGAGCGAAAGAATGTAGGTGGATAGAATTAAGAGAGAGAGAGAGACAGACAGACAGAGAAACAGAAAGTGGAGAGGAATACGCGTCCCCCTCCAGGTTACCGCCGTATATAATATCAGTCTGATCGATATAGCCTCTCTGTGCCCCCCTCCCCGTGCCCCCCTCCCCCTCGAGTCTTTCTCTCCCTCCCACTCCCACTCCCCTCGACCGAGTCCCTCTTCGCCCTTTGTCCTCCCCTCGCCCTCTCCCGCACCCCCTGTGACTCCCCCTCCCCCGCCTCCGCACTCCCATCTGCACATCTGGCATCTTCCACCGATCGCCGCCCCTAAACCCTACTCGGAGCTAGCCTCGTCTCGAGCCCTCCCTCGCGACTAATCGATCATTGCCCCCATGTGCCGCTAGCAGCACTAGTAGCAAGCAGCCCAAGCAGCAATAATAACACCGAACTGAGTCTGAGTCTGGGTCTGAGTCTGAGTCTGCATGTCTCCAGCACTCTTCGACGACTCCCGCCATATTCCCCTTCTCTCACCCACACTCCCTCTGCACCACCACCGAAGCAACAGCAACAGCCAGAACAACAACAACCAACACCACAACGACGACCCAGACTACGACGACAACGACGACGACGACGACGTCGAACTCAAAGCAATCCACATCACCGACCACCAGCAGCCCCGATACAGCACTGACGACGACGACGACGACGACGACAACGACGACGACGACGCCTCAGACGCCGAAGGCCACGACCCGACTATGCCCCGAAGTCGCAAAGTCCACACTACGACCAATAGTGAGGCCAAGATGAACACCTCCTCGTCCGTCGAGTACCGCCGCAAGAACGGCGCCTCCCTCGACGACGGCGGCGGCACCCCCTCGAGCGCCCAGCAGACCGAGGCCCTGCTCGAACGCAGCTCCTTCACGCTCGACGACGACCACGACGTCAAGCCCGCCGCCGCCTCCTTCCTCACGCTCTCGCTCGCCGACCAGCGCAACTTTGCCCTCCTCGTCATGCTCTACTTCCTGCAGGGCGTGCCCATGGGGCTCGCAATGGGCTCCGTCCCCTTCCTGCTCAAGCACAAGCTCAGCTACGGCGAGATTGGCGTCTTCACGCTCGCATCCTACCCGTACAGCATGAAGCTCCTCTGGTCGCCCATCGTCGACGCCATCTGGTCGCGCCGCATGGGCCGCCGCAAGAGCTGGATCGTGCCCATCCAGACCGTCAGCGCGTGCATGCTCATCTGGCTCGGCGGCAATGTCGACAAGCTGATGGAAGAGGCAAGCAGCAAGCTGTACATGTTTACGTTTGTCTTCTTCACGCTCGTCATGCTGTGCGCGACGCAGGACATTGCCGTCGATGGGTGGGCGCTCACGCTGCTGAGCCCCGAGAACCTCTCGTATGCGTCGACGGCGCAGACGGTGGGGCTCACGGCGGGGCAGTTCCTCTCGTTTACGGTGTTTTTGGCGTTTAATGCCCCCGACTTCTCGAATAGATACTTTAGGACTGTGCCGCAGACGTACGGCCTCATGACGCTAAGTGGGTATCTCAAGTTCTGGGGATGGGCGTATCTGGTCATCACGCTGGGCCTCGCGGTGTTCAAGAAGGAGGAGAAGAACTCCAACCGCGACGGCATCGCCGCAGTCTACAAGACAATGTGGAAAGTCGTCAAGCTAAAACGTACGCCCCTCTCCCCCCCCTCCCCGTCTACCAATTAACCCCCCCACTAACACACCACAGACATCCAAACCCTCATCATCGTCAACCTCATCGGCAAAATCGGCTTCCAAGCCAACGACGCCGTCACAAACCTCAAGCTCCTCGACAAGGGCTTCTCGCAAGAAGACATGGCCCTCACCGTTCTCATCGACTTCCCCTTCGAGATCCTCCTCGGCTACCAAGCGGGCAAATGGAGCAGCACCTTCCCCCCCATGACACTCTGGACCTGGGCCTTCATGGGCCGCCTCCTCGCCGCCGTCCTCGCACACGTCACCGTCGTGCTCTTCCCCAAGGACGGCGTCGTCGACACGTGGTACCTCCTGGTCGTCATTGCCGAGCATGTCTTCTCGACCTTCACGAGCACGGTGATGTTTGTGGCGCTCACGGCGTTTAATGCGCGCATTGCGGACCCCGCTATTGGCGGCACGTACATGACGCTTCTGGCGACGGTGTCGAATCTGGGCGGGACCTTCCCACGGATCTTTGTGCTGAAGGCGGTGGACGCTTTGACATCTGCGACTTGTTTCCCCCCGGAGAAGGCCGTTGGGGGTGGGGGGGCAACGCCGTTTGAGCCGTTTAGCTGCGCGCTCGAGGCGCAGCGCCAGGCCTGCGGCGAGATGGCGGGCAGGTGTGTCGTGCAGAGGGACGGGTACTATATCACGAATGTGCTGTGCGTGCTGGTGGGGCTGGTCACGTTTGTGGCGTATATTAAGCCGTCGGTGGAGCGGTTGAGTGCGTTGCCGTTGAAGGCGTGGAGGGAGTATAATCCCGGCCGGGAGTAGGTAGTGGTGGTAGACAAAAAGGTTGTGGTGGTAGGGGTTAGATAGAAAAAGGAGTAGGGGAAAAGGGGGAAGGGGGAAGGGGAAGGAAAGGGAAAGGGAGGGGAAAAGGGACATTGTAAGATAGAAATTTTTAATATGTTTTTTCTGGTTTTGCTGGACTGGAGTAACAGGAAGGGGTTAGCTATAGATATCGGATACCTGGTGGTGGGAATTGAAGATATAGTTTTTGAGATGAGATGAGCTTATGCTTTTGGCGGGGGTGATGTGGTGTGATGTGGGGGATGGACATCTGATGAAATAAGGTTATCTGGGGTGGCCCGGCATTTTGTGTGGTTTGATCATTGGCCCCTGGCGGCACGTGCCAAGGATGGGCTGTATGTACTAATGCCACTACTATTGTTGCTGTTACGACTATTCCGACTATTGATACTGTTGTTATTATTGCTAATGCTGCGTGTAAATTAGCAAAGTACTTATATTCTTACTAAACTAAACACTTTCGGATTTTTTTTAATTCAGTAACGAGTCATCTATATTCGTAGTGACCAGATATTTACAAGTAATTTACAACCAACCACAGCGCAAGAAGCAAATCAAATCAGAGCAGAGATTTCTTTTCCACATTTCCCCAGCCTCAAGTCAATCAAGCTGAAGCCGGCCATGATATCATTCCCATCTTACATTTTCATCCACCCCACAACCCCCCCCCCCCCCCCACCCATCCTCACCTCACCTCCCCTCCTTCGCCTTCTCCCTATCCATCTCCTCCTTCACCCGCCTCTTGATCTCCTCCTTCCTCTCCTTCCTCGCCAGCACGCCCGCCAGCCACTCCTCAAACTCCTCCTCGGCCTCCCTCTCCTTCGCCAGCTCCTCCTCGCCCACAGCAGTCTTCCTCGCCTTCCCCCGCAGCTCCTCGACATTGCACACGTCCAGGGCCACCATGCTCCCGCCCACGAGGAAGATGGCGAACGCCATGGTGTTGAGCGTCGCGAGATTGAGCGCCTGCAAGGCGTCGAGGGCGCCGTTGGGCGGTACGAGGGGGGGCCGGTTGTTGGGGTGGTAGAACGGCGGGATGAGGGAGAGCCGGCGCTTGGCAAGCGTGCGGCGGGTCGTGAGGATGGAGAGCGCGAGGAAGGTGCTGCCGCCGAGGAGGAGGGTGAGCTGCTTGAGCTGTCGCTGGGTTTCGGTGAGGCGTGGGGCGGCGGGGACGGTTGCGGCGGGGGTCTCGGGGGTGGGGATGAGGGCTGGTGGTGGTGGTGGAGGTGATGGCGGAGGTGCTGCTGCTGCTGCTGCCGCTGGCGCGGGTGTAGGCGCTGGGGAAGAGGTGAACCAGGATAGTGGATTGAACGGCATGATCTATAGATAATTATTATGGCGTATATGACGGGATTTGTATAGACTTACTGTTCAATTGCACGCTGACTGGTGGAGGGGTCTGTCTGCTTATCGGCAGTGTCCCTCTTAAAAAATATCCTAGCTAGGCCGCTGACTAACCCACCCACCACCCACCACCCCACCATCCCATCCCATCCCATCCCATCCCATCCCATCCCATCCCACCATGAACCAACCGCCCTACCCACTCAACCCCCCAATCACACTGCCGAAATGTATCTCGACCGCCCCATCGACCAGCAGTTCCCCCCCACCCCGCCCCTCCGCCGCTCCCCCTCTCCCGTCGACGAGGAAGACGAAGAAGAAAGGGAGGACCCCGACCTCAGCAGTCTCCGGCGCACCCACACAACGCTGGGCTACCGCGACGGCATCACCGCCTCCAAGTCGACCTACATCCAGAGCGGCTTCGACGAGTCGTACCCTCTCGGCGGCCGCTTCGGGCTCAAGATCGGATGGATCAAGGGCGTGCTGGAGGGGCTGTGGATGCTGGACAAGGCCGACGAGAGGGTGTCGAAGCTGCGCAGGGAGGCGAATGTTGAGCTGGATCTGCAGAAGGTGTTTGCAAAGGAGTGGTTTGACGAGGGTGGGGTCTGGAAGTACGGGCTCGGCGAGGAGGAGGAGGAGGGTGTGACGCTCGATAGGGTGGTGGAGAAGCATCCGGTGGTGGAGGCTTGGATGGTAAAAATTAAGGAGGAGGCAAAGAGGTGGGGACTGGAGGTGGAGGAGCTGGTTTATCACGGTGAAGAAGAAGAGGAGGAGAAGGGGGAGCCCAGTACTGGTCCTGTTTCCAGCTGAAGTGGTAATGTCTCCATCCCTGATAGCAATTGATTCCACTGTCAGTGAATGAAACCTGACGAGGCATTTTAGCTCGAGCATGTATATATAGATGTAGGGGTTTAATTCAGGTTTAATAAATAAAAATAACCTACTAATCAATCATTACCGCTCTTCTGACAATGATGCAATCAGTTGCGAGTGATATCAGATATTTAGAATCCGAGTGATATAGGATGATCCAAGTCATTGCTCAGCACAGCAGAGGGCCCAAGTGCATCCAAGACTCTTCCCATTCCAGCTAACCTCAATGTCACCATAGTAAAATAGACCTGAATCCACTGGCTCGACTCAGAGTCAGCACCTAAAACCCCACATTTAGTTCCAGGCCTTGACTACCGGAATCCGGGCAACTCCTCAGCTCATTTGAAAGTAATAATCAACGTTGGTCCCAGGTGAGAGCTTTCAACCAGAAGGGGTTGGGGGGGGGGGGGGGGGGGGGGGGGCCGTCAAAACACAGACGTAGGAGCGAGACAAACAAAGCAAGAGCCGGAGCTGCGTTGTTTATACATGCTCTTATTTGAACTGACAATATGGCATTTCGTATCCCGGAAAAGATGTGGCCATTTGACTGTAGAAGCCAACGGGTGTATCCAGCCTCCAGCCCACCAAATTACCCACCACCGGACACCTACATATAGCCCATCTCTTTTTTTAATTCAACTCCCCGAAACTCCAGCCCAATCTGACCTATCCCCTTTCGATCCCAGGTTGCATTAAGGCGATGCCAGAGCCGAAAATCAAGTGGAGAACCTGCCTCTCTTTAAATACTAGCCACCACCAGCTCTTCCTTACACTAGTAGTTATGTAGGTATGATGTATTCCGCATATTTGAAAGCGGACACACAATATAAATATTTTTCTAACGCTACGATGGATGGATACAATTACTCGCCCAGAAGCCACGACTCACAGCCCATCACTCGCCCCCTTCCTTCCCTTACCCACCACCACCCCCCGCCCCACCACTTCACCACACCACCCACACACAAAAAAAAAACAATACACCATAAGGGATTCGAACCCTTGCCTGTTGCTCTCCATAAGGGAAGGCAACTGTGATACCCCTTCACCAACGGTGCCTGTGTATTACATGTATATCTCTTGAAGCTATTTCAATTCTAACCACATTACCTACGCTACCTACCATGGAACCAGCCAGCCAGGTAACCCCTAACCCATGCCCATATACCCATAATCACCAGCTAGAAGTATCGAGCTCCTATATTCGCCATTACCACATCACCTTACAATCCACACACTCAGAGACACATACTACGTGGGAAGCTCTCAACGCAGCCCTATAAAGATGAAACCAGCACCCTCACACACCCAGACTCTCACACAACACACTCAGTACAACACGCAGACACACAGAGCCACACGGAGGCATACTAATTTTAAGAAGTGACTTACAACAGTTTATAAAAACGAAACAGAAAGTTGGGGAAGGGGGGTAGACTATGTATATAGTTTAAGTATATAACGGTTTTAGAAAGCAAAAAAAAAAGAGTAAAAAAAAGAAGACAAGAATGGTTTCTAGGTTCAAGCTCAGGTTCAGGTTCAGGTTCGTATCGCAAGAGATGGTGATGGTGGGAGGGGGGTAGCTGTAAGCAGGGTGTATCTGTCTGCCACTGAATCTACTCCACCACCGCCGCCGCCAAAGAAAAGAAGAGAGAAGGGGGAAAACACGGCATTCATCGTCCGCCTACGAAGACCCGTAAAAAAGTGCCTCCCCTAGGTATATAACCCCAAACGCCAAAAACGCCGCCGCACCACCGAGGGTCACTAAACACAGTCAGTCTTCATCCCACACCGCACACCACAGAAAGAGAAAACCTGCCATTCCTAACACTAATCCTACTCGCCAACATGCGTCCTCCTATCACCGCAATACCCGTACAGATCGCATGCCCGGAGATCGCTCCAATCGTCACATACCAATAATCCTGCCCCGCCGCCATCGCAATCGTCGCAATCTGCGAGCGATCCCCCCACTCGCCCAAAAACGTCATCACAAACGTCTGCACCCACGCAGGACTCAGCAACAACCCGGCCAGATTCTGAATCCCCTCCAGGCTGGTAACCCTCGTGTTCTGCGCCTTGCCGCGGCCGCGGGCACGCGCATAGTCGTCCTCGTCGCTGTCGGAGAGCGACGGCGAGGAGGTGGAGCGGCGCAGCGCGTGCGTGTTGGAGCCGCGGGGCGAGGCGATGAGGCCGCCTTCGAGGGAGCGGGCGCTGGCGCTGCTGTGGGTGGCCTTTTCTTCGAGCTCTTGCTCGACCTCTTTCATCTCTTCCTGGACGTTGGCGGTGCCCTTCTCCATCTTGAGGCCTTCCAGCACCATGCGCACGCCGAAGACGAGGAACAGGCCGGCGGCGAGGAAGTTGGTGAAGTTCTTTGGCAGCAGCGTGGGCACGGCGTGGCCGAGGAGCGCGGACAGGATGGACATGACGATGAGGGAGCCCAGGGCGGCGGAGAACACGAGCAGCCGCGGGTGCTTCATTGCCATCAGCGCGGCGATCAGGAAGGTCTTGTCGCCAATCTCGGAGAAGATGATCATGACGAAGGACAGCGTGAAGGAGTGGAGGGGCTGGGAGATGCCGCCTGCGGCGCCATCGTCGTCGTCCTGCGGGGAGAGGTGCGGCTGGGCGGCCGCGGGGGGGTCGGCGAGCGTGTCGGTCTGGGATTGGTATTCCTTGTGGCCGGAGCTGGACACGGGGGACGAAGAGCCTTCGTCGTCGTCGTCGTCGTCGTCGTCGCTGGCGGTTCCAGCGCCCTTCTTGAGTGATAGCTGCACGTACCGCATATCCATTAGCCACCCCTCTTCATCCCCACCCCCACTACAACCATCATCACCACCACAATCACAATGACAGAGCTACGAACCGAAGATTCATCCCCCTCCGCCGGATCCTCGATGTCCACAATCTCATGCTCCCCCGTGTGCGGCGGCGGCTTCTTTATGTCGACGCTGCTGCCGCCGCCACTGACGCCCACCTCGCCAGTGCCCTTCTTGTCCGAGTGCTCAGGGTAGAGGCCCGGGCCCGTGTGGGGCTTTCCGTCGAGCCCGTCGACGGGGGCGTCGACGGTGCCGGCGGAGGTCTTGAGGTCGGTGGCGGAGCGCGGGGGCGGGACGGTGGAGGCGAGCGCGGTGCTGCTGGTGAGCAGGAGGAGGAGGAGGTTCCGTGTGTTGAGGTGCATGGTTGGCTGGTTTGTGGTTGTGAAGCAGCCGAGTGATGGGGGTTGTGCTGTGAGGTTCTGTGTGTATGTAGGTAGGTAGGCGTGTGTATGTGCGTATGGAAAAGAAAAGAAAAGAAAAGAAAGAAAAAGAGGATGGATAACAGAACAGAACAGGGCAAGAAGAAGAGGATCAGGATCGAGGATCGAGGATAGTTAGTGAGGATAGGGATAGACAGATAGACAGCCCACGCCAGCCAGCCAGATAGACAGCCAGCCAGACACGCACTGACAGACAGAATCAGACAGTAGATCGATAGAAAGGGGTGATCGAATGGTGGTGCGCGAGTGTGAGGCGTTCGTTCACTCGTCGGGTTTGTCGTTGCAATTGGCAAATCCCGTAATAGTGACTGACTACTGGCTGACCGGGGTTTGAGCCGCCCGCCGGAGAAAGCAAGACCTGTGGTGTGTTTCGTAAGAGTTCCCCCCCACCCACCCTCTTTTTCAAGCCTTTCAACCCCTTACCTCCCCTGAATTACAGGAGGCATCATGGCCCGTCACTCGTATTCACAGCCCCCCCCGACCGAGACGAAGGGCTGGGGTGTGCACCCTGGTACCTTGTCGGTACGGGTACTTTAGAGTACTTGGGCCCGTTCTACAGAGCTAGATAGAGTAGACGGGCCTGTCACTGTTGCTGTTACGGTACCTGGTAGCGGGGTTGCGGATTCCGATCGGCGAATATTTGTTCTGGAAGGTTTGTTTCACGATCGGATGAAAGCCATCAATCAGCACTCAGAACTACATGTATGTACCGGAGGCTGCACATAATGGACAAGTTTGGAAATCTTATGGAATTGTGGTAACACTACCTATACCTGATCAAAATAGAATTCCGTAATGATGATGCGGTACTAAATTTAGGATAAGTTGTGTGGCATGTCAATGATCATCTGGATGTAAAAGTAGCTACTATATATGCAAGCTCTCTACTCTAGCTACTCGGCTTATATCCTCGCTGCTATACGCAAACAGTAACCTGCAGTACCTACAAAACAGTAGTATAGTAGTAACAGTAGTATAGTAGTAATAGAAAAAAACAAAGAAAAGAAACCCTGCATATATTAAACCCATACATAACAACCTACAGTATTGTACCCTCCTTCCCGTCCCCTTCCCCTCCACCTCCACCACATCACCATCTCCATCCCATCCAGGCACTACGAAGAAAAAGAAAAAAGAAACGGAATAAAAAAAAGGGACGGATATAATATCATTCTATAACCAAACCAAAATGGCCCCCCCAAAAATCAGTTACAAATTTAAACCCCACACAGCAGTCAAGTCAGTCAGAGGAGCAACTGACCCGCACCTGCACCATTATCACCCCCGATCCCGATCCCGCTCCCGCTCCCCTTCCCGGCGTCCTCCACCGCAAGAAGTCGATACATGCGCATCTCCTCCTCAAACTCCCTGAGCGCCCTCAATTCTAAATCCTCGTTAGCCACCATCCCCTTCCCCTTCCCCTTCCCCAAAAACCAAAACAGCAGAGAACACAAAAGACTCACCACTCCCCATAAACAAAAACCCAATAAGCCCATCCAGCCCGCCCGTCACCGCCACCACCCACGCCACAAACATAAGCGCAAACGCAACGGCATTATGCGGGCTCCACCACACGCCCACATGGCACGCCACCAGCACCGGCAAGCTCGCCCAAAAATGCGCAATGCGCCAAAAATACTCGCCCTCCTCCCGCCGCGTGTAGCTGCGGATCAGCGCCTGGATCTCGTCGATAATCCCCACGGGCAGATAGCGCTCATACTCGACCTCGCCGACCTGCCCCACGAGGCGTGCCTCCCCGGCCCGCGCTTCGCCGGCGACGTCGACCAGCATGGCTTCCGGCACCTTCGTGGGTGCGCGGGCGGCCGCCAGAGCGGCTTGCTGCGCGGGGTTGGGCGTGAGCGAGAGGTGCACTTCGACGGAGAAGTGGTCTGAGAGACTGGCGTAGCCGCCGGCGCCGCCCTTGCCGCCCGTCTGCGACGGCATGCTCATGGGCTCCGTCATGCCCACGGAGACGTCGCGGACGCACGACGTGCCCGGGCTGTGGAAGACGTAGTCGAGGCGCTTCGCATGGGGGCTGTCGTAGGTCTCGGGGCTCGGCAGGACGGGGCCGGGCATGCGCCATGTGTTGAGGACGGAGTCGCAGGTGATGCCGAGGTTCTCGATGTTGGACTTTGCGGTTGAGCCCGGGGGCGAGATGGCGGGGGTGTCCGGGTACATGCTCAGCCAGGAGTCGGCCACGAGCCCGTGCGTGGTGATGAGGCGGTGGGCGAGCGAGGAGGGGACCATGTTGAAGTCGCCGGCGCCGATGACGATGCTCCCGCGGAGCGCGGCGCCGCGCATGAGCTTTGCGATCTCCCAGGCCTGCGCTGTGCGGTGGCACAGGTAGGTGTCGTTGACCTCGTAGGGGGCGTGCAGGTGCGTGTTGAAGACCTCGATGAGGCGGCCCGAGGGGTGGCGGATGGCCGCGCAGGCGACGCCCTTGCCGACGTACCAGTCGCCGCGCCAGAAGGCCGTGGGGCGCCCGTTGAGCGGGTAGGCGTGCATGGAGCTGGACTCGATGGGGAACTTGGAGAGGATCACGAGGCCGCCGCCGAGGGCGCCCGAGAAGTAGAATTTGCCGTGGGGCAGGAGGGAGCGGGTTTGGGCGCGGAGGTTGAGGTAGTCGGCATGTACCCAGAATTCTTGGAGGGCGACGATGTCGTGCGTGGGGGCGGCGCGGGCGATGCGGAGGGAGATCTCGTGCAGGCGGGCGGTGCGGTGCTTGGCGATGTATTTGAGCTGAGAGAGGTGTTAGCTGTGGGGTATATATGGAGATATAGAGGGGATGTGTGTGTGTGGGGGGGGGGGGGGGGGATTGGAGTGCCTACACCCCAGCAGTTCATGGAGAACACCCGTACGGTGTCGTCTGTTGTTTGGGCCATTGCAGATATGCTGTGAGTGTGTGTGGGATATGTGAGTATGTGTGTGAGTATGTGGGATATATATATATATATATATGGCCGAGTGAGATGTCTGTAGCTGGTGTGAGGTTTGAGGTGAGGTTGAGGTTGTAGATAGCTGCTGTAGATGATATTGTCGATGCAGCTGAGAGATCAGATGGAAAGACCCGGGGAGGAAGGCGAAGCGTTACACTATTTATGAGCGTTGCCGGGGTCTGAGCTGAGGTAAACAAACAGCTGCATCAGGATGGCACTGCAGCCACATGTATTCTGAGATGGGAAGTCTCTCTGCATGTTTGTAATATCCCATAGCCCAATTCAGTTCAATCCAACATCTACGGCCCTCTGAACACTGCAGCTCTCTCTCTAAACACTCCCTCCGAATGCTTCCCTCGCCACCTCCCACGCCTCCCTCCTGCCCCTGTCCGTCTCCAAGCCGGGTGCTAGTGTAGTGTAGTGCGACAAGCAGAGCCTCAGCTTCTTGGCCTGCATACGCACTCCCTTGGCGACAACGCCAGATCCCATCCAGACATTTCAAACAATTCCACATCTACAGAACTATTCCCACCCAATTCACCAATCCACCAATTCCAATTCACAACACCACAGCAGCACAGCAGACCCCACAACACAGAATGGACATCGACAGCTCCTCCGCCCCCCGTCCCGAACGCGCCGACTCGCCCCCTCGTGCCCGCCGCCCCGAATACGAAGCCAGCTACACCCTAACCGGCCACACGCTCGGCGTCTCCGCCATCAAGTTCTCCCCCGACGGCAAATGGCTTGCCAGTAGCTGTACGCTCCCTCCCTCTCACACCCTCCTCCTCAAACCACAACACCACAGCTACTAACACCCCCCCCCCCCCCCCCCACAGCCGCCGACAAGACGCTCAAGATCTGGCACGCCAAAACCGGCAAATACGAACAAACCTTCCACGGGCACCTCGCGGGGATCTCCGACCTCGACTGGTCCCCCGACTCCCTAACCCTCGTCTCCGGCAGCGACGACAAGACCATCCGCCTCTGGGACGTGCAAGCCTGCAAATCCATCAAGCTTCTGCGGGGCCACCACAACGCCATCTACTCCGTCTCGTTCTCGCCGCGCGGCAACATCGTCGCCAGCGGGTCCTACGACGAGGCCGTGCGCCTGTGGGACATCCGCTCCGGGCGCTGCATGAAGACGCTCCCCGCGCACAGCGATCCGGTGAGCGGCGTGCACTTTAATAGGGATGGCACGCTGATTGTGAGCTGCTCGCATGATGGGCTGATCCGCGTGTGGGATGTGAGTACGGGGCAGTGTCTGAGGACCATTGTGGAGGAGGATAATGCCCCGGTGATGGGGGTGCGGTTTAGCCCCAATGGGAAGTATTTGGTGGCGGGCACGCTGGATAGCTGTGTGAGGCTGTGGGATTATCATAGGGGCAAGTGTCTGAAGACGTATATGGGGCACCGGAATGAGAAGTATAGTATTACGCCGGCGTTTGTGGTGGGCGGTGGGGGCAGCTTTGTGTATGTTCCATTCCTTCCTTTCTTGGCTTTGGCGGGCGGGTGTGGGTTGGGCTGACGGTGACGGGTAGGGTTGCGGGCTCGGAGGACTCGGACGTGTATCTGTGGGATGTGCAGAGCAAGGACGTGGTGCAGATCCTGATTGGCCATGACGATGTCGTGCTTGGTGTTGCGGCGCATCCCACGGAGAATATTGTGGCCAGCTGCGGCCTGGATCGGACTATCAGGATATGGATTGACGAGAGCTGCCTGACTGACTGACTTGTTGGCTGGCTGGCTGTATGTGTGGGGGCTTGGGGTGTAATGGCTGGCGTAATAGGGGCGTTATGGGCTTAATTGGAATTGACGCTTTGTTGTTTAATATAGGGTTTATAGATTAAGTTTTTTTTTCAGTTTTTCTTTCTGCGGGCTGGGAATATTATGGCTCCTGAGTGGAATAGTTCTTTTGGTTTTTAGCTCTTTTGGTTCCTCTAGTTCCTCTAGTTCTTCGTACTTTTGGTACCGAGTATGTGCAAATTTCCTTTGGTGCTTGGTGTATTCAGTTCGGTGTTTCCTTCCTCGCCGTGGTCAGGAAGGATATATCAATTATTAGCCAGTATCAAAAACCAATCCCTCAAATCCACAAACCCCAACCCATGTTCAGATGGTTGTAATGTAATCAACAGCCAATCACAAAGACTCCCAATTCTAACCAAACAATCCTCTGGACACCTTAATTATCTGGTTATGCTGTCTAATTATTAGAAACGGCCCTAACCACATCCGTCCTAGCTGCTCCACTGAGTGATATTTCATGACCGCCCAACTACAACTGCAAACAGCTTTCTCTCTCTTACCAGCAGCCCATCAAGACAAGAAGCCCAGCCGAGCACTATATACGCCCGCCCATCAACCCAGTAACAGCAAATCCTATCTACTAGTCGCCATGTTTCCAGCAACAGTGTTAGCGAATATCGTTAATAATAATCGGCTAGCTTACGTCCATCGATAAATTAATAATGCCTCACGGCAAAATCTTTCCTTTATTCCCACTGTACGGGAAAAAGAACAAAAGGTACTACTGCAGGTATGGCCAGACCCATATCTACTACAGACCCATATCTACTACCCCCCGCCCCTGTGTGGGTCGAACCGTTGACCCTCTGAAATCGAAGGTGGCCCAACCACCGCACGGTGTCTACGTCCGGGGGGCGAGTGCTAACACTCGCCATGTGTGTTTTTCGTCCCGAGTGCTTGTTGAATGCCAAGACCAAGTGTTGGTGGTGAGAAGGCTAACCCGCCTAGGCGGGGCGTCATCAAACGTCACTCGCGTCCCCAAACTCAACTCTATAGGCAAGTAAGCATGAGGACACGGATTTTTATAATATATCCTTAGAGAAGTTTTTTTTTTAAAAAAGAAAGAAAGTTAACGGGGCTGGCCGGGATCCTATTGTTATAACTACAAGGACGTATGTGTTCTTATAAATAATAATTCCTATAGCGAGAGGCCGCGCATGGCCGGCTGTTATTACTATTTGTTGGTCTTGAGCCCTTAACTGTCATCAGGCAGAATCCGGCTTAATGATCTCCAGAAACAAAGAAAGTCTCAGTAGAGTCACATCGTTGCAAACTTCAACCAGACCCCTTTCGTATTATGTACCCCTAACCCTAGGGTTGTGATGGCAACCCTAGATAACCCTAACCAACCCTAGCTAACCCTAGGGTTACGTCGTGCGCGTTGTTGCGCTTTGTTTGTTCTCCATCGTGAAGTTCTCCACGGCGCGTGTCTACGTGTTGGTCAATTGTGCAAGCTGGACACTCGGGACAGCTACTCTGGCATCGTGTCATAGTCAGTGTCGTGTTTACATCCATCTCATCCACGACCAGCTCTTCCTCTCCTCCATCATCACCAGCATAAACTACACCATACACCAGAAGCACAGGCGCAACCCTAAAACAACCACCCACCCCCAATCAAACCAAGCAACCAAACCCCAGCCCCCCCCTAACCCCCTCCCTCCCCCCCGCCCCGTCGCACAAGCAAAAGCACAAGCACAAGCACTAGCACCAAGCCAAAACAACAACACCACACCACAGCGACGCATCACCAATCACTCGCACCTCATCCATCACCAACCACCACGAGAACGACTAGTACAGAACAACCACCGCATGGCAAAACCCAGCATGAAGCCGCGGCGCGCTGCCCGCAACACCTCCCAGCCGCCGAGCACGACCCGTGGCGGCGGCAGCGGAGGCGGCCCACGACACCGCTCGGCGTCGCCAGGCCCCATTGTTGCGCGCAAGACGCAGTTTAGGAGTAGTCAGCCGACACCGGTGCGCCAGGCGCAGCAGCAGGAGGCTGGCACTGGTACCAGCAATAGGAAGGTTGTTAAGAAGACGGGGAGGACGGGCGGCAGGAGTGCGAGGTCGGGGAGTCGTGGGAGGAGACATGAGGAGGAGGAGGAGGATAACAGCCAGCAGCAGCAGCAGGAAGAGGAGGATATGGAGGAGGTGGTGGAGGTGCATAGGAGTGCTGAGCAGCAGCAGCAGCGCGGAAGACTGTGTAAGTGCCTTCCTGTCGAATTTGTGAAATGTCCTCTCTTCCTCCCAGCCCAATGGATGGGTAGATGGATGGATGGCGGGGTGCGTGCGTGCATGTAGTACGTGATTAAGCTTTGTGCCGCCCCTCATGGTCATAGCTTCCGTCTTGAATGGCTGCATTGTATTAGACTTCCTGCCATCTTGTTCTGCACTACATATTATACTACACGATGTATCTTCCTCCTCCCTCTCCTCCTAAAAGTACCCTGCCCCTTCGCTCCTGTACGTTGCCGCGTCATGTTTGCTACATATATATGATTCCCGCCCCCCCCCCCCCCCCCCGCATCTACCATCTTCCTCCATCGCTCCTGAACAATGTCACAGTCTCCCGCGGCGCTCGAGGACAGGATACACCGTATATACAACTGGCTAACAAGCTCCCCACCAGCCCTCTCGCTTGTCCTCGAAGGCAGCGAGGCCGATGCTGAGGCGGAAAAGCAGAAAGAAAATCAGAGGGATCAACAGCAAGAGGAGCCCGAATCACCACCAAACCCATCAAGATATGAGCCACCCCCCAACCTCCTCCCTCACGACGATACCTTCTCATCCGTCTCCCCGGTCTCAGAATTTTTCTCAACACCAGAACCAGATCTCTCGAACACCCAAATAGAGATCGAGGAGCTTGATGTGGGCCTCATGCTTGAGATGTTCCCACACTTGGACGCACATAGCAGGAAGATATTGGACCTTCTCATTCTGAAACCCCCCACAAGAGACCTGAGACGGCTTCTCCTCGTTCCGGGCTCAAGCGCATCCAAGCGTCTCCGGACATATGAGCAGAATTTTGCCGCGTCAAAGACGGCCTACGGCACGTCTGAGTATATCTCTGTACGCCAAGTCGAGAGTGCTTTCGGCGGCGACGAGAGCTTCCGTCCGCTCCTCCACGCCTCCAACCTCTCCATTTTGGCGGACGTTGCATACACCAGCCAGGGGTCTGGCGAGAGCACTTTTGAGAAGCTGAAGCAGATCGAGAGGGATTTCCCGGTGCAGTTTGGCGATGTGGTCCGGAACGTCAACTTCCAGGCTGCCTTGGACCTCAGGACACAGTACTTGGTTTTGGCGCTGGTGAACCATCAGGATACGGATGGCTTCAACCCTGATATGTGGCTGAGACTCATATTTTTCGATGACAATATGGTCATCAAGCGCTGGACAGAGATGGAGGATGTCGACAACTGGGAGGCCCGAGTTCTCGAAAGGGTGATGAGGATCAGATCCACTTTTGCACAGAAACCGTATGACGACCCACTGGACGTTGCCATGCTGGTGGACCTGTTCCCGTGGGACGAATTTGTCAAGAGGATCTCGAGCTACATCAAGATCCGCTTTTCCGAGCTTGAAAAGTCACGCGCCGGCAGGAGCGTCGAGGAGTTGGTCGAGAATGCAAGGAACCCGCAGTTTGGGGATGTTAAGGAAAGGGATCTTCTGGATGATCGTGAGATCCCAGAGACAATACAAATACCCATAAAACCCCGCGCAGCACGTGTTTCGCAAAAGCTGCCCGAAGCCGAGCCCGAAGCAGTTGCTTCGACTGCGCCTGCAGCGGCGGCCGCTGATTTTGAGAGGTTAGTTTAAGATTTGCATTCTTGCTTCCTGCACCCCTTCCTTGGCATGGCCTTTAATTTCACTTCAATGCTAACCCCGCCCTCCCCTTAACAGCTTTGAGTCATATAAACTCAGGAAAGAGCAGCAAGGCCGCGGAAGGCTGGAGTCGACATCGATCGTTCTCAACGCAGCACAGATGAGGGACCTAAAGAGACGCAAGACAATGCCCGCCCCCGAGACAGTGCCGTTCGTCAGAGGCACGCCGAGAGTGGCAACCTCGCTGGGTTCCAAGGACGCGGAGGTGATCACCTTGTCTCAGGTGAAATTCTTAAAGTGCCTGAAAAACGCACCGGAGAAAACTCCTGGAGAAGAGGGGCCTTACAAGCTGCCGGAAGCTGCCGGGGAGGTTGTGGCCTCTAAGCAGGTAGAGGCACCCAAGCAAGCGGCGGCACCCGAACCGGTGGAAGCTCCTGAACCGATGGAAGATGCTCAGCCGCTGGAGGATGAAGGCGATGATAACGGTGTATACAATCCTGAACGGTGGATGGCCACTATCAAGAGAATGAGGGGGGTCAAGAACAAGGAGAATGATAAATCAGTGGCCTCGACTCTCCCTCCTCCACAGCAATCTCGCCTCATGAAGCGAAAGCGGTTCATCGACCCCCAAGAAGGCGCGACCCGCGTTTCGCAGATCGACGACGGCAGCCACAGAGCGCCCGCGAAGCGACAGCAGCTCCAAAAGGGAAAGGAAAGAGAGGTCATTCCCGAAGAGGTAGAAGAAAGCAGGCCCGCGTTTGAAACCGAGGGTCAGGACGAGCAGGACGAGGATGCGGATATGTACCAAGTAGACTCGAGGAAAGAGGACGAAGAGAGGATGAAGAGGAGCAGAAAGGGCCTGCCAGACATTGGTCCCTCGAGTGCTGCTGCTGATAAAGCCCCCGCTGCCTCCGCCGCTCCAAGAACATCAACCTCCTCCGCAAAGGCCGCAGAGGTGCAGAACGGTGCCAAGCAGCGTAAAATCGCGCCAATGAAGGGTTCTAGGAATTCCAAGGGTTCGAGGGCTTCTGGGGGTACTGAGGCCTCCAAGAAATTGTCGGGCGCAGGCGAAAAGTCGGATGTGGACGAGTGTGATAGCGAGGACGAGGAGTATGATGACGAGGAGGAAGCGGAGGAGGTAGAGGAGGTTGAGGATGAGGACGAGTCCGTCAACAATGACGAGAGGCGTGCTGCGCTCAACCAAAGGGTTGAGAGAATAATAAAGAAGGATCTTGCGAGGCAGTCGAAGCCAGCGCGCCTGTTTAGGAAACGACAGCCTTGGGGACGGAAGCAGACGGCGCTTTTGATTCGGATAATTGGGGAAAGGGGTTGCAAATGGGCCGAGATTAGAGATGTAAGTCGCCAGTGGGATTAATAGAGGTGAAACCCTTATGTGGACGATGAGATCACTGACCTGTGTGCGTTGTAGATGAACGTTGCTGAATTCAGCGGCCGGTCGAATGTCCAACTTAAAGATAAGGCACGAAATATTAAATATGACTACCTGAAGTAAATCACCCTCCCTAAACCATCACCACCTAAATCATAGCCTCGTTACTAATAGCGTCACAAACAAACAGAGCAAGAATGCAACTGCCTCCCAACTTTGAAGACGTCACCATCAGCAGGACCCAGGTGCAGACATTGCAACACATGGGCATCAACTGCGACGACTACATCTGAGCGGTTTGTTAGTTAGTTGATTAGTTAGTTGTATCATCATGCTGCTATGGTTTCCTGGCGTTATTTTCTTTTCCTATTCCTTCCTGGGCGTTTGTAACTTTTCTACCTTCATTGTCAAGTTTACTTTGTTGTCTCTATATCGAACTATTGGATCAAGTTTTTAGTGTGTAGTAGGGCCTTTTAGGGTTGGGATATGGTATTCAAAACTTTTTTTCTTTGCTTTATTTCGCCTTTTTTACTTTTTTATTTGTTCTCATCTTTACGCGCGCGGCGGCCCTCTTAATTGTGGCTTCCTTCTATTTTCCTTTTCTTTTATTTTTCATGATGGGTTTCTCAATTAATAGATACCATGGAGAAATATGCGACGGCCGCTTATCTTATGGAGAGAAAGGAAAGAGAGAGTTCGAGATGGCGCGTTAGTACTTTCTCACGCAGAGGGGCAGGGCCTCTCTTGCGTCTTTTTTTTTTTTTTTTTTTATTAATTTCAATTGCCCTTGACCCGCTCGTCTTGTCGGGCTGTACCATTTATTACTACCGCTACTACCGCTATTATTATTACTCTTTGATCATCTGTATTCCCCCTCACTAATTTTTCCGCAGCGGTGGCGTTGGTTGTTGTTGATATTGGTTATTGCAAGGTATATATGGCATGGATGATAAATACAAAAGTTTGCTAAATGACATCAGCACCGTTGGTGAAGGGGTATCATAGTTGCCTTCCATTACACAATGACAGCAACTGGGAAGGGTTCGAGTCCCTTACGGCGCATTCTTTTTTTTTCATCTTTCTTTTCTTCCCTTCCCCTATTTCTGATCGATATTTCCACCTATCTCTTTTTATTCGATTAAATTCTTCTATTAACACAAGTTCACATAAACGATTCCGTCATGAGGTATCACTCGGTATATATCGGACGGAAACGGCCGTCGGGGACGAGGCGCTAGAGAGCTGCTTGTCGGTATTGGATAGAAGTAAGTCCATAGATAGGTACATATGTGCAGACACGCTGCTAGGTGTAGGAAAGCCATGATCCAAAAACTAAGAACCTTCCGCCAAACCCCCTTCTAAAGCCCGTACTATATATATGTATGTGACTGTGAAATTCACCAGTATTTTGGTGTGCTTTGGCGCGAAGATGGTGATCCATGACCAAGAACTATAGCAAGTACGAAGCATGTTTTTCTTCTACACATACGTACTCAAATCAGCACCTTTTATACAGCTCGTCATGTAAATACAACCAGTTGGAAATTCCAATAACACCGGACCACCCAGTGCGATTTCCCCGCAACCAGCCCCCCCCCATTCATGAAGCTTCTTCTGGACCCTTGGGTTCTTCGGGCTCGAACTCCTGATGGCACGAAAAGAATGATACGGTACTTTCTGGGCTGCCTGGCTCCTGGTCGTTTTTCTTTTCCGGCTGTAGGGCACTATCAAGATCAAGATTAGAGAAAGTCTCGTCTAGATCCTGCAGAGGTAGCAACGGGGGCGTGTTTCCCTGCTTTTATTTCATTAGCATTTGCCGAGCCATAATGTTGTCGCTTGAAAACTCAAATAACAAAAGTGCACGCAGTTTTGATGTCAGTTATCTCATCCTTTCTAGAAGTCAAATAAATTGATCTCGGTCATGCCTGTGAATATATAAAGAACTAAACAAAGCGAGGATGATCATTAAAAACCCCCCAAATAAACAAACCACGCAAACCGAAGATCAGGTATTGAGTCCCCTTCAAGACCACAACGCCAAAAAAGAAAAAAAGAACAACGAAAAACGGAAATACAAATAGCAAGCATCGCAAGTGCCAAGAGGAAAGAAGAAAAGGACGTAGAAAATTCAGTTGGGATGGAAGTAACGACTCCTCACCGCCTGACTGAGATTGGACATCCTGCTTGCCATGCCGCCAGCTTGCATAGTGCTTAAATACGCTTCCTCCATTGCGGATTGTGTAACACTCGCGTCTAGTAACAATCAGCGGCAAAAGAGGACTATGTAATGATTGGTGTACGTACCAGAGAGATCACTAAAACTACTTCCCATACTAGGCGAATTTGGTCCAGTGGATAAACCTGTACTATCTACCGGCAATCGCCTAGGACTTCCCATGGGTGCCAGGGGCTGCTGTATTCTTGACCTTCTAGCTCTAACTGTACCCTGAAACTCCAGCGATGGGTCAACACCAGTTCGAGAGCTGGGCCGAACGGATTCCTTCCCCTTTATTGTGCCAGCCCCAGAGGTTCGCCGTCTTAGCGTCACGGTACCTGTCATTTGGTCATCGGTACCTGCAGCCAGCTTTTCGCCAGGTGAAAATGGCAAAAATGCCGGTTCTTCATCGCCATCCTCATCAGAGCTCTCACGGGAGCCCTTTTTATTGAGAAACGACGGAAGCCTCCGAAAGAGCCGGTTTCCACCATCGTCATCATCATCAGACGATGCTGATGCTGTAGAGGACTCTGTATAATCTTCGGATGCAGATGAGGGGTGTTCTGGGGAACGACTGGGCGATGGATCAGGAGGAACATGATTTGAGAACCGGTGACTAATTAGCGGAGGCTGTGCACCGCCACGAGTGGTCGTAGACGAGCCGGTTCGTGACATTGGCTGTGCGGACGCTACGGAAATTTTAGTACTCTGCTATCTATTCATATTGGCTAGAACTCTTACGCCTATTCGTATTGGTCGGAGTTGCTGGAAGGGCAGGTGTGAGTCGGGGAGTAACTATTGGAATAGAGCGCACTGAAAGAGATGAGTGAGTCCTGGGCTCTATAGACAAGACTCCCTATCAATGGCCATTTCGAGATAACTCCGATGGCTATTGAGGAGTGGTATAAACTTACCTGTACCAGCTGTACCAGTTCTAGCCATCGGGGCTCCTCCCATCACAGCCGGAGATTGCGGTCGCGAGTATGGGGAGCTACTAGCAATATTGGCAATATTGGTATTCAGAGCAGATGTCCCCGCCCTTCTCATTTGAGCTTGAATCTGCGAGAGCTCCCGTTCATAAAGCCATGCTGCCTGCTGAAGTAGGAATTCTCGAGATACTTGAAGGTCGGTTGCTCTGTTACAACATTAGCACTCTCCACTACACTCCAGTCTACTTTACTAGTGAGCTCACAGTTCATTCCCTATACTGTCATATTAGCCATAGATAAATTCCGAGAATTTGAGGGAGGGGAACGTACAATCAATATCCATGCTACGGCCAGCTCTCGAAAGAACCTTCCACAAGTACCTCTCTTTTGCATCATTCCAATCAACCTATTTCACCAATCAGTACTTTTGTACCATAATTCTCTGTGTACATGACATATTGATACCCACCTGTGGCGGATCCACGAACCCATTCCTTTCGAATGGAAGTCGTATGTAAACGACGTATCTCTCCTCGGCCGGTGGCTGAGAGATTACTGGAACTTGGCCACGCCTGCTACCCTCTCTATCACCTCTGAGCGAGTTGGTACGCTGAGTTGGGGGAGCCATATTCACCGGAGAAGAAGCCAGAGCTCCATTCAAAGGCACTCCACCACCAGCTCCCCCACCAGCTCCCCCACCTCCTCCTCCAGCTCCAGCTCCTCCGGACCCTCCGGGCCCTCCAGTTCCACCAGTTCCTCCTCCAACTCCTCCAGATCCCCTTGAAGAAGTCTGACGGGGCCCAAGGTGTCCAATCATTCCTGCTGCGGCCTGTGTGGTGTTCTTGATGATATTCGGAAGTGGTACCACAGGCATGGGGCTTTGTGATCGCGTGTAAGACAAGCTTTACGTCACGAACAGCATTGTGAGTTGAAACGCGACAGCTAGAGGCACGTGAAGGATAAGCCAGGATTGACTTACTAATCTTGGCAGCTATATATACCCAAACCCCTACCCTACCACAACGCTAAGTTAATCAGATTACATATGATCCACTACATGTAGGTACACGCAACCCCGCGCTTTAGTTCTAAGAGTTTAGAAATTTATTATGTATCTACCGGCAGTTATCTAGTTTCTGCTGGGGCGACGTTGTACGCGTGTATGCGTGGAATCTCTCTGGTCACAGTAAATCACTCGTAGCCGCGCACAGAGCGAATCGACTCGGGTTTGCCCTAGTCTCGTTCCCAGTCACACTTCATGGAGTCAAATCAAAACAGGTCTGGGCACGAGAGTACATAGGGTACATACTCACACAGTAAATCCAATCAATGCGTAGAAAGTAAAACGTGCTTTAGCCATAGAGATTTCCTATAACACCCATAGGTACATGGATATGGTTTCCAGATCGACCCTACCTATATAGAGCACGTACATATTGAAAGCTCAAACACTATGAAGTTAATTGCTTTCTTCCGATCCGGTGCTCTAAAGATACTATACCCAGAGTAAGTTCAAAGTACCAAATAATACACGCCTAGAATACATGTAGTACCTATATATTGTAGCTAATATGTCAATGTAGTTCACCAAGGTATTCATTCTGTTTGGCTGTAAAATCTTGTTTCTATAGGTATTTGAATTTGGAAAATCCAAGTCTTACTGATACATCAATGATTTCAAGATATTAAACCAACCTTGTATCCGACCAGTCTTCTATTTCGTGGGTGACAAAAAATAACTGCTAGAAGCCCCCGAACGTTCGAACGACTAACGGAGAAGGCCGATAAAAAGCAAGCTATAAGAAGCTCTGAATATAAATATGTATGTACATTCGAGCGACGTTAGTTGTGTACTTATATCATGCAACCTTGCATTTTGAACTAGATCTAAGTTAAAACTGGGATGAGCTTGGTTAAATAGAAAGCAACACGGAGCGAAGAAAAAAAAAAGAAAAAAGACGTTGAAAAAAAAACCTAAATACCATATTTTGACAATTTGAACCAATGAAAGTAATTATATTTCGTCAATCATATCATCACTGTCGTCTCCTGAAGCTTCCTGGAATCTCGGTCTCATCTGGGCATTATATCTCCTCGCGGTCACCTTTCCGTCCCTGTTCGATAACCTTGATTTTCCACCATTCCAAGTGTGTAAGCTCACTGTCCCTGTAGTGAATCCATACCCATTCCAACAAGTAGCTAAGTTCCTTGTTAGACATCTTTTCCTAAAAATGAAACGACATGAGGAGTAGTCTGATGACAAACCTGCTAATACAGGTGCGCTAGGATGCCAGCTGACATCCCTTACACATGTCTTCCATGACGTCCTCGAGTTTGATCCCTCGTCCCAATCGCGATACCAGCTATTATTCGACCTTTCGTCCACTGGTCTAGTATTCAACGTGGCAGCATTGACATCTATCTCGCCAGCAATCGTTGCATCAAGATTGTAAATTTTGGCTTTTCCATCTGAAGAACCAGTATAGACGTATCGAGATCCAGTTGAGGTGGGTGGTGAGAAGTGGCATCGGATCAAGGTTTTATGGACACTATGCCCACGGTACGTAACTAAAGAAGAATCGTGTGGTAGCTTTATAGGGGGTTCCCTGTAACTATTTGGGGTTAGCAAGACTACATTCAAAGGTAATTTTATATGAGAAGAGTCTGAACCTACATCTGCGAGCGGTAGTCAAATCCACTGGAGTAATTAAAGTGAGGTAATCCATCAAATTCTTTAGGATCCATCATTTTCCTGGGTAATCATTAGCAATGTACTCGAGCCTTTGGTTCAAAGTAACCCGCCTTATATCCCATAACTTCATAGTCTGGTCTTTAGCGTTAGAAAGAACATATCTTCCATCTCCTTTGCTATCCACATATGTTAAACCTTCCGTGTGTCCGGCAAACACACCTACCTCCCGCCCATCTGCCATACTGCGCCGATCCCATACTTTGATTGTAGTATCATCAGACCCAGAGTAGAGAATATGAGGGGAATTTTGATCTCCATAGCAAACGGCGTTAACGTCTTCCTCATGTCCTTGAAGCTTGAGAATCGGCGTACGGGTCTCTATGTCATATACATAGAGACAACTATCGCTTGCCCCAGCTACAATTTCACGACCATCACCAGAGAATCGAACAGACCATATCTACCAAGCGCATTCGAAATTACTTCGTGTTCTCAGGATTTTCTTGAAAAGAGGACTTACACCATAATGAGGATCCATAACATTTATGTTCCCACGTTCTCCATGGCTTAGCTCTAAAGGAATAATTTCGTCATTACCAGGGTTTGTGTTCGCCATGAAGACACAGCTTGCTATGCTACTATAGGCTAAGTGGTTGTTATCTGGAGAAAGAGTCGCATCGGTGATGGTCCATCTTCCGCCAATATAATCCACAGACTTATAATATTTCCATTCGTATGGATTTGAGGTATCGTACATCCGTACCTGGAAATCTTGAGAACAGCTGTAAAAGAAATTCCCATCTTCGGAAAATTGGCCAGAATAGGAGCGATTGTCATAATGGATGATAAAGTCCGCTTCACTGCTTGGAAGCATTGACTATAAGGGTTATGAGTTAACCCATGCAATATTATTGTCCCGGAATATCGAAGAAGTGAACTCACTTGTGCCATCAATTGGTTTAAAATTCTACCTCGTTCTCCAACGTAGCTCCCAATCTCCCTTTCGAGCAATCGTCTGGATAGCGTAAAGCCTTTAGTTGGTTTTGAAGCACCACCGGCCCCATAGCTCTGCAACTCATTCTGCGAATATCCGTCAGAATAACTTTCCATATCCTACTCAATCCCCGGTATACTAGGTGCACCAACAGATCCAAAGTCTCCTGATCTCATGAGTTCCTGACCAATCGCACTCGGCACCGGATCGATTTCGCTATAGTGGGGAGGAGGCCGTCGCGGGTATCTATCTATCTCAACAAATGCGCTGTTTCCACTGCTAAGTCTGAATATCATATTTCTGTTGAATTGAATCCGTCCTTGAAGTAAGCGTGCAATCTGCACTGCTCTAGCTCGTGTATCGATTTCGTCATCATCATCATCACCATCATCCAGTTCCTCTTCGCTCTCCTCATCCTGGTCTTCTGTTGCATCTTCAAATTCAAGCACATCTGCATCGCAATTTTATTAGACGAATGAAGATTCTCAAAATACCTCGGCAAGCCTCTTACCTTCCTCGCTGTCGTCATGGTCATTAGATGTCTCATAATCCATATCATTATCCTCCGGATCAGTTTCGTTAAGATGAGCCGCGAGTGAGTTATTCATAGCGTATGCAAAGTGATATGTATGCTTGGACAAAAATAATAATAATGGGAGCGTTAGGAGTTTAAGTACATGTAGTAAATGTGGGGAAGAAATACATGCTGTGTCTAGCGGGGAATTGCCGCGTCCCGCAGTGAATGGTGACGTTCTTATCTCCGCCTAACTCCCTTTCATGCTGATTGAGAATTTCAATCGTTCTGCTGTGTATAATACGAACATCGAGATCGGTGATAGTCACCGGAAACTACAACAAAAGGTGAATTTCCCGTAAAGAGCACTCTTATGGCATTTATAGAGCTCTATGTAATTGAAATTAGCTACTGGTATGTATTCAGCTCTTGTAGAGTTAGTCTTATCGATGCATTCTTCCGGGGATCCCACATCCCCGGCGGAGAAACCACCTCTCCGATCCGAAAGCTCCTTAAGCGAGTGCACCAAATTTGGGATTGTCGTCACGAGGGTTAGGTTTACACCGTCTTGGCGAGGTAGTTACGTGATACGCGTAAAGTACATGTAGGTGTTTCTACTCGAGCTCCAGGTTTCGAATTCGTCTATACTCGTAATTTTTTGACGTTTCCGGACTGAACTGGGTCTGCATATGGGCGAAAATCGTGCATAACAATCATATTTTGGTGGCATGCAGACCCAGTCCAGTCCGGAAACGCCAAAAAATTACGAGTATTAGATATAAAACTACATGTACATGTAAGTACAGTCGTGATCCACGTACATACATGTATGTTAGATTAAGAATGTGCCCCTTGCGCAGCATCAGTGTTTCAGGCAATGGAAGCAATCAATTCTAGAAGCGAATATTCTCTGCCGGGAAATTCTCCCAATAGAGTAGAATAGACCCCTGCAAGGATTCTCAGGATCTTGAAGCACAGATTCTCGTGAAAATAATAATACAGAATATACATGTGTCTGTCCCTCTTGTTATCAAGTGAGCATGTAAGATAAGATGTAACCTTTTGATCTCGTGAGCCCGCCGGGTAAGACGCGACTGTTATTTAACACACAGGAAACGGCTTGCGGGACGAAACGTAGGCTCATCGGCAATTGATCCGGACCTAAACCCCAAGAGACTCTGGTTCTCAATAGCGCACTCGCTAAACGCGTAGAAGAGTCACCAACTTTTTCCAGATAATTCGAAACATGATTATCTCAGGTTTTCAGAATCCAGATTAGTGGAGAGCCTAGAATTGCGGCTCGACGTTGTTGCTGAGTGATGGTTATTTTTTGTTAGCCCTAACCATTGCCCTTTGCTCATTTCACGCAATTAATAGTAGGAGAGTACGCGAAATTTTCTCCACTTTATGCGGTAGTCAGCGCACAGGCGTTAGTTGGTTCCGTTGTGTTCGTATGAAGATCAATGCAATCGTGTTAAGTACTTATATCAGCCCACGCCCGCCGCTCCCCTGACGTGCCTTTAAACTCTGCCTACCAGCACCTTCCTTACTCCCTTCTCTCTCAACTTCTTCCTACCACCATCACCATTATAGCCAGTGCCAAAGTATCGAACAAAACACCAATCTTCAATCTTCCAAAATGGTTGCCCGCGTTCAACACCCTGCCCCTTCTTTTAAAGGAACTGCCGTTGTCGACGGAACATTCGCAGGTCAGCCAATCCATCCAGCTATCCATCTAGGGAGCTCAAACACCCTTTTACCAGTCAACTTCAATCTATTAATATATTAATAGTTGTATACTAATATCATTTATGGAGTTTAGAAATCTCGCTTGAGGATTACAAAGGCAAATGGCTCGTTCTGGCTTTCATCCCCATGGCATGGACATTTGTTTGGTAAGTCTTCAGTAATCTACAATTGTGCTGTGTTTAAGCTTTATCATATCACCGCGTTGAAAAAAGCATTTACCAAACTAAACTGACTTGTGATCGTTTGGACATGCAGCCCTACTGAGGTTGGCCAATCCCGTTTCCACTCCACCGATTCGACCAATTCTGATCGAGACCACGCATTATGTTAAACTAACACGTCCACAATAGATTATTGCATTCTCAGATGCCGCAAAACAATTCGCTGAACGCGGAGCTTCCGTTGTCTTCGCTTCAGTCGATTCTGAATATAGGTGGGTACTTTATCCTATTGAGTCGGATATCTCCGTGTAACCCACATGCACATCCAAGTTACTGACTCTAAGCACTGAAGTCTTCTCTCATGGGCCTCAACAGCCCGCAAGGATGGAGGTCTAGGAAGTGTCAACATTCCTCTTTACAGCGACAAGAACCACAAATTGGCAAAGGATTACGGTGTTTTGATTGAAGAGGAGGGCGTTGCTCTTCGTGGTCTTTTCATCATTGACCCCAAGGGAACTATCCGCCAGGTAAGAACATCCCGACACAAGATGGATTTGAATTAGTTTGGAGGAATTCTTATTCACATTTTACCATTTTGCTAGATCACCATCAACGATCTTCCGGTTGGGCGCTCAGTTGATGAAACAATCCGTTTGGTAGACGCTTTCCAATTTACAGAAAAGGTATATTCCACCAGCTACTGAATTGGGGCTAAATTACTGACGGAATTATAAAGTACGGCGAGGTATGCCCTGCCAACTGGAATGCTGGTTCAGAAACAATCAAGGCCAATCCCAAAGAGTCAAAGGAATATTTCACTAAGGTTCATGGTTAAAGTGTACTTCAAAATGGACTGGACTGTATTTTTAACTTGGCGAGATAAATCATGAACTGTTAATAGGTCAAAGACAGTGGCATGCAAAATGATGGAGCTTGAAGTCGGTCGGTCATCTATAGATTAGATATCGACTGTATTCATCTAGCCTTTCTTTGTTGTTCCGTAGTAGAATTTAGTGGTAGTAGAGTTGATTAATACCAAACTTTTGCCGAGTTGGCCAGCTCATAGTGTCCTGATAGTCTGCATGTTCAGAATGTTGCAACAGGCATACCCGATCAAAGATTTACATGGTGCGTTAAGAGATCTGTGTTGTTTGGGAGTAGTTACCTCCGAAGGTGATGACTTTCTTGGCAGATTATTGGGATAATCGGAAGCCCGGAAAGTTGGATCATTCAATTACACGAACAGCATAGATTATTACAATAATTCAAAAGTCGATAATCTGTCAGATTACTACCAATCACTCGAATTATTGGCTTGTCCGGACAGGCCCTTGGTCTGGGTTACGGAGGTTTTATAATGGAAATAATATAATTCTCGATACTATCCAAGCATGGCTCAACAAACATCCAACACGCAAACTACATGTATGTAGGCACAACAAAATAAGACCTCAGAAACGGGTAAGGAATTTTCCACAAAGAACGATAGAAAAGATAGAAATAAAAGATTGTCCCATGAAAGCGAAATAAAAGATTGTCCAATGAAAGCGAAATAAAAGATTGTCCCATGAAAGCGAAATAAAAGATTGTCCAATGAAAGCGAAATAAAAGATTGTCCCATGAAAGCAATGCACGTAAGATTCGACGAATAAAGGAAAGAAAGAAAGCAAGAACGAAAGGAGCGCGAAGTAAAAGCATAACATAAGCAATTTCCTAAATGATTAAAAGAAGTCAAATGAGAGGTAGTAACGAAAAGAAATTCATAAACCTAGTTCCCTAATCCTAGTCATTTATCATTGATATCTCCTTAACAGTTGAGAAGCGGTTTCATAAAGACAACTACTCATCGAGGGGGATTTTATTCAAAGCCTCACTACTGATGTTGCTATCGGTTCTATAGATATCATTGATCATTTTGAGTATACCGGAAGAACCACTCCCATCGCTATCAGAAGCGTGGCTGTTGTGCTCTTTGGTATCGGTATCGTATCCAACGATTTCGTCCTCGTCGGATTGTTCGCTGTAGTCGAAGTATTTGTAGGAGCTGCTGTCGTCTGAACTCTCTTCTGCTGGTATAGTTTCAAAACCAGCAAAATCGTCCGCAGCTGTATGATTGCGATAGGGGGCCACCTGTGTGTAACGCCCAACTTCTGAGACATGGTGATATTCGTTTTGCCCCAAACTTTCGTTGTTGAAAGGGTGTTCACGATTAGCAATTTTGCCTAGAATTTCCGCAAACAACCATGGAAAAGAGATGAGCGGCATCGCTTTCACATCTTCAGGAGTAAATCTCAGGGGCGCTCCTTCAACATAGCGTTCGCGTCTCTTTCCTTTGGCTTTCTTTGCTTTTACATCATCCAATCCCGCATCCAATTCCTGCTTGGCCACTGTATACATAGCCACGACGAATGGCCCAAGCCTCAATTCGTCGCTACTACCAACCCTGTGTATAACAGCCTTTTGCCAGATTTCTTTCAAGCTACTGCGAATACTCCCAATCTCTTCGTGGAATTTGTAATCCCCCGCAGCCTGCGAATGGTGCATAACAAAGGTCGAATAGACCTCGAACTCTGTGTGGATTTCGTGTTGGGCCATGATGCTACGCAATGCCGCATCATAATCGCTCTTCAACTCCTTTGCTGCCTCGAGGATCTCTTCGCCGGGGGTATAAGCATTCAATATACGCTCGTCGAATTGGAGCTCGTAAGAAGGCACAAAGTCTATCTTCTCCACCATATCATACAGCTGTCCAAGAATTTTGTGAGAAGTATAGCTCTTGTCCTTCTCCTTTTCCATGAAGTGAGGATACTTTCTGATTCTCAGACTTCGGGGCATGTCGGCCGGTACCCCCGTCTTGACGTAATCCACAGCGTCGGAGTGCAGGGCGGCAAGCGTTAGGCCTATCCAATGTCAACACCATCTAACTTAAGTAATAATATAGTGGGATAGAATGGACCTACACTGATCGGACTTTACTCCCTCGTCAAGATAGTCTGCCCAGGCAAGATGAGAATTCGCGATAGCCCCAAGCTTATCATTTTTCATATAATTGACAAAGAATTTCGTGATATCGTTCACCTCAACATCACGAGATAATTCAATTGGCTCCATTGGTAAATAGTCCATCGGTGGATAGTTGGTGACCCCATTGGTCAAATCCTTATCCCAGATAACGATATAGTCATCTCCATCCAAGTCTCCGCCAGATAACATGCTCGCAAGGTCACGATCCCCTTTGCTAGGAAATACGACAACGTTGCGAAGGTGCCGCAATTCTGGAATATCAACAGCGCGTACAGTCCGAATATCTCCAGGGTGAAGAGAAGGATTACGTGCAACGAGACATAAACCCTCAATCACCCTGAATTGACCTGGCTTCTCCGGATCACTGACTTGTAGAAATATCTCTGGCATAGTAGGGGGATTTTTTTCCTTTCTCTTTTCGGGATTCTCGCCATCAACCTTGTCGTCCTCGTCCTCATCATCATAATGTCCCTCCAGGAACCCAGTCTCGTCAACCACGCCAAGGACAAACGCCCCATTCTCAACCATTATCCTTGCCTTTTCCTTAAGATATTTAATCGACCAAGACCGCCATAGACTAAGAAGAGAAACCACGAAAGGTTCTCGGATTTCCATGAAACCGTCACGAACCATGGCTGCAAGTTCCAAAGTGAATTGATTTGCATCGATGGCTCTGCAGAGTAGGTATCGTGCAGCTGCGGGCCTAACCATGGCATCTGCGTATTTCTGTAGCGTATCCTCTAGTTTAACTCTAAACACATCGTCCGATGCCCCAAGTGACGAAAGGACTATGATAAGTTGCCTGTTGAGACATGCAGTTGCAGGTTGCGAGCAACGAATAACCTCGAGAATTTTGTGTTTGGCTTTGAATTTTTCCTGACTGGGGCGAACATAGACCTCTCTCTTTTTAGCCTCAGGCCACACAGTTAAAACCCCCTTACAGCCACCAAGCCGGAATTGAAAGCATGATGGTGGAGGCTGGTCCTTTGGTAACTTGAGCTCCATGGAAATGAGGCTTGCGAGAAACTCCGAGATTTTACCAACACCATCCGAGAAATTGTACTCATTATCGGGGTACTTAATGTCAGGGACATCCACAACGTCGACCTGAACACCACGGATAGCACGAGTGGTGGCTATAATAGTTAGCGCAGCTAGAATAAAACAAAACAAAGCACTTTCTACGGAGAGAGCACACAACAGACGCCTAGTTAGGCACCACTAAAGATTCCCAATATGTACCAGTACTACAGCCGCCCTTTGGAACAAAGAGACTGGTTGGACGATAAAGGGGATATTCATCAGCCAAAAACCTGATTTCCCAGTCTTTGATTGGCTGAAATCCCCTTCTCGTTTTTGCTTCAAACTCTTCGGTACCTTAAAGGTGACTGTAGCTGGGCTTCTCTCCTCGGTCCATCGTGTGCCCTCCCCTGAGGAAAATGTTGTAAAAAAAAAAAAAAAAAAAAAAAAAAAAACTCACAAAAACATTGTCCAAGCCTAGCAGCATGCTTGGCAACAATCCTGATTGACTTGAATTCCCCCATCCATTTGCGAATATCTTTTACTGAGACATGTTCATTTGAGGCGAAAAAATATGCACCATGCTCGCGGATTTGCGAGTTTCCAAAAGCAAGAAACTCAAAGTGTTCTCCGCCAATAGTGATGCCGTGTGCCAAGGCTGTCATTATCCGTGTAAAGACTTCGTTCATAGAATTCTTATTTGTTGAATTGATCCGAGCCTGTGTTTCAATTAGAATATTTCACCAAAAATAATTGAGATTTTCTAATGATACCTTGAACTCATCCACAAATTGCACCCTCAAAAATCTATCAGAATAATGGCGGTAGTGCCTTATAACCCTGTTAGTGGTTTCAACAGTGGGCGTGGCGTAGTAAACCGTGGACGGCGTGACGCTGGCTTTTCTCACCCGCTGGTAATCACCCTCAAGCTTTTTGAGCTTTTTGAGAAGGGCTTCTGTGCCTCCCTTTACGGTGAGGTTGAAGATATCCATGGGGTTATAAAAGCGTCGCTTTTCATTTTCTGCAACATGCTCTAATAAACGTACTGCCCTATCGGATTTCATGCCAAGTAGCTTATCGATAAACTCAGTCGTAATATTATACTCGTTCAAGAAATTCCGAGAAATACAGACTTCTAGTTGGTAACGAGTGGGATATGGGAGAAGCGGTCTTAGTGCTGCCAAAAGGCCATCATAATAAGAATTGGTAGATATGGCATCAATAGTGTCCCATATAGGGGTTAGCCTCTTCGTGGTGGTTTTGAGGTCGTCAAGCACCGCGGTTTTGATATTGAAATCTCTCAGAGCCAAGAGCATTTCCCCAAAGCGGCTAATTTGGCTTTGCTCTAAGCCGAATTGGAAGCGGTATGTTGTCCACCGACCTAGGCTTGTTAGTTATATTAGGCATATGATTGTTGTTCAATTGGAGTACAAACCCGTGTCAATGATCGGATTCTTTTGTCTTAATGAAACCGGCGACGTTGATCTATCAACTTGGTCGAAAGCGATGCCCGTCTGCCGAAACCATTTGTCAAACCTACTCCAGTAGTTTGCTTTAGGATCATGCGACAGTGCAACATTGAATAACTCTCTCCAGAACAATGGAGGCGATGGAAGGGAAATAAGTAAAGTCCTGCTTTTCTCTGAAATCCTGGGACCATATTCCAAGATCTGGCCAAGTTGGGAAAATGGAATCTGGAAACGGTAACTTTCCCATCTATCCTTGGCAGGCTCTGCTACTCTCTCGTCCTGATTGGTAATTGACTGTCCAGACTCTTGGGGGGTTTCCTGTAAAATAGAATCGTCTTCTTTGGCATGGTAAATTTTGAACTTGACGTCAATTTGCTTGCGGAACAAGTTAACCTCAAAGACAATATCTTCTGCTACATTATGTATTGTATGCATGCCCATAAAAACGTTTTCCTCAACCATGAGGCCAAAGTCTAGTTGCTTGGGTTTAAAGATCTGTGTAGCAATTATTAGAAATATTGAAAGGTAGTAGTGGAGGAGGTGGGTATTCTAACAAATCTGTCGGGATACTCTATGTTCCTATTTACTTCACTGGCTACTTTGAATTTGTGCTGAGGAAGAGGAAGTAGCCTTGCCGTCATCTCTTGCATGGCTCCTTTCCACTGGTATCGTATAGGTGCGGTCCAGAATGGGTCTGGTTTATAAACATGACTGCGCTAATGTAAGTATGAACTCAACTGGAGGATACAATCATATATTGTAGTTTGAAATCAAGAGGACAAAATCCGGAAATGGTATTATACCTAAACTTGACTTCCCCACCCCCATCCCTGGTGCCATGTGTATTCTCAAAGAGCTTTATTGTTTCAATCACTCCAAATTGTTGGAATGTTTCATATACGTCTATAGTTTTGTACTGCATAGGTAGTCCCGATAGCCGTATCTGGATTTCCGGGCGAGTCCTCCAATCATTCAATTGCAAATAGATGGGTGCCTGCACTTGTCCTAGAGGAAAGGAAGGCTGTGGCAGTGGAGGTGACGGAGAAGGAGAAGGTCCATTGCTGCTGCTGCTGCTGCTGCTGCTGCCGCCAGGAGAACCGGGTAAGTTTGTTGTGGGGCCGGTGGGATGCGTGGGTGTATCATCTCCACTGACATTGCTATTCGTGGTGTTGTAGTTAAGAAACTCCCGTTGCCTGATTTCCCTACGTTTCTCAATATCCCTTTGACGTCTAGCCCTGGCCCTTTCAGAGTCCTCCTGGATTCGTGCTTTGTTAGAAGCAATGCGTTCTTCTCTCGTCTTAAGAGACAAAAGTATTGGTTCTGAGTGATTTGGAACAATGGTCCCCACCTCAGTCCGTCCAATAGTAGAATCAACTCTAGACTGATGATTGAGCTCTTGTCTGAATCTAGAGCGGCCCGTTCCAGGATTGCTTCCACTACCTGGGGGTCCGTGGTTTCGACCTGGCATGGGTTCTTGATGATGGGAGAGGGGCGTCTGAGATAACAAGGGTAAAGAGTTCCCACGAGTTGCTTCTCTTTCGTTGTTACTTGGCGTGGGATTACCGGATGAGAAGCTAAAATCGTGGCCCGCTTTAAGCGCGGTTGGGTTGCGCGCATGGGGCCTCATCCTGATCCTGGCGGCTGATCCTGACGCGAGGTGATTTAACGGTCGAGGTCACGTGAAGGACGCGTTGTTAAGACTTTAGGTTGGTCCACAAACAAGAATTGGCGATGGTTGTGTCTGGATTCTGATGTAGCTCGTAATCACGAATGAACAGTGTATTGAAGGTAAGGAAGAGGAAAAGGGAGAGAAGGCGAGGTCGGTCTTATATTTATCTAGAGACATGTACATGTATACGTAGCACTCAAGAACACTCTGGGAGTTAGCTAAATTGCGGATTAGCACATGTATGTAATAATGTTTGGGCTTCTTTCCAGGAAAGCCACAGCATCCAACGAATGTAAGTAGGTTAAGTATATATTATTGATATTTCTACGTGTACTTGTAATTGCATAGCGTTTCTGAACACGATAAATATCGCATGACATACAAAAAGGTGGGTTTGGCGCTTTTTTTTGTATGGTATGCAATAGCAGTCATGTTCGGAAACGTCATGAATTTACAACAGATCTTAGGACAGCGCTGAAGATAATCTACGACCTAAGTGATCTGAAGAGAATTAACCCATAATAGATTTATTTGCAGGTGGCATGTTATATGTCGGGCCTGAAACGTATTCTTCAAATTCAGGCCTCCCATTCAGGCATCCAACATGGTTGTGGCGGTGCTTTTCGAGTGACAGAAGACTAAAGAATCACACGTACTCGTAATTTTTTGGCGTTTCCGGACTGGACTGGGTCTGCATACCACCAAAATATGGTTGTTATGCACGATTTTAGCCCATATGCAGACCCAGTTCAGTCCGGAAACGTCAAAAAATTACGAGTACATGTATATTAGTCATATCTAACATGAAAACACTTATAATGAATGGCATTCCTTCGTTCGTGTCCTGTTTTCATAGGCAAAATCTAATTAGAGGAGGAGTTGGTGCCAACAGTGTTGGTAACGACCGGGAGCCTACACGGTTTTGATGGGTCTTTGACGGATACAGCGGAGTAGAATTATTGGTAGACTCGTAGAGTACCGCGAAACTACAGTCCTACCTCGCTATGCCGGATGGCGATTCACTTGATTTTGCAGTAGAAAAATTGATTGAATTTCGTAGATACGGGACAGCAAGGGACCCGGCATATTGAGTTCCGCCATAGCGAGGTGCAAACATAGTAGAAACAGGGGTCTGAAAACAGGATTTGCGTGGTTGGTCGATAGACGAATAGGATTCCTCCCTAATAATCCCTGTACTCTATCTAGTCTACTCCAGAGCGAATAGGCCCGAGCAGCGAGCTGGATCCAAATTCTACTTGTATGATTGGTTGATAGGAGGATCGGCGCCAATCAGGTTACCGTAATTTGGAGCTGGAGTCTTTTGCGCAAAGGGCCTATCATAATGTCTCGTCTCACGAGACCAAGGAATACCTCAACCAGCGCGTGCATGCACCAAGGATCGGGACCAGTGGAGTAGATGCACCGCGATATGGATCAGAAAAAAGAAAAGTGACGAATAGAGTACTGGGGAACGTCTGTGCGCCGAAACCTGCATTTTCTTGACGAATATATAACAGCTGTGCCATCTCCAGCTTCTCTAATCCGCCACATCCGAATCCCTTCCTCCAAATGACTCGGCCTCGGTGTTCCATCTGGGATCTCCATAAAGAAATCCAGAACTTAACAATCAATGACTCCTTACGTCCTCGAAACTACGATAAAGGGCCCCAGTGGCTCCAGAGACGAATTGGGGAGCTACCTAGATCTTGTGATGTCTCGACGATGGCATATAAACTCTGTGGATTAGAATATCGTGCTTTATGGCGCGATATGGCTAAGGAACATCAACGGGTTGTGTCGACTCTTATCGATGCATCTAAGTCCACTGGCCGGGGGTATGATTGCCTGTTCAACAAAGCTATGAATGAAATGGTCACCTTCCTCGAGATATTTGCCACTAGGGCAGCTCCCTTCTCAGGAGCTGCCACTAGGGAAGCTCCCTTCTCAGGAGCAATTGACAATCAGTTCGAGCTATTGATGGACAACTTCGGCACCGTAATTGATACACTAAGTATTTTTTATGACCGGTTCGATTGTGAAGGGCGGTCAGAGACTCTCAAACTTGAGAGAGACGAGAAGCGGATGGCCCTCTTCTGCTTTGAGAAGAACGAGCGTCGGCCACCCATGGACTTATGGGATCCGGAAAGTTGGAGAGTTTTGGAGGAGGTTTACGGCCCGGCTTATATAGAAAGTATTTTTTGGATGGTTCATTATCGGAACGACTATTAGGCATAAGATAAGCTATAAGCCCCTCGAGCTCGACTCAATTACATCAAATTAAACCCATACATAGAGCAACAGTAGAGAATCGGAATTGGGCTGGTGATTGGGACTGGGTTTGCAGTTTGTAATTAATGGGACTGGGCTTGCAATTTGGGGGCGTATATATGATTATTGCATGTAACGTACATATAGTAAAACAAACACAAAACAGAAGAAAACAGAATATGCGCCGTAAGAGAAGTACATGTAGGTACAGTACATTAAAAAAAAAACCGTAAATGTACACAATGTTCTATAAAAGTCTATCCGACAAACCCATCGTATCCACCGTCGGCACCTTCTCAACCTTTAACCTCTCCTCGATAGCCTTTGTTATTTCCATCCTCCTCAAATTCTTCTTCTTCTTCGTCGTTACAATTCCAGCCTCCTCCCAACTCTCCCACACTTTCTGGCCTCTCTTAGCCCACTTCTCGGCCCATTCCTGCGCCTTCTCAGGCGTCTTCTCCTGCTCCCTCCACCTACTCCTCAGGATCCTCCTGATCGCCTCTCCGCTCACCTCAAACTTATCGGCCAGCATCTCGGTCGTAATCTCAGGGTGATTCTTGCGCAATACTCGGATGGCCTCCTGCGCATCTGGTGAGAGCTTCTTGGGGGGCGCCCAGGCCTGCCCCTTGAACTTCTCCTGCAGCCGCGCCTTGTAGATCTGCCAGGGCTCGATTTTGCTCCGGGGAGCGGTAGCAACCCATTTCTGGAGACGAGTGGGCTCGCGGTCCGTTTCCGGGATTTGAAGGTCCCAGTGGTTCGCGTATTGGGCGGTTTTAGGGAGCTCAAGGCTCTCAGGCACATCCGGTACTGCATTAAACCGCTTCTCCTGTTGGAGAGTAAGTCTCGGGGGAAATTTGGGCCTTTCGAGGGAAGATTCCCGGTCCTTTGATGATTTTGAGTATTCCCGGGGTGCTCGCGGAGCCTGCGGGGTATGTTCGGTGCTGGTGGCTTTTCGCGTGTCTGAGAAGAATTGATCGTATTTATGAGCTTTCGAGGATTCTCCTTCAGTTTCTGCTGTGGCGCTGCCGGCGGCCTCTCTTTCAGCCGCTCTTCGTTTCCTTCTCTCCCGGTTCTTCTCTAGGCTCCGGGCGGCCTTTTGGGCCTCCTTTAGAGCGATCTTGGCCTCTCGGGCAGCCTTTTTTTCTTCCCAGGCCTTTCTCGCGGCCTTCCTGGCGGCTTTTGCAGAAGTTGTCTCTGAACCCTCCGCAGAAGCCGCTTCTGCATTATTGGTCTTTCCATCGACTTCTTGGTCCTCCTTTGCGCTGATGCTCTCTGCTGTGCCGGTTGTTTCCTCCCCCGCTATGGCGGTTGTTTCCTCCCCCGCTATGGCGGTCGTTTCCTCCACCGCAGGCGCCAATACAGCAGCATCAATCTCCTTCTTCACCTCTTCTGAAGGAGCCGGTGCCGCCGCCGCCGCCAGCCTTTCCCTCTCTTCCCTCTCTCTCTTTCTCTTCCCCTTATTTTTCTTCGGTGCCAGACTATATGTCTGCTCGCCTCCATCCAAGGTCCAGTACGCCTCCCTCTTCAAAAACCCCACCTTCTTCTTCCCCTCCTCCACCACAGGCTGCTCCTCCGCCACAGGCTGCTCCTCCATGCCGTCCCACCACGCCGCCCCCTCTCCATGCGGCGACGTGAGCTCTATATCCGGCTCCCTCTCCATGCGCCCCGCCTCCGGCACCGGCGGCGGCCACCCAGACTGCACCTCGACGCCGATCGCGGCCGGCACCGTGCCCGCAAGATGGTAGTCAAAGGGCACATAATCATCGTCCGTGAGCTCCCCGCCGAGCGTCGCCAGCGTGCCCTGTTTCCTCGCCGTCAGGTGTGTCGTGAGGCGCGCATACGCAGACCCCGGCCCCGCTGTCCGCAGCAGTGGCAGTGGCAGCGGCAGCGGTCGCAGCGGTGGCCGCAGCGGGAGCTGGCTCGTGTGCAGGAATATCCGCAGGACTCGCGTCGTGCAATTGAGGCAGGCCATTTTGTTGTGAGGATATTTTTTTTATGGCGGAGATGGAGGTTGTGTGGAATAAGTGGCGGGGCCGGGATTGGGTCGAAATCTTTTTTTTTTTTTTTTTGCGAGTACGGCCGGGATGGGATGTGGGGGGCACGTGAGTGCCAAGAGTCAGGGAATGTCACTCGCGTGCTGGCGATCATTGGTCTCTGGGCGCGCCCCACGTGAGTGCGTGGGGGAACAGCACAGCTGCCCGGGCCCAGACATGAACGAGATCTTACTCAGGATGATGTATGTAGGAACGGCAAGTAGTATGCATTGACGTTGAACTCAGTGAAAACGCACACCATTGCGCACTGAAACCTGGAGATGAAACTGCCCGGTGTCCTATTTGTCGGGAGTCCCGCTAGTGGCATTGGATACTTGATTGATTGATTGATTGATTGATTGATAACTCACTAACTGTATGTAGCCCAGAGGCTTTGACACGCATTGGAAGAAGAAGCATTTAGAAAGAATCTCCTGTAATTCCTATTGGTTGCGACTCTGTCCAAACTGCTCGATCGACTTTATCTCTATCTAAAACCCCCCATCGCGATATCGCGAGTACTCTACAGCGGCTGCATGTAGTACTGCACTAGGTATAGATTGTTTTGGCACATATATATTGCTGCACACTGTAAGCTGCCGGACCACCTGCGCAGCTAGCTATCTGCACGGCCAGCCACCGCTATCCGTATGTACGGCCAGGGCTCTTTATTCAGCACTTGCAGTTAATTAAACCGCAGCCCGCGCTTAGTTGTTCTCTGCCAGCGTTTTGAATTTCGAAATCCTGGCTGGGGTAGCACGTAGTGCTTGCTTGCACTGTCTGGTTGAGCATATCTGCATTAATTTGGTTGATTGTGTGCAGCTATGACATATATCAGGACCAAGGCTGGGTATAAATAGTAATCATCAACACAATCAATAACCATTCGTGTTACATCCAAACGGTACACTTAATTCATGCATTGAGCTGATGCGAGGCAAAACGGTATCACGGGGCGTCACTAGAGCTACTTCTTCTTCTTGTACTTTACTTGTAGACCACATGCAGAATCGCAAAACAGAAACAGGACAAGACAGACAAACCGTCAACCAACTGCACTGCAAACAGAAAATAAAAATAAAACGATATCAAGATTACGAAAAAAACGAAATAGCCAAATTATGCACTCCCCACATTTATCATTCCCCGCGTTCCACCCATCCAGTCAATCATTTCCGCCCCACCACCAATACCAATAACAAATAGGTCAAAAACGAAAGCTCGAGCGAAGAAATCTATCATACACACCTCCCCCCACTCCCACACCTCAACCCACACCCCACCGCGCCCCCCGCCCTCTACCTCGACGCCGGAAAATTCTTACTACAACACCCCCCACACGCATCAGCCTCTCCCCCTTCTCCTCCCATCCCACAACCCGACAGAAAGAGCAGCCACATACCTATTCAACAGCACGCCCTTCACACTCCTAATCTCCGCCTTCACCTTCGCCACCGGATCATCCTTATCCTTCTCCTTCCCGCCCGCGCCCCCGCCATAGCCGCCATACGGGCTCGTATAAATATTCGTCCCCGGCCAATCATACGTCAGCGTCTCGAGATAGCTCGTGAGATCCTCCAGCGCAAACGTCAGCTCGTTGTCCGTCCCGTCGCTGTGGCTCTCCACCAGCGTCTGCAGCTGCGCCCCCAACCGCTCCAACTTCCCATCCGGCGAGAGCTCCGCGCCGTCGGTCAAATCCGCGCCCAGGTCCGCACTCGTCTGGGTACTGGCATCAACATGGAAGAGCTCTCCCGGATCGCTCGTGTCGCTGTCAGAGTCGCTGTCGGCGCCGGCACCGCGGCGCGGCTTCACTGTCGCCCCCTCCGGGAGCAGCTCGGTGAGGCGGGTGTTGAGGGTTGCGAGGTTTGCGAGGGCGGTGCTGGAGAGGTCGAGGCGCGCGGAGGTGAGGGCGTCGTACATGGGGGTTAGCACGAACTTGTTGGCGCCGTAGATGGTGGCCGCGGCGCCGGTGGCGAAGTAGAGGGATTTGCCGAGGGTTTTGGCGGTCATGAGGGGGGCGGGGGGCGCGGGGGGGGCGGGGGTGAGGAATTCGGGGTAGGTGACGATGGGGGCGACGGGGGCGGGGGTGCTGCTGCTGGTGGTGGTGGTGGATGGGGCGGGCTTGGAGGGGGCGACGGCGGTGGAGGTTGATGTCGAGGTGGAGGTTGAGGCCGAGGTGCTGGAGGAGGCCTTGACAAGCTGTGGGTATGTTAGCTCTATTCCTATACTCTCACCTACACCCACTCCCCCTACTACCACCCCAGGGTCCAACAGCAAACAAAACCTACCTCCTTCCCCTTCCCCTTATCCGCCTTCTCCCCCCCCTTCTCCTTCCCCTCCTCCTTCTCCTTCTCCTTCCCCTCCTCCTTCTTCCCCCCCACAAGCACCACCCCCTTCTCCCCCTCCTTCTCCGCCAGCTTCTCCAGCAGCGCCTCCATCTCGTCCCTGGTCAGCCCCTTTGTCTTCAGGAACTCCAGCTTCTCCCGCAGCGGCGCATTCATGATGGGCGCGCTCTCGAGGAACTTCTGCGCGGAGTCGAGCAGCTCTGCGCGCGTCAGTGGCGCGGGCTCGGCGGCCTCCTTCATCTTGGGCGTGCCGGGGGGGCTGGAGTGCACGATGTTGAGGCCCGAGGGGAGCTCGGGGGGCGTGTGTGGCGGGTTAGAGTTGGAGTTGGAGTTGTTGTCGGAGGGCATTGTGGGTGTGGTGATGAGGTTGGGGCCCCCTGTTGTGTTGTGTTGTGTTGTGTTGTGTTGTGTTGTGTTGTGTTGTATTGTATTGTAGTGTGTGTTCTGTGGGGTTGAGAGCTGTGGTTGTGATATCTGCGTGTGGTGCGTGTGTTGCCGAGGCAAGTTCCACTCCTGTGTGCTGTCGCCTGCCACTGGCCCCTGTCGACGGCGCGTGAACCTGTGGCTGTCTACGCCTCGCACTGTGGCGGTCTCTTGAGCATGTACATACCAATGTAATGTCGATATAAACCCTGATGTTGATATTCGGGGTGAGAATAGGCGTGTACGGGTCTGCAGGTGCGATTGAAGCCTGTATGCACTCCCATACGTGCCCATATCTTCACTCCCGAACGCCGTGCAGCTTGAAATATCGAGTTATTTGTACGTGACCGTACGCACAACTCACATATACTGGGCTCTGAATCCATATAGATGTCGATACTAGCTGAGAGCTATGCGTGTGCTCGTTGGTAGGCAGTTGGTTGACTGGCTGTCACAAGAAGAAGTATCACCGTTGAAGTACTTGGCGCCGCTGCTACTAAAGACGGAGAAGCATGGCAATGGCAGTACAGGTTGTACACAGCACACGCGTGAAGAGCTAGCTACTCTGCAAATAATCCGAAATACTCAACCTCACTCCTATCTCTCTGCCCACCGCCACAACACCCCCATAGACACCCCATAGACACCCCACAAACACCCCACAAACACCCCCCCAATACCCACCCATACCCACACCACAATGGCCTCCCGCCAATCCAAAAAACGCACCTCCAACCCCCCCCCTCGCTCCGCCCCAACCTCCACCAAGCGCTCCCGCCGCTCCCCCACCACCTCCGAATCCAGCGAAAGCGAGCTCTCCGAGCTCGAAGAAGAGAGCATGACGGTGCCCAACGCCGCCGCCGCCGACGACGACGACGACGACGACGACGACGACGACGACGAGGACACCGACTCGGACCCCAGCTCCTCGGAGAGCCCCGAGGAGCGCGAAGACAGGTCTGCCCGCGCCTCACCCGCACCGGGAGGGAGGGAGAGAGGGAAGCTAACCCGCCACAGTTACATCTACGAGGACTCGGACTCGGCGCCGACGCCGGCGGCCGCCGCGCGCCGCAAGCCGACGCGTAAGAGCGGGCTGTCAAAGGTGTCCAACGCGCCCGTCGAGGACAGCATCACCGTGCGCGGCGGCGGTGCCGGGGGCAAGAAGGGGCAGCAGCAGCAACAGCAGCAGCAGCAGCAGAAGGGGAAGGGGCAGCAGCAGGGGAAGCAGGGGGATGCAGCCGCGGGGAGCATAAAGCTGACGCTCAAACTTGGTAAAGCCGCCCTGCGCGCCGTGACGACGGACTGGACGCCGCCCCCGACTGACCGTGCGGCAGGACACGACTCGAGCAGCGATGAGGAGGACGAGGACGAGGACGTGGACGCCGAGGGCGAGGACGACGACGAGGTTGATGCCGAGGGCGAGGACGACGATGAGGACGCTGAGGGCGAGGACGAGGAGGACGACGGGCTCAATGACGAGGATGCCGAGGGCGAGACGGACGACGAGGAGATGGTCGATTCCGATGAGGATGCGGACGGGACACCGGAGTTTAGGAGCAGGGCCGGCACCCCCGATATGAGCCGGCTGACGAAGCGGCAAAAGAGCAAGCTGGACGAGGTCTACAGCGCCGACTTGCTAGAGCTGCCGCCAGGCATCGGTATGTGTTTTTTTTTCATTGCGCTCCCCCGAGTGGCTAACACGACACCACCGCAGCGTCACTTACTAACACCCGTGTAGAGCGGCCCAGCGCGGCCAAAGCCATCCCACTCACGGCGGACGAGCAGGCGCTCAAGCGCGCGGAGATGGCGCGGCGCCGAAAGAACCTGACGGACCAGCGCCTCGAGGAGGAGAAGATGGACACCATCAACAAGCTGCTCAAGAAGCAGACGCCAAAGATGCGGAAGTCGCAGGGCCGCCAGACGGGGGATGCGACGCCGAACGAGGCGAACCCGGAGGGGGGCATGATCGAGGCGCCCCCGGCGCCGAAGATGGTCAGGTGGGTGAGCAACAAGGACGGGATTCGGGTGGGCGTGCCTGACAGCTGGTTGGCGGGGCCGGTGGGGAGGGTCTTTATGCCACAAGGCGGTGGTGGGGGGCTGGTGCAGGAGGTGAGTGAGGGCGTTGTGCCCATGGAGATTGAGGCCTAAACCAGTCTGTATGGTTTGGTTGGCGCATGTAGTAGATACAGGTAGTCTTTTTCGTGAATATTAATGTCTTGGTTTTGGTTTGGATTAATTCGTTGCTGGACATATGCTATTGCTACAAATGATAACTACTATTGCTACTAATATAACTACAGATTCTGGTAAAATCATTGCGAAAGTCAGCGCTATAAGAGTGGGTTTCTTGGTCCTGCTCACTGCAAAAACTCTTTTATGGGCCAATCTCTTCGTCTTGTGGGTAGTTTTCCACTCCCTACCGGACTGTTGGCTAAAGGGTGATCAGCGGCGGCCCAAGTAGCTCTCCTAGGCTTCAGGGTGGTTCACAAACGGATACATATAGCGGACGCACGATAAATACTTGTATTCACTGTGTTAACTGCGCATGTACATAGATATATTACTTCCCCCCCCAGACATTCTGCCACACAAAGCGAAAACAGGTCACTGCACTACTATTTATACATGTACCACTCCACCCTCGCCCGCTGCTTTTTGCACGCTACAGCACTCCACACATCTCCCCATAATCACCGCCCCAATATACGCCCGTATCTACGTCCCACCACCCACCGTCCTGGTAATCCGGCGGCACCAGCGCGTACGCAACCGGGGCGTAAACATCGTGCACATACTCCATCGTCTCCATCTTAACCAGCACACCATCACCAGCACCACCCTGCATCGTCTCCACCGGTTCCATCTCCCCCATCACCGTCTCCGGCGCCGTCTCCGGCACCGTCTCCAGTGGCAGCGGCAGCGGCACCTCCGCCCCGTATCCACAAAACTGCACACCACACGTCTCACCCTCTGTGCCGCCGTTCTGGCTGCCCGAGTAATACCCGGGCCCACCGCCATAGCCCCAGCACGGGCTATACGAGCCGCCCATGATCAACTGGGGCATGAACCCAACATCCCTAGCTATCTCTGTAAGCCACAAGCAATACAACTATACACCAAGCAAGCACCCACGCGCGGCCAGGGAAACCTACCCCACTGCAACCACTCGCCAAAGTCGTCCTGCCAGGTAATCCCGTACTCGATGTACTGGACCTTCTTGTCCCTCGACGTGGAGGGCCTGCGCCCCTTCGGCTTCGGGCTGGCGTCGGCCTTGGTTGCGGCGGCGGCGGCGGCGGCGGCCCGCTTCGCCGCGGCCTTCTTCTCGACTTTGGATTTCTTGCTGCCCGGGAGCGATTTGTTCTCGAGGATGCTCTTGAACTCGGTGCTGGTCATCACTTGGATGGGGAAGAGGTCGCTGGTGTCTCTGGGGCGTCTTGAGGGCGACATTTTTGGATTTAATTATTATGGTATTATGGGGGGATCCGGAGCTGGTGTACAGGGGGACGGGTGAACGGGAAAAAGAGGGAAGGATCGATAAGCTAGTAATAGGGAGGAGGTAAAAATAAATAAATAAAAAGGACTAAGAATATATATATGTAGTTGTGGATCGATCTATATTCCCAAATCCCCACTGCCTGAGTGAGCTCCCGATCTCGCTCAGACTACATAGGTATATGTACCTAGGCTCTCAGACAAGACAGTGGTACCAACAATCACAGACCACAGCTACTCTCCGGTTCGCGGATTGCCCCCCCCCCCCCCCCAAAACAGCGTGCATTGCATACCCGCCACTAAAGGTCCCCAACCCAAAAAGAAAAGAAATTTTCAAAATCTCTCAGACCTGCCCTTCTCGTAGGAGCGAGCGAGCATCGCACCCGTGACGCCTCACTTGCATACTTGGTAGTAATCAATAAGTAATCCACCACTGCACTCCCCAGCGTGGGGTATGTGTGTGTGGTTCTCGGCGCTCTAGACCAGACGCTAAGCCAGGAACGTATATCCACAGGTATGATTGGGCTCGCCCTGGGTAGCCAGCCCGAATGCCAATATATTAAGCTTGGTAACCGTAGAGGTTAGTTAGTTAATTGCGGTGCGCAGGGCAGGTGGAGCTTACCAGAAACCTCTGATCACTTGTAGCACCGATCTCTCGTGGCCATCTATGGGCTACCTGATGTGGTGTCTCAGCCTTTTTTTTTTTTTTTTTTTTTTTTTTTTTTCTTTGGCGGATCGAGGACTTTGCGGGTATTAGGAGAATTGCCATCTACGCACAATTTTATCGATCATGATCAGCTCGGTCCTGCACGTTGGCAATTGCATGTAGCAAATAGGAGGGTGCATGGAGTGTGTGTGATCTGTTCCAAGCAGGTTGAGTTGTGCTTGAGGTTTTTGTGTCAAGTTAATTGTGTACAAAGCCAAAACCCTGTATTCCAGCCTAGCTTTTATCTCCACATGTTTTTTGAGCAGAAATTTGGGCACTTCGATAGATGGTCCTGCATGCTTTATTGGCAGATCGATTGCAAGTCTCTCCTGAAACAGCTAGATTTCTCCAATACGCTCCACTTTGTTCTTCCCCTTTATATCAGTACTTTGTTGATTCTAGGTGCAAGAATATCTTACATGCTTTACTTGCTGAGCGGTTGCAAGGCTCTTCCTGAAACAGCTAGACTTCTCTGTCCAATACGCTCCACTTTGTACTGTCCAACTCGAGCAGCGAAAAGAGGCTTTTTCTTTTTTTATATCAGTACTTTATTGATTCTAGGTACAAGAATATCCTGCATGCTTTATTGGCTGAGCGATTGCAAGTCTCTCCCTGAAACAGCTAGACCTCTCTGTCCAATACGCTCCACTAGCTTTGTACTGTCCCACTCGAGCAGCGAACAGAGTTCTCTTTTCTACTTTCTCCTTTATATCAGTGTTTCATTGATTCTAGTACAGGAATATCACATGCAACCAACGCTACAGCGTGCACAGAACCTCTCCCCAACAAGCTCCCTCATGACGAAAAGGCCAAACGAGAGCACAAGCGAAAAGAGCCAATTAGCTGAACTTGACACAAACACGGCTCATGAACTCTCACTCGCGCCCTGTACCTACCCCACCCCTAACCCTTAGCCTCCACACCCCTGACCACACATCCCAACCACAACCCCAAGTACTCAGTACCACTCAGTACCACTCAGTACCACTCAGTAACACTCATCGAAAATGCTTCCCCCGGTCCCTGAAGAAACGCTGAGTGCCAACCCGCTTTTCAAGGCGCTGTATGAAGACCTCACGACCAAGATCCTGAATCCAGAAGATCTAACGAGCCGGTCTTCGTCGCGGGACCACCATGTCCTCGACCAGGTAGGTTTGTGGATAGCTACAAGTATCTAGCTAGCTCGCACCTATAGCCAGGGCTAACAACCGCCCAGGAGCTCCGCACCCACCGCGCCGAGCTCGCAAAGGCGCAGCTCCTCCAGCGCGAACTCGAGGCCGTGACTTCCGGCGGCGGGTCTTCAATGCTTCCGGATGAGGTACGTAGTATACGGGGGGGTGCCGGTGTATCATATGTATATTACTACATACATAAAAAAAAAAAACCAAGCTCACACACATGCACACAGCTCCAAGAGATAATCGACCTCGCCATCAGCGCGCCACGCACGCCCGCAGACCTCCCGCTGCTTTCCGCCACCATCGACGATTTCCACGCCTCGCTTCCACTCATCGGGCAGGCGATCTCGCGGTCGCTGTCTGTGTCGGCGCTCGACATTGCCAAGATCGCATATCCGGAGGGTACGCCTCCCCCCCCCCCCCCCCCAATTTTCCCCCGCCTGCTTCCCACCCCAAACACTAACACCCCTCTCGGCAGACACCAACCCCCTCCTCCTCGACAGCAAGCTCGACCACCTCCCCGCCGACGCCGCCCACCGTCGCAAAACCCTCCTCCACACCACGGCCGCCCTCTCCGACCTTCGCAGCACCATCACCACGCTCAGCTCGCAGGTGCTTTCCGCCCACAGCACGCTCACGACGCTCTCGCTGCAGCACACGCACCGCGGCGGGGGCGTTCTGGCGGCGGCGCAGAGCGCGGCCGCGGCGCGGGCCGCGCACATGGCTGTTGTGGCGAGCAGCATGGAGGGGAAGCTGGGCGTGCTGCGGGCCGGGGCGGCGCGCGCCGTGTATGACGATGCGGCGGTGGAGGCGCTGGCCAACTATCGGCTGCATCTGCAGGACACGAGGGCGCGGCTGCTGGCGCGGCGGAGGACGGTGGAGGGCGAGCTGGAGAGGTATGCGAAGGCGGGGAGCGACATGGTGGGGTTGGTGGAGAGGTATGGCGCTGTGATGCGCGGGATCGAGGCGGTGGGGAGGGATATTGTGAGGTTGGGGGGGAGGGTGTGAATGGGGGGTTGCGGTAGGTGCCGTCGGGAAGTTTTCGTCGCTTTAGTTAGTCCGAGCCTTACCAATGGAGAGAGAGGGTTTTGTAGATATGGAGTGGGTACGGTCTACAGGGATGCGGAGGAGTGCAGAGTTCCAGAATTTGGGGTTTACTTGGCCTGTGCGTGCGGGAGTTTAGTAAATATCCGTACTAACAATCTCACTAACATCGTGCAGCTTTCTCATACCGATTTCCTGTCTCACATTTATTTCCCTGGGCGCCAGAACCCCTGCTGCCACCACCGCGGATCCTACAAGTCCGTACACTAGCTACCTCTCTAATATCATATCAATGCAGCTCTAGTAAAATATAATTGAGCTGGTAGGTGCTGCAAGATGGTCCGCACATATTACCAACTGAACCAGTACAGCTTTCACTCTTGAGATTTCACGTAGTACTGGGATACGTATATAATATCAAAAAGTTCTATGTATATGTGTGTGTCATATATGTACGTGTTGCTATCGACATCTAATGTCCAGGAAGTAGCCGAGTCCTTGCATCACTACATGAAGCCTTCCGCTGTTTGATTTGACTGATTACTTCATTAATTGCAGAGTAAAGCCTTCCGCTGTTCAAAACAGGTACATTATCCCTAAGTCAAGCGCCACTTAGTACTAGTACCAGAATGGTGCGTGCAGGAGCCAGTGCCAGCAGGAATAGTAGAGCCCGGCCCCCGTACAGGTACGTAGATCAGATCCCACAGCTCGTGGTAGAAATGGGCGGATCAGGAGGGTCCTATTGGCTTACCCAGCCCACACAAACCCTGTTTTCAGACCCATAGGTCCACCTCTCGATACCGGCCCGCTGCTCAAAACATTGCCCATAGATACCAGGTGATTTGAAATATCGCCCCGTTGGGCAGTTGTAATCACTCACAAACCTTAACACTCAGGCCTCAGGCCTTCCGTCGTCGCCCCCAGATGGATCCACCACACAGGCCACGGATTTAAAGTTTGGGGCAATCTCACGGCAATGCGGGTGCGGGTCGAACGAACTAACGAGCGGATATGCCGCTCTACCGTACATACGTACCGGCAGCTCCCGCGATGCCAAACACAAGTAATCGATCCCGCCCACCCACATACATGTAGGTACATCTCTAGCTCTATCACATGTGGATACCTGCAAGTATGTACTTATTAGCTGGCTGGACCTAATAATTTTTCTTCCCAACCCCCAGTTTGTAGGCCATTGGGCCTGTACGACGTGGTGTACAGATATATACATATGATTATAAACAACCATCCAATCGTGGTGCCGCCCAACACTTTACCAAGGTCCAGGTCTGAGAAGTTAGATTGGGCAGGTGATGTATGGGACGAACCTACAACAAACACAGCTGCGCATGCTCGACGTCCTTCCTTCTGCAATGAATTGTCATCACAGTGAATCAGGGTAGTTAGTTACATGTACATACATGTATCTATCATGTGTGTGGCGGAAGTACTGCCTCATCAGGCCGTGCACCCAATCACCCAATCACCCAATCACCCAATGCCACTCCTGATCTAACCAACTACAGACCCTACCATCCAACAACCCACAAAAGCCCCAGCCAGTCAGCGAGTGTCAAGTCAAGGAAGGGCCATCGAAACAAGCACCAAGCACTCCCAATTACGCCATCCCGCCAAGCCCCGCCCCGTTCCAGATAGGCAGTCAGAGCCCCCCCCAGGCCCAGCAACAGTACTCGAGCCCTAAGCAAATAACTAACAGTTCACTAAACTAAATATCTACCCCACCAAAAAACCCGCCGCCCCCTCCGCCCCCTCCGCCTTCCTCCCCCTCCCCCACAAATGCGCGCACCAGCAGCAGCAGCCCTCCTGACCCCACTCCTCCGGCGCAGCGTCTACAGCGGGCGAAACAGCACAAACATCACCACCACCACCACCACCACCACCACCACCACCACCATCCTTCGCGCAAGCGTCTCAGCAGCAGCAGCAGCAGCAGCAGCGTCTATTACACCCAATCCCCATTCGTCCACCCAGCAGAAGAGAGCCATGGCCAGCAGCAGCAGAGGCATCAAACCGGCACGACGAGTCACTGGGCAGCGGAAGGATGTGTGGTATGTGGCGTCGTGAATTCTTATTTGTCTATCTACCTGTTTTACCACAGCAGTAAAACAGCCAGAGGAGACAGAAGCTGGAGAGACCTGCCGCTCATGAGATTGTGCCGCTCCACAGGTCCACCGTGAACGAAGCCGCAGCTGAGGCAGCCGCTGAGGGGAAAGACGTCATTAACCTCGGCCAAGGGTTCTTGTAGGTCTCACCTCTCCCCCCTCCCCCCTCCCCCCTCCCCCCGCACACAGCGCATCCACTAACCCCACCCCCTCCCCACCCGCAGCGGCTACAACCCCCCCGCATTCGTCCTCGACGCCGCCAAACAAGCGCTCGACCGCGTCGAATGCAACCAATACTCGCCGACGCAGGGCCGGCTGCGGCTCCGCCAAGCGCTGTCCAAAGCCTACTCGCCCTACTTCAACCGCACGCTCAACCCCGCCACCGAGATTGTCGTGACCTCGGGCGCAAACGAGGGGATGCTCTCGGCCTTCATGGCGTTCATCGAGCCCGGCGACGAGGTCATCGTCATGGAGCCGTTCTTCGACCAGTACATCTCCAACATCGAGATGGCCGGCGGCGTGGTGAAGTACGTGCCGCTGCACCCGCCGGCCAAGGGCGACACGCAGACGTGCCCGGCCAGCGACTGGACGCTCAACCGAGACGAGTTCAAGGCGGCCGTGACCGACAAGACGCGCATGGTCGTCATCAACACGCCGCACAACCCCATCGGGAAAGTATTCTCGCGGGCCGAGCTGGAAGGCATTGCGGCAGTGTGCGTGGAGAAGAACATCCTCATTCTCAGCGACGAGGTAGGTTGCCCCCCCCCCCCCCGGGGGGCAGGTCTACTAGGCAATTGCATGCAAAGCGTTAACAGAGCCAGGTGTACGACCGCCTCTTCTACACGCCCTTCACGCGCATCGCGACGCTCTCCGAGGCCGTCAACAACATCACCATCACCGTCGGCAGCGCCGGCAAGAACTTCTACTGCACGGGGTGGCGCGTCGGCTGGCTCATCGGGAAGCCCGAGCTCATCAAGTACTGCGGCGCCGCGCACACGCGCATCTGCTTCTCGTCCGTGTCGCCGCTACAGGAGGCCGCCGCTATCGGCTTCGAGGAGGCCGACGAGCGCGGCTTCTGGGATAAGAGTAAGGCTGAGATGAAGGCGAAGATGGACAAGTTCAACGAGGTGTGGGACGAGCTTGGGCTGCCTGTATGACCCCCCCCCCCCCCCCTTTTTCCGCCGCTAGATGTGCCGGCTGCTAACTTCAGTGTGCAGTACACCGACCCCGAGGGCGGCTACTTCGTGCTGGTCAACCTGAGCAAGGTGAAGCTTCCCGAGGGCTACTATTTCCCGCCGCATGTGGCAGAGCGCGCGCGCGACTTCCAGCTGGCGTGGTTCCTGATCAAGGAGCTTGGGGTGGCGGCGATCCCGCCGACGGAGTTCTACACGGCGAAGAACGAGAAGGAGGCGGAGAACTATTTGAGGTTTGCGGTGTGCAAGGATGATGAGGTGCTGGAGGCCGCGAAGGAGAAGTTGAGGGGGTTGAGGGAGTTTATGTAGTGGGGCTTGGGGAGGCTGTGTTGTAGCTGTGTTGTAGCTGTGTTGTACTGTAGGGAGCTGGGGATGGGGATTCTTGGGATGCCGTTTTGTATGGTATTGCGGGGGATGGGAGGGGATGGGACGGGATGGTGGGTGTATAAATGTCCTCGCACACATCACACACGCACGCACATGCTACATATTTGTATTGTAGGCCGGCACAGTGTGTGTTCCACTATATTACAAGGAAGGCAGAGTATTCTACATGTACAGCTGTATCTGCTGTGATACACGCCCTACATACATATCTCCACGACCATCCAGTCCCATGTACATACATATCGCCAATTACGCTTGGCCGGTTGCACAGCACCTGCCCACCACCACAATTACCCCGAACCCCCGACACAATCACAAGCTCTCACTCGCCCCCCAATCCTCGGCTAGCTATCTGCTTATCCACTTATCGCGCTATCTTATCTTATCTTATCGCCCTCCACCACTGCAACGGAAAGCTCCCCGACGACTCGGCTAACCATGCCGTCACGGCGCACACGCAGCAACAGGAACAGGGAATAAACTTTTCCTACGCCACGGGCCGGGGAGGGAAATCCTGGAGTGAAGGCGAGGCATGGGGGGAGGATGAGTAATAGATGGTGGGCTGTATCTACATGTAGTGACTGGCTTATGACCTGTTTACTCTGCTCTCAATCTCAAGATACATACCTGGAGTCCAGCCGGCGCTGGTGTTATATACTATTCTACTTTGTGCTATAACCTAACTACTTTGCTTACTCTATATAGCCCGCATACCTATATCGCTACATCTATATCAGTTCACGATATCTATATCACCCTTAACACTCCCACCATGGCCTCCCAAACGCCATACCGCGACTACTCCCCCGGCGAACTCTCGCCCTCCTCCTCCTCCTCCTCCTCCTCCTCCTCCTCCACCTCCCTCGAGATGCTCACCCCCCTCTCGCCGCCCTACTCCCCCTCCGACGACCCAGACCCCTACCCCTACGACCCGCACGAGTCGTCCAAATCGCTCCTCCCGCACGAACCGCTCCCCCGCCACCCCTCCACCTCCTCGCCCAGACCGCTCTGGGCGCGCCTCAAAGCCGCGCTCTACAGCAACCGCGGCATCCTGCTCGTGCTGCTGTCGCAGTTCTTCGGCTCGCTGATGAACCTCGCGACGCGCATCCTCGAGACGTCGTTCCCCGAGCAGCGCTTTCATGCGCTGCAGATACTGTTTGCGCGGCAGAGCATCACGTGCGTGCTGGTGTGGGTGTGGCTGTGGTGGAGGAGCGTGCCGGATGCGCCGTGGGGGCCGCGGGGGGTGCGGTGGCTGCTTGTTGCGCGGGGGGTCGGGGGTTTCTGGGGCGTGTTTGGGCTGTATTGTAAGTTGTTCCTGGGGGGTTATAGACTCTGTTCGCGGGGTGTTTAGGGCAGTGGGGTAGAGTAGAGACAGAGGCTAACAGAAGATGGCGGTACAGACTCACTATCCTACCTCGACCTCTCCGACGCCACGGTGCTAACCTTCCTCGCCCCCATCGTCGCAACCTTCGCCTGCTCGCTCATCCCCTCCCTCCGCGAACCCTTCACGCGCGCCCACCTCGCCGCATCCCTCGTCTCCCTCCTCGGCGTGGTCCTCATCGCCCGCCCCACATCCCTCTTCACCTTCTCCCGCAGCTCCGACACCTCCTACGAGACCGTCCCCAGCACCCCCATCGCCCGCTCCCTCACCCTCCCGCCATCCCTCACCGCCACCCCGCACCAGCGCCTCATCGCCGTGCTCGTCGCCCTCCTCGGCGTCCTCGGCGCCGCGTCAGCATTCACCATCATCCGCTGGATCGGCACGCGCGCACACCCGCTGCTGTCCGTACACTACTTCAGCAGCTGGTGCGCGCTGGTCTCCCTCGTGGCGCTGCTGGCCGTGCCGAGCGTCGGCGGGATTGTGTGGCCGAGCGGGCTCGTGCAGTGGGTGCTTCTGGGCGGGATCGGGGTGAGCGGGTTTGTGATGCAGTTTTTGCTCACGAAGGGGCTGCAGGTGGAGAAGGCGGGGAGGGCGACGGGCATGGTGTATGCGCAGATGGTGTTTGCGGTGGGGTGGGAGCGGCTGGTGTGGGGGAGTGTGCCGGGGGTGTTGAGCGTGGTGGGGAGTGTGCTGATTTTGGGGAGTGTGGTGTGGGTGGGGATGCGGAAGGGGAAGGGGGGGAAGGGGGAGAGGGGCGTGGGTGGGGATGAGGAGGCGGTGCCGCTGGGGAGGTGGGAGGAGGGGGAGGAGGAGGAGAGGGAGGGGGTGGTGGGGCGCGGGGGGAGGTAGAATGGTGTGGATAGGTAGACTAAATGGTGGCCTGTAGACGCCGAGTGATGGCGTGTGATCCTTATTGTCCATAGATGCATAATCGTAAATACATGAATAAACATCGAGTGGTTTTACTATGCCTACTTAACGTGAGTCAGTCATTAACAGCACCAATGATCAAGCCATGAAAGAAAGAAAGGAGGAAAGGAAAAAATACACCCCTACCCACCAGCGAGCATGCAAACACCAGCACTCACGCACATGGACTCATCGCAATACAAGTAAAGCCCCTCCTGTACATAGTCAGTATCGTAACCCATAAAGACCTAGAGTGAGTGGCGGGGAAAGTACATACATCCACCGCACCAGGAACCTAGGAAGTTATGAAGTTATGACGCCGTGATGTTGTTGTGTCGGTGTTGACGTTGGAGTTGACGTTGACGTGGCTGTCTCACGTACTCGGGATCTACCCAGCCCCCAGCCCCCAGCCCTACTGGTGATTTCTGAACAGATACTTGGGCCTGTAAGTATCCAAGTGTGCTTACGAGTACACGCCCTTTCTTCGCAGTAGCGGAAGTAGTGATGCCGCCGACGCGCTGCCGTAGCCCGCGACGTGGTTTATGCCCAGTCTAACATACGAGTGATGGCTGGTGATCCGGAGCAGGTAGGGTATGATCTACACACAAGTAGCTTTGTTATGTAGAGGAGTAGGTTCATGTAGCTATATACATAGCTAGCGGGGTCTTTTATGCGCGGCGCTTTGGTGGTTGTGGTTGTGGTGTGGTCGTGGTAAGGTAGTGGATACGGTGGTAGAAAGTGTCGATCGTATGATACTTATTGGATATGTGGTTCATATGCTGATCATGTACTGTGTGGGGGTGTTGCCACTGGGCGGTAAGTACATTTAGAGATCTGCGATATAAATATGTGTGCTTTTTTATATAGAGTTGAAAGCTATTTGCCGAGACCGTGGCATCGTGGCCTAGCTGTTGGTTCTAGGTTCTTGATCTATTAATGAGATCTAGAGAGACTTATAAGTGTTCATCTTTTCTTAGGCGCACTATTTACGACCATAGAGTACATAGCTATAAAACCAGTGGTGACCGTGAATTGATGATATTTTAAGTGCTAATTTTTTTTCTTCTTATTTCCACTATACATGTGCATATACACACTTTCCAAACTGCAATTCCGCAATTGGTATCCTATAAACACGGTCCACTGTCCCACCCATGTCCAGACCTCTCTGTAGCTCTCCCTCTACTGAGCTGGGCCTGACGCACCACTAGATCTCCACGACGAGAGGATCAGACTCACAATCTCGTCCACCCCCTTCCTGTTCTTCACCTGCGCGAAGATGGTCGGGCCTCCCTCACTATTCGCCGCACTTCCTGTCAGCGATCACTCAGAACTTAAGGACGAGGGGGGGACAGAAGGATAACACGAACCGCATCTTCCTCGCATCACGGTCCATCACGCCAAGGTCTGCGCCCACAATCTCAGCAAGGTCCGTCTTGTTCACGACAAGCAGATCGGACTGCGTGATCCCCGGGCCACCCTTACGGGGGATCTTGTCGCCTCCAGAGACATCGATCTAGCGCAGCCGTGGTTCGACCGTTAGCACCCAACTCCTAGATAGCGTGGATCAGATCAGGGGAGGCTGATGCTCTCGTACAACGTATATGATAAAGTCCGCCAGCTCCCTGGAGTAGTTTGCAGCGAGATTGTCGCCGCCACTCTCGATCAGGAGCAGCTGGGTGTCAAACTCGCGGTGCAGGTCCTCGAGAGCTTGCAGGTTTGCGCTGATGTCCTCGCGGACTGGAGTCTTGTCAGTGGCCTTGAAAATGTGGGGCGTTGGTATGGAGTGTTGGTGCACTGCTTACCTGCAGCGTGGGGGCAGCCGCCAGTCTCAATGGCCTTGATCCTCTCCGCCGGGAGGGCCTGGTGGCGCACAAGGAACTCTTGGTCCTCCCTACAAGCGTCCTCAGTTAGCTCCAAATAGATAGCTACTTGCCGGCCGCAGGGTCAATGCAAGCTTCGTGGAGATCAATGGACTGACTTTGTGAAGATATCGTTTGTGACTGCGGCGATGGAGAACCGGTCTCTCAGGGCCTTGCACAACTCCAGCATCAACGCTGTCTTCCCCGAGCCCACGGGTCTATATGCCGCCAGAGATATCCGTCAGTAAAAGAAACGCGCAGTGACGCTGAGGAGGTGCTTCTAACCCGCCAATTCCAACCGTGAAGGCACGTTCCTTCCAGTCGCGGTCATCGAAGATGGGTGCCTCACGGGCTAGGTACGAGCCGGGGCCATCGAGAATCTCGTGCGAGTGGCCGTGGGCGTCAAGCGTATCGTGGGAGTGGGTGTGAGACATATTTAGTGTTTTAGAGTAGGGCGGGGGCGTTTGGCGGGGTTGGTAGTTGGTTTAAAGGTCGGGTAGGTATGCTGAACGAGCTGCGCTGCATGCATGTGGGTTAGGTTCTGGAAACCGCACAGAGTGCGGGGTGCCTTATCGTTTATCGGCGGTCCTGCACGACCGCATGGACCTTCCTGGACGAGTAAACAGGGCTCGGGAAGCGCAGGAAACCGAGAAACACCCGCCAAAACAAAGTCTATATAGTACTACAATACAGTGTTTCTCAAAAATAAGAAGCTAAGCCGTTTTCGGAATTGGACAGGGGTTGGTGACAGGGGTGCAGAGGTGCGGTAACAATAGTATTTTTATGGGATGGGAACAGGTTGGGGAGGTAGGGTAACCAAAGAAAAAAAAAACCCGGTTTTCAAGGGATGGGTAACTACACCTTCTTGACTACAAATTTCATTCCCCACCATCTTTCAATTCAATTATCTTAACAAAAAGTATCCATACCTCACAATCATGTCTACTGCCAAATGCTCCCAATGCAAGCATGATAAAGCCATTGCGGAATATGATAGAAACCGCCGCGGTTCTCTTTTGAGATCATATAGAGATTGTTTAGTATGTATCTCTGCAACAACCAATAGAAACATTATTTGACAATTTGTAGAGAAGACAAGCGGAGATGAGACAAAGACGTGCTTCTTGGCGAGCCGGGCAAACAGTAGAAACATTAGAGGTATGTACTATAATACTTAAGAATTGCATCTTATAAATGCTTACAACTTCTGTTGATAGCTATCCCCACCCAGAGCTGTAAGACAAGGAATACGTTCTGCCTTTCCTTGCGCATTTCTCAGTTCCCGTTTACAATGGAAAGAATTGAATAAGGGCTCAATGACGATCGTTTGCGAGTCCTGTTCAGCTTTGCATTGGATTGATGAGCGAATTGCAGCAAGTTCAAAGATAAAGGCACGCTTTGAAATCTGTTGTAAAAAGGGAGATGTTCAGCTGTTACCTTTGCAAGCACCACCTCCGTATTTACAATATCTTTTGCAGTCTCCTGATCCGGTTGCAAGAAGATTTCGGACCAGTATTCGTGAATACAATGCTGCACTCACGTTTACATCAGTAAAATATACTGCTGATCAACGGGCTCCAGCGCAAAGTGGTGGTTTGCAATGTTTTCAAATCCATGGAGAGCTTTACCATATGCAAGGACCATTGCATCCACAACAGAACGCCTCACCAAGCTTTGCACAGCTATATTTTTACGACCCTGAGTATGCAGCTGGTGTACGACATGAGGCACATCCCAACCTTGATCTTACCATATTGCAGAGACTTAACTCGAAAACAATTTCCTGTAAGATTGTGTTTTGCAATGACAGTAAATAAGGCACAGGGACAATCACTTGACATTGTAGGTATCGATTTACGAACTTCATCTTTTACCCATGGACAATTGTATTTTGCTTTGTCAAGGGCAACAGATGTCAATAAGTTACGAATCTTGCAAACAGAGGAGAGGGGTAGGGAAACTGAGAACATAGTGTATCCGGAGGTACTGTTGAGGGGATGAGAGTTGCACATTATAGAATACCCCTTACTGTCTTATATCTTTCAATTGCAGTGAGTTACGGCATTTATTACACTGTTGCAGGAACAAATCAAAGCTTACAATCACATACAACTCCTTGCATAAACTTGCAGAAAAGAAATATCAATTGTAATCAGCTGTAAGATAGTTGCGAGAGTTGCAAACACAAACTTTCTATTGTTAAAGCTATTGGAAATGTTTCTAACTAACTTAGAGTCTGATTACATTTAATCTTCCATTTCGTTCATGAGATCCTCAATTGCATCAGCCACTCCCTCCACCGCTATCAAAAGCCTCCACCATTTTTCCTTGGTAGTGGACCGCTTCCTCTTTGCAACTCTCCTATGCCTGTCTGCACCTCCGCAGTAACTGTAGAAGAGCTTGCAATGAGTGCAGAGCGTTCGCGAGGTTTAATTTCTATTGTATATGTTTGTAAGTCACTGTAAACACATTATAAGACATTGTAGGAATTGTAAATTACATACCAGGACGAAAATTGCAATATTTGCCTTGACTATTATAGTGGCAATTGGTGCAACTACCTGCAAACATACCCTGCACAGTTACACATTCAATAAAAGGGCCCTTACTGTCAGTACAACAGTCACAAACTGCCTCTGCAAGTTCACCCCTGCTGTATCCCAATATAGCCTCAACATTAACTGGCCTTGCCATATTAAGACCCCTGTCTTCCTTAACCATAACAGGTCTAATCCAATCCATACTAGCCAATTTCTTAGCAGTAGCAGTATTGGTAACACCACCTATTACTAATGCCTCAGCAGCTGACTCATGATACTGAATGGGGCGGGTTTCGGAAATCTTGGCAGCAGGGGTGCCGGAATCGGAAGGCTTAGCAATCGGCTCGGTGGTATCGGAAGGCTTGTGTAACGGCAGCTACGTATTTCGGCTAGGTGATGAACTGAGATGAGGGAAGGAGGTATCGTGCAGTGGAATTAGGATTTGTAATGGGGATTTCTGTTATGTTCTTTGGGTTTCTGTTACGCGAAGGTATTAGTCATCGTTGGATTATGGATGGATATATAAGGGGGCGTTGTC